TAATATCACTCTATCTAAATCTTTGAGGCTTATTTCTTGGACCAAAATATTGTCTATTTTAGTAAATGTTGCATGTACCCTTGAAAACAATGTCTATTCCACAGTGGTTGAGTGGAGAATTCTATCGTTATCAATTAGGTCAAGTTGTTGAGAATGTTGTTCAAGTCTTTTGTTTTTACTTATTTTCTATTTTGTTTTATCAATTACTGAGAGAGGATTGTTGAAATTTGTAACACCAGATATGGACTTCTTTCTTTTTTCAGTTCTGTCAGTTTTCTTCATGCAATGTAAAAGTCTATCATTAGCTGCACACATATTTATGATTGTTATGTCATCTTGATGAATTGACTCTTTCATCATTGTGAAATATCCTTCTTTATTACTGGTAATATTCTTTGTCCTAGAATCTATTGGTCTGATATTTATAGAGACACTCCAGCTTTCTTATGAATAACATTTGCATGGTATAACTTTTTCTGTTTTCTTTTAACTTATCTATCTTTATATTTCAAATGTGTTTCTTGCAGGCAGGATATATTTGGGTCATGCTTTTTGAAAAGCTTAAATCCTATGTGACAGTCTCTGCCTTTTAGACCATTTACATGTAATGTAACTATTGTTTTGGCTATTTACATTTAATGTAAATACAGATATGGTTGGGTTTAAGTCTTATCATCTTGTACTTGTTTTCTTTTTGTTCCATCTATTCTTTGTTCCTTTTCTTTTTAATATCGTGCCTTCTTTTGGGTTAGTTATTTTTAGTATTCCATTTTATCTCTATATTGAATTGCTAGCTATACCTCTTTTTAAAAAGAATTGCTCTAGGGTTTACAATATGCACCTTTAACTTCACAGTCTACCTTTACATAGTATTATACGAGTTTACATGCAATGTAAGAAACCTGTGCAATTTTATTTTCCCCTTCCCATTCTTTTTGTTCTTCTTATCAAATATTTTACTTCTCTGTATATTAGTCTCATAACACATGACTATTATTTTTGTTTTAAATAGAAAATCATCTTTTAACAGCATGTTAATATGAGTAGGAAGTCTTTTGTAGTTATTCACCATATTTACCTTGTCTAGAATGCTTTATGCCTTTGTGTAGGTCCTAGCTTTCATCTGGTATCATTTTCTATCAGCTTGAAGACCTTCCTTTGACATTTCTTGTAGCAGAACTCAGGTGGCAATGAATTCTCTTTTCTTGTGTTTGTCTTCAAATAGTCTTTATTTCATATTCATTGTTGAAGGATATTTTCACTGGGTGTAGAATTCTAGGTTGACAGTTTTTTTCTTTCAGCCTATTAAAGATGTGGTTCCATTGTCTTCTGGCTTGAGTTGTTTCTGACAAGAAATCGGTGACAATTCTTTATCTTTGTTCCCCTGTAAGTAATGTGTCTTTTTTCCTGGCTGCCTTTAAGATTTTCTCTTTATTGTTGGTTTTCATCAATTTGACTATAATGAGTTTTGGGGTGATTCTCTTTGCTGTTATTTTACCTAAGATGCACTGAGCTTCTTGGATCTGTGCGTTTATAGTTTTTATCAAACTTGAAAAATTTTGGCCATTGTTTCTTCAGATATTCATCCTCCCACTCCTTGCTTCTCTTGGTTTTTAATCTGCCTGATATTTTCCCATAGCTCATTGAAGCTCTGTTTTATTTCTTCCAGTGCTTAGGTAGTTTCTGTTGTTATGTCTTGTTATGTCTTCTAATTCACTGGTCTTTTCTTCTACTTTGTCTAATCTGCCATTAAGCTCATTCTGTGAATTTTTTATTTCTGATGTTGTATTTTAAGTTTTTAGAAATTCCGTTTGATTCTTTTGTCTTTATCTCTATCCTCGTGTTCATATTTTCCTTTGAATATGTTTATAATAGCTGTTTTAACGTCCTTTTTTGCTAACAACCTCATCTCTGTAGTTTCTGGGCTTGTTTCTATTGGCCAATTTTTTTCCCTGATTTGGGTAACATTTTCCTCCCTTTACAAATATCAAGGAGTTTTTGACTAGATGCTAAAAATTTTTAATATTACATTACTGAGTGTCTGGATTTTATTGTCTTGCATTACAGTGTGTTGAAGTTTGTGTTGGCAGTCAAGTTACTGGTGGATCAGCTTGACCCTTTCCAGACTTATTCTTATGTTTTGTTAGTGTGTGCCTAGAGTAGCCTTGTCTCTAATGTTAGTTTAGCCCTACTACTAGGGTATGACCTCCTAGAGTCTCTATTAAATGTCCCAGGTTTTCACTGAGTCACCTCCATTCTGACTGGTTGGAACTCGAATATCTCCCAGCTCTGTAGGAGATGTAGGAATTATTTAGCTTACGAATCCCCCATAGTTGTTCTCTATGCAGCCTAATGGAGTTTTGCCTTACACACGTTTAGCTTAGTATAAAGCAAAAGACCCCAAAGGACTCCTGCTAAGATTTCTAGAGCTCTTTCTTTGTGTAGCTCCCTTTTCCCTTCTTTGGTACTTTACCTAGCAAATTCAAGCCACCTTGCCTCTCTAAACTCCAGTTTTTGTTTCCTCAACTCAGTGAAACCACTCTACTGTGCTTATCTTTCCCCTTCTAGGGCCAGTGTCTGGAAATTGCTTCCAGGAAGAAAGCCAAGGTGATTGTAGGACTCATTTCATTGTTTCTCTTCTCTGAAGGATCATTGTCCTGCACTACCTGTAGTCCAATTTCTGAAAACAGTTGTTTCATATATATTTTCTGGTTTTCTAGTTGTTTTTGGTGGGAAGGAAAGTCTAATACCAGTTACTCTGTCATAGCTGGAAGCAGAATTCTTGTCTGTCATGTTTTTATGCTATATTTTTTGCTTATATTTTCAAATGAAGGGAGATTTACCATGACTATATTTACTATAAGGTAAGGTATGTAGATTGTCCTTATATCAGAATCAATTGTAGTGCTTGTCTCAATTACAAATACTTGTGCTCTATCTTTAGAGATTTTGATTCAGTGGATCTAACATGGGTTACAGACATCATAATTTTGAAAACTTGACAGGTGATTTTCGATACACAACTGAAGTTAAGAATCACTGTTCTAGTAACTTAAATCTAGTGTGACTTTGGTGGACTTAAATGAAGTATCCTACAACCTGTTCTTAACTCAGTGACACTGTAAAAATGAAATAAAAAACTAGAAGAGTAGGACCTCCTGGATGTCGCCACTATCCATGTATGAAGCATTAATTTTTGGCAGAGCAGACCTCATCAAGTACTATTGGCTGTTGCACATTCTGATCGGTTTATGCCTATGCCATAGTGGTTGTTATATCTTTGAATATTCTATCTATAAGTGTCAAGAACTTCCTCATATTTATAAAGTGATCTGCAAATATTCTCATAATACACAGATTCAGAGGTGGTTACCTAATTTCGTCTGTGTGCCAACACTGTTGATAGATGTGACCTCCTGGAGCTCAGTGTTGAGGATTTTAAGGCCACTTCTGGACTCAGCAGAAATGAATGCTGTTGTGGATTAGTGATATCTGTCATGAGCTTGTGATTGGAGGAATGGGGCACATGTCCCATGTATTGGCAACTCCTGTACTGGTTAAAGGCCGTCTTTTTCTTTAGGGTTCTCCTAATTATACAAGAAAACTCGTTGTTACTCTCTATATTGATTTGATTTTTCCCTATGTAGGAAACAAATCTTACAGTCATGGAATACTTATATTCAAATTATTTCTTCATTCATCCATTCCTTACTCATTCATTTCCTCTTTCTTTCTCTCTCAAAATATAATCAATATGATACTATGTTATTAGAATGGTGGTTTCTGGTCTGCACTTCTTATCTTCTTTTTAAGTAAATAGACTCATTGTATATTTTTTTAAGGTAGGTGGCTCTGGACCATATTTTCCTGAATCCCAAACAGGCACATAATCTTATACCTGGTTTAACAGTGGGACAGAAGATTTGAAGTTGGGACAATCCGAGACAGAAAATTTTATAAAATATTTAGAGCATAAATTAGGTCTGAATCATTAATAATAAGTATTTTTGAATTACAATTGGGTATGTAACTAAGTAAGAATATCTTCTAACCTGAAAATTCTTATATATTAGGCTGATCATAGTCCTGTAAGATTAGAATATGGCAATTTAGAAAAATGCCCTACTTTTAAACATATAATCCTGATACTTTTTTTTTTTAATGATGGAACATTGTTAGCTAGGTGCTTTGGGCTGCAGAATGATCTGGATGATGATAATTACTTGTTGTGCCTCTTGTTCTGATCTATCCCAGATTACTTGGTTCTTGTCCTCATTGTGTGTATGCTGTGTTAAGGAGTTCAGTGTTAGCAAACCAGCAGAGATTTAGTCTATGGGTCACGTGTGAGAGAGAGATGAAGTTCATTTTGACAAGAATCTTATCTTTCCAGTCTCCACGTTTGATGGGGATGGAGTGGGAAATGGAATGGTGGAGGTTGCTTTACAATTCATTTCAGTTATTATCAATTTGAAACACTTCCTGGTGCCAAAAATCTAGAAGGTTTAGCATAGTTTATAGTAGAGTGAAAAGAGCAGAGTGTCAAGAATGAAGAGCTATAGGTTCTAGTCCCAGCTTGTCATTTAATAACTTTGTGACCGTAACAAGCTACTTAATCTTTTTAACTTTAACTTACTCATATATGAAATGAGGTTAATAATCTGCTGTATCTATTTCACAGAGTTGTTAGGAGGATCAAGTGAAACTATAGGTATAAAAACCTTTGAGAACTGACTAATGGCATATCGTTATGAGGTAATATTATGATGTTGTGTATGCCACCTTATACCAGCTTGTCTCTCCCCATGAGAAAATGGATGGAGTTGTGATATCTTTGCTTGGTTTTAGAATTTTTCATAGACTAAAAAAACGATTATTTTAGGAAGCCTTCTGATGATGGTTCTATTTAGGAAAAAGAAAACTAGTGAAGTATCTGCTGTGTTTTTACTAGGGCACAAATAATTTCAATGAGAAGTACTCATCAGCTATGCTTTGCTTTACAGCTTGGAATCCCATCCACTGCCAGCACATTGAATGCCACAACGCAATTAACAAACCAGCTGTGAAGGTACTGTTTTAGCAGACCTGGTGCCATCTCGTATTATCAGTGGTCAAATTATCAGGAGCAGATTGCTGAATGAAATGGAGTAGATTGTATCCTTCTCTGTAAAGCAGAGGCCTGTGCTCTGTGGTAATCTCAAGCACGTCCATGTCAGTCTAACTATACTTTGGTGGGTTGCTTCAAGACAGAGCAATCGATAGTGGTATCTGCAGGTTTGTCTATCAGTTCATAGCCAAGTGCTGTGTAGCACTGAGCTAATTATCAGAATAATTCTGGTGAAACATTTACTTAGTCCTGAACTGGCTCTATCTGAGCTAATAAACTCAGGGAAAGGTACCTTGCCCCTGTTTTCATGTGTATGCTACAAATCATGAGTGTCTAGAGTGTGACTATGCAAACTCAAGAGTCATAGGACAAAAATAGATGAAATTGTTAAGTCTTAGCTCAGATCACAGATATGATTTAGTTGAAACGACAGAGGTAGTTGGACAGCAAACGTGGAAAGTTACATTAGAGGTAAGGGAACAGCGGTTTAGAGAGGTTAAGTCACTTTCCTACAGTCACACGGCTGGAACCAGGTACCTTGAGTCAGCCTTATTCTTTTTCTACCACATCTAATTGGGTCTGTCTGTTATAACCCTGAATCTTTCAAATTGAATGTTAAGAAAAATAATCAAACCTTTTAACAAAATTACTTATTTTTGTTGGATACAATACTTGGCTGGAGAGACCTGTGTCTGGATTTGCAAGGGTTAATTTTTATATTATGAAGAATGAGAGTTAGGTTAAGTGATTAAAGTTCACAGTTACTTTTTAGAACCTAGTGTCATGGGAGTTTGCCTCCCTTGTTCTATGGATAGGTCGACTGTAAAGATTACCAAATGATAGAAAAATAGTACTGTCATTTTATAGAAATGGAGTAGAAGAGGTAAAATGAGTTATAAGAAATATAAATATAAATGGAACCAACAAGAAACATAAATGGAACCAAAAATGTTTTTCATGTACCAGAACGGCAGAGGAGTGCCAGTAGTAACACTGTCGTCTAGATATCTCTTACTAACAAAAGACATCCTTGCATTGTTACACTTGATCTCTGCTTTTGATGAAAGCAAACTGAAGGAATTTGTGTTGAGGAAGAGCAGGTGAGGGAAAGCCACCCCTGGAAACACAGTCCTCTCCTCTTCTACTGTGTGCACCCCCCTCTGAGCCGCCATGGACATTTGGGGTTCAAAGGTGCTGTTCTTTGGTGTGAGGACGTTTTCAGCAAAACACTTGAGTTCATGTATTATTCATGGAATTAATTCTTCGCAGTGGTGAGACTTATCTGCCTCTCTCACTTTAGTTTCTATATCCGTCCTTTCTTCTTCCCGTCTAAGTTACAACTCCCTCTTTTGATTCACCCAGACATCAACAGAAAGGAGGTACTTTCTGTCTGATCTTTCCTTGATTTTTTGTCAGACTGCATTCCCAGGAGTCCTCTGACTTCCTGATTAGGAATGATGTCTGGCCTCCTACCCACAGAAATCATCAGGATTAGATTTTCTCCTTCTCTTCTAGGCCAACAGCCCAGTGCCCTCCTCTGGCCTGGCCTCCCTTTCCTCACAGGCTGTTCCCACAGCCAGCCCTCCAGGACAGGCCAAATCATCCTACCTTCTGGCATTTGTTTGTTGAGGTGAAATTCACATAACATAAAATTAACCATTTTTAAACGAACTGTTCAGTGGCACGTAGCACATTCACCATGTTGTGCAACCACCACCTCTATCTGGTTCTAAAATATTTTTATCACCCCCAAAATTTTGCTTTCTGAACTCCAGTTTTCCTGAAGAGCTCCCTTTTTTATTTGTACTCTACAATTCCCAGAAAGGTAACATTCTTGTTAACGCCTCCTGTGCTGGGGCTGCTTTTGCCTGACAACAGGTCTGGCTCCGTGCTGTTCTTTCTTTACAATATGAGTGCTCCCCAAACCCACGGAGATGTGACTATAGGACATGTAGATCAAGGGTATCTGCCATCCAGATGCTTCCAGAATAATGTTAAATGAAAAAGAAATTATGAAATTGTACAGTACGATGCCAATTTAGTTTAAAATTACATATATTTATATTCATGTTCATAGTGAAAAACAACCAGTAATTCTCATCAGAATGTTACTAGTGATTGCATTGAGATGGAGGTTAATGAGTTATTTATTCTCTTATTTCCTTCATTTTCCCAAGCCTCTACATTTGGCATATGTTATATTTATAAACAGAAAATTGCTATTTTTTAATGCAGTCAGATATGAACATATTAATATGGGTGTTCAGAGTAGAACAGAATTGACACTATCAGCTACAAATCTGATGGGTCATGTTAATTAATTCATAATACATCAGAGGTCAATTAGCTAATCTCTAATGGCTCTTTACAGTTCTAACATCCTAGGAGTTTTTCCTTTTGAGTGGAATGAAAAAGCTCTTTGCCTGACAGTGGTATCAATGATTCATTAGAAATGAGAGTGAAGTAACTGCACTAAAGAAGAGGTCTCCATGGGGTGCATGGCAAAGACTCAGGGAAAATGCATTTATCCTCACAAAAGGCCTAACGTCTCCATAATGGTGAGGTATAGCACCGCGGAGTAATGACTTGCCGGTAGAAAGTATTATCTATTTTGGTTGGCATAGGTTGCAAAAAAGTACTTTTTAGGTAAGAGCCAAGAGTTGTGATAGGATTGAAAATGAAAACGTGTTGGAACTTATAGTTTGTTGTATCACACTCTGCTTTTGGTTTTACTTGGTTCTATTTGAAAATCACTTTATGAAGTACTTTGGAGTCCAGATAATTATCTAAAACTAAGTCAGCAAACTATGGCCTATAGTCCAATTTGGCATGCTGCCTGTTTTTGTAAATAAAGTTTTATTGGACCACAGCTATTTACTTATGTATTGCCTATGGCTGTCTATTGTTACGTATTGAGCTAAATGCTCATTTGCCTGCATATTGTCCATGGCTGTTTTCATGCTACAGCAGCACGGTTGAGTAGTTGTGGCAGAGAACGTATGGCCCACAAGGCCAGAATTATTTACTCTCTGGCCATTTGCAGTAAGTTTGCCAGTCCCTGATTTAACACACCAAAAAGTAGTTATTCATTGCAAAAAAGGAAGCATGGAGCTTATCTAAGGAAAATTTTCACAATGGGAACATATATTTTACAGATTTTGATGGTATAATTATTTAAATTTAGGAATTCTAACTCCTTTTTCCTCCAATCATTGAAACGCTTCAGGGTTTTAAGTTTAAATGGCAGGCTGTTTGGATGATAAATTTAGTTCGTTTTTCCCCTTCAACTCAGTAAAAACTAAAGACAAGGCAGCATGAAGTTCCAGAAGAATTTGTGTACTAGGCACATTAACTGCATAATCAGCTGTAGTGTGGAAAAGGGCAAGAACGGAATTCAAAATGACTTTGGAAAGTCATAGGAATTTAAACTGATGCAAAGTACAAAATTCAGCTGGTCGTCTGAATATTTTGTTCGCTTCATTTAAAACATCCAGATATTTGAAATATCCTGATGATCAACTGTAAAATGAACACTTTTCATCTCTGTGTTTAGGTTAATGAAAACTCAGCCATAAATAATTCAGAATTGAACGGGGCATAGCAGGGTTAAAGATACTACAGGTCACGCGTGGAAGGAAAAACACCTGAAAATGAAATGTTGGATGACTGATGTAGAACTTAGGTTCCAGAGTAAGAAAAGTGAATCACTCAATGGTAGATCTAGTGCTAAATTTTCTGAATGAGGTCTATCTTAAGAAGCAAAATTCTCTATGGCATGCATTTTGGTAACAGTTATGATTTTATAATCTTAATAATGTGTTTTCCTTTTCCTAAAAAGAGATTGCTGTGTTTACCACTTTAGAGAAGGAATTACTATACGAGTCATGTAGAGGCAATTTGAACAGCCATTGAGCAAGATGATTTTTTTATCTTTGTGGAATGAAGGTGGATTTCTTGACACTGTTTGTTACTTGAATTGCAAATAACAGGAGAAATGAATAACCACAGTAGCCACATTTAAAGCTTCAGTGTGGACTCATCAGCCAGCGTAGGAAAAAGTTATAGGTTGAATGGGTTTTGCTAAAAATATTTATTCTGCTTTGCTTTAGAAAATTTGTCATTATTGAACCATTTGTGCTCATGATACAGGCAATGTGATAAACAGGACAGGAGAGGTCATTCTGTCTCTTCGTGTGTTTCAGATGTGTATAGACCCTTCCCTGTCAGTAGCTTTGGGTGATAAACCACCCCCACTGTATCTCTGTGAAGAATGCAGCCAGAGGATCGCGGGGTAGGTACCAGGGTCTTCAAGGAAAAGGAAATAGGGCAACAATGAGAAGATAAGAACAATCACTTGGACTTAAATTGGTTACATTATCCACCTTTCCCACTAACCTCTCTGTTTTTTAAAGGTTAGTTTGTTGGATATTTAATATATAGCGAACTTTCATTTGAAACGTTTCAGCTTTGAAGATTTGCAATATTTCTTTCCATGTGCCAAGAGAAAGCAATTCCATTTAAGAAAGCAGCTCCAGTTTTCAAGTGACCCTGTTAAAAGGGCACAGTGAAACAGAAAACTGTGGTTTTCAAACATGACATATAATTCATGTGGGTTCTCTTTGCTTGTCGGTTTTGCAGAATCACATTCAGCTCTGTACAAATCATGCTGTATTTTGGTTGGCTTAATTAGCATCTGGAAAGTATCATTTAAAGATAACTGAATATGATGAAATGCCTATAATTTATAATTTAGCTGGAATGCATTAGACATTTTAAAAAGTGTACTATGATAGTGCTCTTAATTTTACTTCCTTTCTATTAAAAGCTTTTTAGTGGTAGTGTGCAGCTTATAAACATTCGGGGGGAAGGGTAACATTGCAAAGAAGCTCAACAATGACTTCTGCTTTTCTTTATAGGGACCACAGTGAATGGTTGATTGATGTTCTTCTGCCACAAGGTATGGTTTGCTTCAGAAGAATGAATAATGAGTAATCGTGACTAATGGCATGGTTGATTTCTCTCCTCTTGTACTGTTTTATTTTACAAAGACAGTAACCGAAGTATTATAGTCTATGAATATTCATTCATATGAAGCATGATATCAATGTCTTTCTTATAATATACCCACACACTTAATAATGAGGAAGGAGGCATCATCTCTACCAAAATTAAGGGTAGATGTTGGAATTAGGATTCTGTGTGACTAAAGCCCTGCTGAATTATGTCATAAGGGGTTTTCTGTATATATAACCGGTGTTGCCAATGATGTGTTTGCTGTGCCAGGTCGGAAAGGGAATAAGGGACATCAGCAGGAAGAGCATTGAATAATGGGTCTTTCTCCTGCCACTATTACTGGCTCAGTGTTTTTAGGGAAAATTGTTTAATTGCCCTGAGACTCAGTCTCCCCATCAGTAAAATGGGGCTAATGTACATCTGACCCATCTCAGTGGAAAGACGAGATTACGATGCTTGTAGTCTGTCAGAGTTCTGAAAGCTAAGCCTGGTGAGTGGGCAGGTCCCGGACAGAGCTTTCTTCCACACGCGGGGAAGCAGGTATTCCAGCCACCTAATTGGAGGCTGAAATGATCAGAAAAAGTACTCAGGAAAGCAGAGGAAAGATGAAAGGTGGAAACTGGGGGCATACTGAGTCTAGATCAGGCACACAGGAGGAACTTGACATATGACTTCAGAGGTAGATAAAAGAATTTCTATGAAAGACATTTTAAAAAGAAATGTAAAAACCTTGTGTTAACTAAATTGTGAACTTTTTTTTTAAACTTAAGGCCTTTGCTTGATGATAATTACACTATCTCTTGGTAGTCTAACTTTTAATATTAGGTCATCTCGACCTTAAATGATTTAGTGAGTGCTCTCCATCTGTAAAATGGATCAATAATGTCAGCTTCTACATCATTTGAAGAGACATTTTGAAAATTTACCTAAGAATATCTGTAAAAAGATTTGGATTTCTATGAATGAAGGTAACTTTTTTCTCGCTTAAATTAGGTTACCTTGTTAGCCAACTTCCAGTACTCTGAGGTAAAACCCATAGTCAGGTTCTAAAGCACATTTTAAATACCAGATATACTGCTCAATTCTGTCAGCATCTCCAGATGATATTCGTCTTTGGAAGAAAATTGATAGCTTTTCATTAATTTATCTAGAGATGTGGCGCTAAGCTTAACATAAAGCTTAAGATGTGACACAGGTTAAGATAAACTCTAAGATATCAGACTGTAAAATAACCATTAATTATACGAAACCAGCTTTTAAAACTGAGTTGTAAATTTTATTGATTTGGCATCCACTAATTCATAATTTCCAGACAGAGTCTGGGCAACATTTACCTTTGATCTTTTTAATAAATGGTAACACAGACTAGACTGTAAGTAATGGTTTAATCCATTTTTTGAGCACTTACTATTTCAGGGGAAATGTTAACATATTTTTGGAAAAATTATTTTCAGGTGCTCTCAAACATCGATTTTCATGGACATAATTGGTATGTCCACTAGAAAGAGTTTTTATCCATTTGTTAAGTCAATCCTGAAGTATATATCCCATCAACTCAGTGGCATAGCATAATGGATGAGCGGAAAACAGGGATTCCAGAGATGTTAGCTCTGGCTCTGCCTCTCCCATTGACTGGGTGATCCTATAGTCATGCAACCCTCAGTTTTGTTCTCTGTCAAATAAGGAGGTGAGATTAAAGTAATTTGGCTTTAACATGGTCTGAATTCTAAGTCATTTCTGAGGAGGTTGAATTACTTGTGAAAATAAGTGAAGTATTTGAACATGCAGGTGTTTTTGACCTCATTAAACATAAGTAGATGACAATTTAAGAGACAAGTGAGAAGCTGTTTTGGCCAAGTCTAGAGGTTGTGTTACTAAGCTTGTTTTTACTCCCCTTCATGGCTGCCCTTATTTTAAATGGGCTCTCTTTCTTTGTTGATATTTTGTGTACCTTCCCCTTACAGCTGAAATATCTGCTATATGTCAGAAGAAGGTAAGAGCAAACCATCTGTGTGGTGGGGCATGGTTTGCTGTGTTTGTATGTAAATTCATTCATTGACATCTGCCTCATTTTTGCACCGTGGTTTCCCAGTACGTATGTGTCACTGTATTTGTGAAGGGGGAAAAGAAATAATTTAGCATGCAAAATTGCTATGTCCAAATGGTCTCTATTTCCATTTCTGCTTTTGCTCACCCATCTTATGCACTGTGTTTTTGATAAGTAATCTGAAATAAAAGCATACGTGTCACTCTGCATTAGAAGTCTAGTTATAAAGAGATTTGAATGACAATGCAATACATGCTGCTTAACTTTGGTAAAGGATGTATCTTATATGCTAACAATATTTATTGTTTTGAAGTGGAGTGCAAATTCTCCAATAAATGTGTGTCAGAAACATACCTAGACCAACTATATATGGGAAATATTCATTTACATGTAAGTTGAATGATATCTCTAGTTAAATATTTTGCCTTCAAATTTCCTTTAGCCACTTTTCACAACAGTTTCCCTAAGCCATTTCCATCTTATTTTCTTGTTCTAGTTGTTGAAAAGTACAAGAGGAGGTAGTGTGGTGTCATACAAAGAACTTTGGGCTAGTTGCTTGAGATACTTGGGTTCTGGCCAGCGCTATTCCCACCTCCCTGTGAGACCACGTACAAGTCATTTAAACTTTTTAGGAGTCGGTCATGAGTGGGTACCTTTGGAGGGCTGTTTCAGTTATCTTTTACCACATAATAAACCATCCTAAAATGTAGTGGCTTATAACAACAGACATTTATTTGATCACAATTCTGTGGATTGGCAATTTGGCCTGTGCTCAACTAGGCCGTTCTTTTGATAAACTTCTCTGGGCTCACTCATGTATTTGCAGTCAGTTGGTGGGTAGGCTGGGGATTGGCTGGTTCCACATGACGTCACTGCCATGTCTGGGGCCTCAGCTGTGATGGCCGGAATGGTTGAGATGACTGAGTGCTTGCCCTTTCCTCTTTCTGTTAGGTGTCTCATCCTCCAGGAGGCTAGGCTGGGTTTGTTCATTAGGCAGCAGTGTTCCAAAAGATTGAGAGAGGAGGTGGCAAGGTGTTTTGAGACTGAAGCTCGGAAGTCACACAGCATCACTTCTGCTGCATTCCATTGGTCAAAACATCCCCCAAGGCCAGCCCAGATTCGAGCAGTGGGGAAATAGACTTCTCCTCTTCATTGAAGGAACAGCAAGAATTTTGTGGTCATATTTAATCTATCACAATCCACCCTCTTGACATAATTACTTACATTCTTTCCATATGCAAAATACTCTCACCACCTTATAAGACCTTCGAAAGTCTTGTCCATTTATGGCTTCAGGCTTAAAGTCAGTTATCTTGTGATCTGCATCTGGTCTGGTCACTGATGAAACTCCTCTGGTACAAATTCTCTTGATTCAGACACCTGTGAACTAAAAAGGCAAGTTATCTGCTCCCTACACACCCCCCACACAACGGTGAGATAGGGACAGGATAACAGCAGTAGACTTCTATTCAAAAAGAAGAAGAGGAAGCGGATGGCTAGTCTGTAGCAGTCCAGCCATCAACATGTCAACAGTTCCTTTGTCTCCAGGGATAGCAATGTGCCTCGATTAGGATCTGGTTTTGCTTCCTGAGAGTAGTTCCTCAATCCATTGTTGTCCTTCTGGGCTCTTTGCTCCAATCTCTGAGATATCTTTCCTTTTCAGTGAGGAATGGTCCATGTTGCAGCTGAGTACCTCTCTTAGTTTTCTTGTAGAAGTTGGGGTTCCCACAGACGTCTTTTCATGTTGACCTGTGTCTGTCCTCTTTAGTTTAAGCTGGTGGTGCTTTTGCTAGTATGACTTTCTTTAAAACTTTGTGGATTTTCAGTGAATTTCACTGGGGTTCAGTGCCCCCAAAGCCATATATATAATTCTTTTCGAGACAGTCCTTTCTGTACTTTGGACATTTTAGTCTGCCCTTAAAGTTATTAGAAGCCCTATTCTAGCTGAGAGGCTCAACTGGGCATCACTTTATATCTTTCTAACATTTTAACAAAGGAGTACAGTCATACTTTTGATTTGACTTTTATCCTGAGGCTGTTTCTCACTTTGAGAATCTTTTACAAACTAGAGAGACTAGGATGAGAAACACTTTTATTTTCTAAATCAGCATGTCCTGGCTCTGGTGGTATTCTTAACATATTTGACACTGAGAGTGGATCATTTTTTAACACTCTCCTCCTTTATATGACAAAAGTATTTTTAGTAATAACCTTCAAATTAGCAGATTTTTTATTATGCGTCCTTTATAAACATTGTATTTTATATGAAAGCTAAAATGGGGAACTTCCATTGAATTCATACTAGTTCAGAATTGTTTGAGCTTGCTTCGGGTACAGTCTGTGTCTTTCCCTCTTTCGGTACTACATATTCCTACTCTTGAACAGTAGGTTTGAAATAAATGTCAAGGTTGTGAAGATAAAGAGACAGACCTTGATTTACTTCAATTCTGTCATTATATGAGACCACTTGGAGTTATTTATTTATGTTTAAAATTCAAAGCAGTGAACAGAGTGCTGGAGTGAATATTTGCAAACCGTGCCCAGCTGAATCCGGATCTAAGGAAAGTCTCTCAGGTTCACTTTGAAATGGAGACAAATGGCTGACATCACATGGGTTGAGGACCAATGGTGGCTTGGAAGTATATTATTAAAACTTAGTAGGAACCACAGCAATTGTTTAGAACTTTGATTAACCAAAGGTTATTTGGGGGCAAAGTATTTATTGCTGATATTATTTAGAATTGATGGCACATGGTGAGAAAGCAGGTTGACTTTTAGTTGGTAGTCCAGATACCAATATATGCAGTATGTCCAGATACTGGATAAGAAATCATTCAAAAAGTAGCAGCATCAAACAACAACGATTGAATTATGCTCACAGATTCTGTGGGTCGGGGATTCAGACAGGGCACAGTCCACAGCCTGTCTCCGCTCAAGGGGCCTCATCTGGGAAGACTTGACTAGCTTGGAGCTGGAAGTATCTAGAGGCTTCTAGATCATATGTTTGGGCTCTGGGTTGGGGTGACTTGAAGGCTGGGCTTAGCCAGCACCATTGACTAGAGACTTACACATTGCCTCACCATGTGGCTTGGCCACGGCAGAGTTCTGAGAAGAGTAGACTGATGAGCAGGCTTTGAAGAGAGAACATTCCAAGACAGCCAGGGGGAACTGCATGTCTTTTTAAAACCTGGCCTCAGGAGTCATATAAATATCACTTCTGCCATCCTCTTGATTGAAGCAGCCACAAGCCCATCTAGATTCAAGGAGAATGGAAGCATACCTGAGGAAGCAAACCCAAAGAGCCTCGTCCACAGCTGGGCTTAATTTATATGAGAAGACCTTGGACCTCCAGCCAGGAATTTGCATGTGGCAAGAGTGTAAATAATTTGTGACCAGAAAATAGGATGGGAAATTGCAGGCCTTAAACTTTAGGTCTTCATTATACCCACTAGCCCATATCCACTTCCTATTGTTTATATAACAGTGGGCATCCCAGAGGAACAAAGACTCATTGTAACCAAAAGGAAGAAATAAACACTAAGAAAAAGCTCCGACATGTGCCGCGCTGCTAGTGGTGCGGTATTGGTTTGGTGGGTGAGCAGGAGAAGCCCTAAACCAATAGGGATTCTTGTGCTTCCAGAGTGAAATTTAGTGTATGAAAGAGGAAGGAAGGGCACAGAGCCGAAAAAATACTCCACTTGGAGAAGTCAGGGCTGGCTTGGAGGCCAAAGACGACTTGGGCTTCAGATGCAGAAGAAACACTCTGTATTTTAGGAAACAACAACAACAAAAACCCCTTATTAATAGAAAGAAAAAAAAAAGATTGCAAAAATTTTGTTTTTATGATTTGTTGGCCTGAGTCCTGTTCAGAAAATGAGATTTCCCAGCACTGCTATCCAAAGCCTTTGTGCTAAAATTGAAGTGGAACAAGCCTTCCTTTGAAATGGTTGTTCCGATAAGCAGTCAATACAGTGTCACGGTTTTGATGTAGATTTTGTGCTGCTTGCTGCTTCCTTCTTCTGTCTCCACAAGGTGTCTGTCATGGAGGCTCTCAAATCTTCACCAGGCTCTGAGATCGTAATGGCTAAGGGTATTATATCCCCTAGAGGTGTTCCCATCTTTATAATCTCTGTTGAAAGATGAAAATGCTCTCTGGACATGAGGCATTGAGCGTGTGGTGGTGGCCTCTCCAATAGGCTTGGGGCACGTTTTTTGCGGACGTCAGGGACGTTTCCTGATAGCTCCTCAAATTGCTTCGTGTGGATGCTGCCTTGCTCCTCCGCCTCTTGTCAGGGCAGCTGTGACAACAGCCCCCGATCTGGGGCATCTCCCTGATGCTACACCACTGTCCTTGCTTCCATTGCTTCATCTGTTGACCCTTCCAGTAGTTGATGTCAAGGCTGATTCTGTGAGTGGCTCTTGCTGCCTTTTGATATGTTCTCATGGTGTCAGTGGACATATTCTTTAGGTCTTGATAGAAAGAGTGCTGGGGGGAGTGGAAAGGTCTGCTTTTGGGTTATCAGCTCAGCTCGGCACAACTCCCTGCCTGACCTTGAAGGCAGCAAGGACAGATGAGCTGTAATGGAAATCTGCTCTTTTAGGAGTAATTTTGAAAGTTTATTCTGGGGCTTAAAATGATCCTTCCTACTCTGATGTGCATGATGCTCTCTCTCTCTCTGGACCATGGTTTTAATTTTTTTCTTCATATGTCTGCTGAAAACTCTTGAAACACTAACTTGGAATAATCCAGAACGCCCCCTCCCTCCCATGATTGAGGTAACTTTACAAAGGGCTTTTCAGCAGAGTCCCACTCATATTTAGAACGTTCCTATCACTCACACTAATAGAAACCACTTCTCACCTTTACTTTTATCCGTGACTGAAATCTAACTGGTTAGAGATGGCCCGCATTTTGGAAGCTAGTGGCACTTCAGAAATGTGCTGTGACTTCCGGGGGCCCCTTAAGTTTCCATTTGTTCCAATTCTTAGCCAAATTTACCTCAGCAATTAACTTTAACTGATTTCCCTTTTTTCCTCCTAGAACTGCAGTTCCCACGTTAGAAGAGCAGTTGTCACCTGCTTTTCAGCAGGGTGCTGCGGTCGCCACGGAAACAGGCCTGTGCGGTATTGCAAAAGATGCCACTCCAATCATCACAGTAACGAAGTGGGGGCTGCCTCGGAGACCCACCTGTACCAGACCTCCCCTCCCCCCATCAACACGCGGGAGTGCGGTGCTGAGGAGCTGGTCTGCGCCGTGGAGGCCGTGATTAGGTAACAAGCAGTTTTTGAGCAGCTTCCCCTGAAAACACCACGTTCGCTTTGAGCCACCCTTCTCCCATGGAGGTGTGTAAATTTAATTCAACTTCAAGTGCCCTCAGCCCAGCAGCTCGCCGTCCACAATGCTGCAGTGATGATGTTTTAATTGATTCATTCAAAAAATATTTTTATCGGATGCCAGTTATATGCCAGGCGTGTGTTGGGCACTTGGGAGAGAGACAAGAATAAAATGTAGTCCCTGCCCTCAGGTTAGCCATGTGGAGCCTGCAGAAACAGAAGCGCCTAACTGCAATCCGTGTGGTGCACGCAGTGACAGCACAGGGCAGGGATTCTCAGGGGAATGAAGTGGAGGCTGTCACCAGAGCAGGGGGTGGGGACAGGGCCACCCGAGGCCAGAGTGCCAGCAGCGAGGTGCGAGAGGGCTAATTTGGTACTAGTGGGGTAACCCAGGAGGCTGTGGAACAAGACAGGGGTCTGATCTTGCAGGCTGCTGGCTATTTCTCTTTCTATCACGTGACAGAAAAAGCAGCTTTGGAAATGATAACCTCTAGATTTGTTCTCTTTTTGTATAATATTCACTGCGGCAAGGTTTTTAAAAATGAAAGCATTAGAATGTAAGTTTTAAGGATGGGGACTAAGTCTTTTCTGTTTGTCTTATCCCAGTGGCTGGTGCATATAGAAATGCAATAAATATTTGTCAAATAAAACATTACAGAAAATTTGGAAATAGAAAAAAAAAATCAACCATATCATCATCATCAGTTTTGCACATGTTCTTCTGGTTTTATTCAAATGCATGTTTTATTTATATAACTGTAATCACAGCATAGCCACAATTCTTTTTGATATAATATTATACTATTAGCTCTTTCTATGTTGTTGTGTAGTTTCCATGTTTATCATTTTTGGTGGAAACATTATATTCATCTAGATTATTTTCCTTCACCGTTATTTAGATTGCTTCTAATTTTTTCCTATTATAAATAACTCTGATAAATATTTTTATATATAGTGCTATTCCTATATTTTTTATTTTCTTAGGGTAGATTACTAGATGTGGTTGACTGGGTCAAAGGACGTAAATATTTTAACAGCTCTTGATATGTTACCAAACTGATTTTCAAAGTACGTATATGAATTTATAATGCCAAAAGTGCTGTATGAAATTGCTAGTTTTAATCTTTTTTTTTTTGAGGAAGATTAGCCCTGAGCTGTCTACTGCCAATCTTCCTCTTTTTGCTCAGGAAGACTGGCCCTGAGCTAACATCCTTGCCCATCTTCCTTTATTTTATACATGGGACGCCCACCACAGCATGGCTTTTACCAAGCGGTGCCATGTCCACACCTGGGATCCGAACCGATGAACCCTGGGCCGCCGAGAAGCGGAACATGCGCACTTAACTGCTGCGCCACCAAGCTGGCCCAGAATTGCTAGTTTTAGATACAACCGTGCCAACATTGGGTATTATTTTTAAAAATTGTCACTTTGTTTAGCAAATTGAAAAATGAGTCTTTGCTGCTCATTTTCAGGTCTTTGAATCCTAGATATTGAATATTTTCCTATTTGGTACAAGTCCTCAATCTCTCCTTGTATCATGCATTTGATGTCCACAAAGTTCACATTAGATGTACAGGAAGCATGGACTTCTAGTGGGATGGTTGGTGAACCAGAAGCCAGAGGCATCAGTTCTACTTGATTCTAATTGATTGGAAGAAGTAGCCTGTTTGTGCTCAATTTGTTCATCTTTGAAATGAGGATAGAGTACAAAATAGTAAGGAAATGAAATTAGGCTCTTTGGAGTAACTCCTACCAATGTAGAGGAGAGCAATCAGTGATGCCCGAGAACTCATGAAGTGGCTGCTCTGAATAGGTCATAGTCTAGAGTGTGGTTTTTCAAAAGTCTGACTTGAAACCTCTCCTCCGCGGCAGCTTGTTGAAAGAAGCTGAGTTCCACGCGGAGCAGCGGGAACATGAGCTGAACCGCCGGCGGCAGCTGGGCCTGTCGTCTTCCCACCACTCCCTGGATAACACCGACTTTGATAACAAGGATGATGATAAGCACGACCAGCGGCTGCTCAGTCAATTTGGAATATGGTTCTTGGTAAGAAAAGAAGTTAACTACTGTCCACTCTGTTTCTCCTTCCAACATTGCACCGACGTGGACTGTCTCCTGTTGTTTTTAAAGAAGCAAGCAGTGGAAAATTAACCTTAGCAGTGGGACTCCAAACTCCAGGACAGAGGCTTTCAACCCTGGGCTGCACGTTAGGTTTACCTGGGAAGGCTTTTAAAAAATGACATTGCCCAGATACCACCTCAGAATCTTGGGAACTTGATTTTTTAAATTATTTTTATTTTTCCTCTTTCTCCCCAAAGCACCCCCGGTACATAGTTGTATATTTTTAGTTGTGGGTCCTTCTAGTTGTGGCATGTGGGACGCCACCTCAGCATGGCCTGATGAGCAGTGCCATATTGGCGCCCAGGATCCAAACCCGAGAAACCCTGGGCCACTGCAGAGGAGTGTGAGAATTAACCGCTCTGCCATGGGGCCCCTTGGGAACTTTTAAATAAGCTCCCTAGTTGATTCTAATGAAGACCCAGGTGTTGAAACCTCCTGTGCCGGGCGCCCAGGCCGTTTGAAAGGCACCTTTGACAGGAAACAAATGGGAAAGTTGCTAGGGTCTATTATGAAATATTGGATTCAGTGTAATTTACAGATCATTCACATCCCATTGTCTATCTACATGACATTTTTCTTGAAAATTCAGTCTCTGTGGAGCTTTTTGTGTATTTATGGCAAGTCTGCATACAGTCAGAAAAATTATAGCCAAATTAACATGAGGAATTTGATTGCTATTGACTGATTCAACTGCAATATTCATTCAGGAAAGATCGACCATACAGATCCAACGTTGCGAGCAAGCTAAATTTGCCAGTTCAGCCGAGAAGCAGACTTCTGTGTTTGACCATTGGAGACATAGATTAAGTCTCCCTAGTGACACATTTCTTTCACGCTTTCACCTGAAAAAGTTTTTTTTTTTTTTAACCAAATCGACACAATGACTACTATTGTGAACTCTTTGAAGGCAAGGATAGTGTTTTATTTATTTTTTATATTCCTGAATATACTATAGTGCTCGGTGAAAGATTATTTCAGAATCAATGAATGAATAAATGATGAGCTGTTTTAAAAAGTCTATTTATAATGTGGTGAATTAGAGGGCTCTAAGATTTCAGAATTATTACTGATAGAAAATTCTTAGCCTAAATCTGATCATTTTAGAACTGAAATGTATACAGATTATTTTTTCACTGAAGATACTTGTTTCACTTTGTAGATTTAATTTTTTTTTTAAAGATTTTTATTTTTCCTTTTTCTCCCCAAAGCCCTCCAGTACATAGTTGTGTATTTTTAGTTGTGGGTCCTTCTAGTTGTGGCATATGGGATGCCGCCTCAGCATGGCCTGATGAGTGGTGCCATGTCCACACCCAGGATTCGAATTGGCGAAACCCTGGGCCGCCGAAGCGGAGCAGGTGAACTTAATCACTCGGCCACGGGGCCGGCCCCCTAGACTTGACTTTTTAAAAGCATTTCTCTAGTGCAAATTACACAGTAGATTTCTTACGGGGGAAAAGGCTTATTGGAAGGTGCAACCTCAAGGGGAAATAATTGTTACAATCCGTCTCTCCCGTAGAGAGGAACACAGTTTCCAGGATACATGATCCTCCATCATTTATGAAACTGCCTATTTCAGATGGATTATCTGGTTCATCTTTTTTCTTTTGCCTTGAAATGAACATGTGATAATTTGCAAAGATAGATGGAGGCTGAAGCAGGGTCTGACCTGCCTCTTTCCAGGTGAGCCTCTGCACACCCAGTGAGAACACCCCGACGGAAAGCTTGGCCAGGCTGGTGGCCATGGTGTTTCAGTGGTTTCACTCCACAGCATATATGATGGATGATGAAGTTGGAAGTCTGGTGGAAAAACTGAAGCCTCAGTTTGTCACCAAGTGGTTGAAGACAGTGTGTGATGTTCGCTTTGATGTCATGGTCATGTGCCTTCTCCCGAAACCAATGGAATTTGCCAGGGTAAGTGGAGGCCTACAGCTTGGACCTTGTTGGAGAGAAGGCTTTGGGGAGAAGTGCTCCCTTAGCTATTGGCGTGCTCTCATTGTCTGTCGAAAAGGAACATCGCTCCTTATTTTAGTCCACACAGCAAATGAGTTTAGTAACTACATTTTAGGGGATGTACTGCTTTGATGGTGGTTTGGGATGGGGAAGAATGGCAAAATGAATGTGTGAAATATCTTTAAGAATTTAAAGGAATATTCTTTCATGACATTGCTGAATATTTTTACTAAGAAACAGGAAAAAAAGGCTCTCTGTGGGGTTGCTAGAGCTCAGTTCTTTTCCGGTCTAGAGTCTGTGGAAAGGCTAACATTTGACTAGGGGCAATTTCTGTGGTTTCACAGATATTTCTCGAGATGAGTGGTAGAAGTCCCTGCCCTCCCATTTGGAATTCCAAAAAGAGTTAGGAACTGTCAAAATGCTCCTTTTCTTCTGGCTTATAGGAAAAATTTCTCTATGTTTATCCTCTTGGTTCTGCCTCAGTGGATCACAGGCTTCAGAGGTACAGCTGGTAAGACCCCACGTTTCTTGAACACAATATAATTTGTGTCTCATGGACGTCCACCAAGAAGGTGGATGTCCAGAATCAGTGTTCGGCAGCAATACATGAAATTTTTTTCAAGGTGTTTTCTCAGTTTTGTTTTTATTTGTGATTTTTTCGTTTGCTTTCACTGAGGTCTTGAGGCAAGTTTCAGTTTAAATAAGACATTTGAGGATAAAACAGAACACAGACCATCTAAAGGAGTAGCTTCTATTGGATTTCCAGGACTCAGAGAACTCTCTGCATTTATCAAGATATACTTCTTTCTTCTTTGGTGCCACCTACTGACTCACATTTCAAACTGGATTTTTGCATAGTGGAAATTCCCTATTTCCTGGCATTCTTTGGAATAGTAAAGGATTGATGTGATCTGACTCTGAAAGATAAGACATGGTTATGTTGGGAGGAAAAGTTTTTCTCTACCAACTTGGGTCCAGGGGGCTTGAACAGGAAAATACCGAAAGTTCTGTCAGGCCTTTTGATGCTAATGGGACTGGGCATTCTGTTTCCAAGGTGGCTGAATTCATGGGAAACTCATTTCAGAGGGTGTTAATGGCAGCTATGTTTTCTGGAGGCTCTGCTTTAGTCAGATAAGGGAAGTTCAGATAAGGTTTCTCTCTGCATCTTCTTTAGCTTGAACGTTTTCACTTTACAGTAATCTTTATACCAACTCTGGGGGCCTGAGTGGATCTCTACCTTCCTCTCATCTGAAACTTCCCTAGAAGGTTCACACAAAAAAGCTAGGTTGATTGCTGTGGAGAGAAGTTTCAGGTTAGGAACTGCAAGGTAAGAGATCTGCAAAGGAGGAAAAGAGCATAGATTAGAACAAGAAAACAAAAAGAAAACAAAGATTAATGGTTAGAGTAGACTATGAACCTAGGTTCTGAGTCCAGGGGGCAGCCAGTTAAGAAGATTTCTAGATATTAGACTTGAAACATCTTTGGATTTTGGAGTTAGAACATGAGTGTGAGAGTCATGGTTATTTCCTGGAGCAGAGCGTGGAAGATGCGGGTGTTTGGTGAGCTTCCTGAGTGGCCTGAATTGTTGCAGCAATAAGTCCTTTGAAGTTTCTGTCAAATGGTCCTGCTTTAGCTTGCAGGGCTTTGGGACAAGGCGACCTAGAGTCTCAATGGGGATCTGGGCGGTCAGGTTTTAGTTCTTAGTGACACCAAGTTAGGAGGATGGGAGAAAAAGTGGAAGCATTAAGTACTGACAAAATGTCTAAGACAGCAGGATCCGGTTTTCAAGAGGTGAAAAATAGCCCAGAGACAGCGTACAGGACTAGAATCAGGGTTATAGTTTTCCATTGAACCAAAATTTCCCTCTCCAATCACCCCTGTTCTGATCAAAGATAATCAAAGTAAGGTTACTCTTGTTCACAAAATAAGTCTAGTCTCATTAAATTTGGCCTGATTATTTATATAAGTGCAGCAAGAATGGTAATTGACCAAATAGGCCTTTTTAAGTTTGCTTTGCTGGAACTTTTATAAGGAATCTCAGATTGGACTTTTAAAAGCTTCTCAGAGCTAGAAAGCCAGGCCAGGAAACTGTCATCATACTTCATCTGCAGTACCTATAGATTTGGGCGAGTTTCTCTCTTCTTGAGGTCCCCCAAATATTCTGAGGTTCCTGAGCCTGTCAGGAAGTAACCTTTCTTACTTGCCTTCAGGCTGGGAACCCCATAAGCCATGTACCAGGCTGGTTTTTCCAAGAGAGCTTTGTGAGCACTGGCTCCATAATGTCAACCTTAGTTCCTTAAAATTGTCTGGTCGTTATCTGATTCTATGTACATGATTCTCAAATATGACATTCCAGTCAAAGCTTTGGTAATATAACCAATTTTTCCAATTATGTCCTGGTATAAGGAGAACATATTCTTATTGACCTTGTGCAACTAACTATATTGCCATGAAAATAAGAATATCCAATAAGAGTTTCTGAATTCTAGAGGGACCAGGTAGGGAGAAAAAGACAAATGTTCATTTTTGTTTACAAAGGTATAATCTACTAAATTATTGTGAGTTATTGGTAGCTTAAGAGAAACCTTATATCCAAAAAATAGAACATTAAAGGACCAGCAATGTTCCAAATAAAAACCAAAAAACCATGGTTTTTTCCAAATGAAAAACCATAAAAATTATCATCTTTCCTCATCAGTTCATTCAGTCCCATGTAATTAGTTTTTGTTCTGTGTGATCTTGGGTTAGCGGTTTTATGAACCCATCAGCTTCTCCACTAGAGTTCTGGAATCAATTCTTGGTCCAGTGGTATGGTCTCAAAGTTACTTAAGCAATGCCATCAGAAGCCTGTACCCCAGATTACCTGTCATGGTCCTTTCCACAGGTCTCAGAGACAGTCCTTTCTTCTGAAGATGAATTGATTGCAAGAGCTTTCAGGAAAGCATCAGCATAAAACAATGACTATCTGTGAATAATAAAAGGCTTAAAATGGCTGTGATTAAAGGTCCATGAGAGTAACTGGCGTTATGATGATAACATTATGCTGTTTTTCCTGTTGTCAGGCAAAGCAGCATAAGGACATAATCATGAACAGAAAGGGCATTGACACATTTCTAAGAATTTCCTATAATTCCTGAAATATTTATATTAAAAACAATTACCTAAAAATTTATTTATACCTGAACATAAACTAGGAAATGTTAAGCATCTCTTCTTACTTAACAATGCTTTTCATGCAGTTCAATGTATCTAATAAACTTAATTAGTTTAACATCTCTCTCTCTCTCTTTTTTTGGTGAGGAAGATTGGCCCTGAGCTAACATCTGTTGCTAATCTTCCTCTTTTTGCTTGAGGAAGACTGTTGCTGAGCTAACATCTGTGCCAATCTTCCTCCATTTTGTATGTGGGATGCCGCCACAGCATGGCTTGATGAGCAGTGTGTAGGTCCATGCCTGGGATGCAAATCTACAAACCCTGGGCCGCTGAAGCGTGTGCAAACTCAACCACTACACCACCAGGCTGGCCCCTTTATCATCTCTTTTTACTAGTAGAGAACAATCCATTGAGATTTTCCAGAGGCCCTCTCAGAAATCTCAAAGTCAGTTTGAGACCAAGATTTTATTTAGGATTTGATTTGGGGAAGGCAAAATATCAAAAGTTGTCTAAAATGTCAAAAGGTTTGAACACTTGATTAACCAGGATCACAGGTCACTGTGAAATAATATTTAATTATCATTTAACCAAAATGACAATAAAGATTTCAAGAGTAAAGGTAGGCTGGAACGTGATTATTAAAAAAAATTAGCTTTTTTAACATTGAGGAGACTCAGTTCTCTTGAATAATTGAGGACACGATAAAGACAACATAAAGCACAGGAAATTCTGATAAGACCCAGAATCTTTGTTTCCTAGACATGTTACTGAGAAGGTAAAGAAAAACTTCTAATAATCTCTTATCAAGAACAGACCAATAACCTAAGAACCTTTGTCCTTTTTAGAGGTTTTTAGAGGTTTGGAATTGGTACATGACTGACAATAAAGCTCCTTTTAAGAACTTTGTAATAAATCCATATGATCTTAGCCAGTTTGACCAACGAGGTGAGGTGCTCTCTCGCCTCCACCCCTCACTGCCAGATCCCTACAACTTTCTATTTCCTTTCAGATTTTTGTCCTTCGCTTTCCTCTTCCTCATTCTGGAAAGCCTTCACGCAGCCCCTAAACAACTACTTTAGGACAGAATTACCTTTTTGTCCTTAACAAAAACGCATCCTACATTCCTTGAATACTTTGCATACAGAGTTTTTTTCTTCACCCTTATTATTTCTAGTAGTTTCATTTATATATATTGATTATAATTTTCAACACTTAGTAACCTCTGTATTTCAGAGGAAACCGGGAGGTACATAACTGTGAATTGCCTGTCGCATGCCAGCATTTTGTAGCATATTAACAAATTTTATGAATATACCATCTCATAACTTGTGGAGGCATATGCTTCCTCATAGTACAATTTCTCAATGTGGCAAAAAGAACATATTTATTAACAGATCCAAATATCTTTAGTCTCTCTAAAAATAAGAAGCCAAAAGTATGTAAACTTAAACTTATATTCAGTACAGTCATGTGTCGCTTAACAACGGGATACATCCTGAGAAATATGTTGTTGGGCAATTTTGTTGTTGCACAAACATCACAGAGTGTAATGAAGGGGAGCAGAAGTTGCCACCCCAAAATGTGTCTCTTTAACACGAAGATTATTTTAAGCTGATTATTAGAAACATGAGACTCAGAAAGTTTTTCTTGTTACCTCCCCCTTAATTGCCTAAAAGAATTCAGATTCAAAAACCTGTCCCAGGAAGTGACCTGTCACTTTAGCATCACAAGAACCAGGTGGTGTACAGGGAGGAACGGAGAAAATCTGTTTGTTGGGCTCCCCTCTATGTTCTTCTGTTTCTGTGTGGCCAAACACTTGTTTTCCAAACGTTGGCTCCTTTTCACCTACCTGTGAATTGCCTTCCCTCCCTTTGAAGTCCCTGACTCTCCCCACCCCCAACATCTTCTTTTGTCTCGAGCTGAGGATGATATTTAAGGTGAGCGCTTTGGCCATTTTGGTGAGTTACTTGGTTTTCCTGGGTTTCTCTCATGTATGCATGTTATTAAACTTTTGTTTTTCTCCTGTTGTTCTGTCTCATATCAATTTAATTCTTAGACCAGCCAGAAGACCCTAGAGGGTAGAGGAAAATTTCTTCCTCCCCTACAGTACTTCCTCGAACCTAGATGGTACAGCCTACTACATACCTAGGCTGTATGGGACTAATCTTATGAGATCACTGTTGTGTATGTGGTTTGTCATTGATTGAAACATCATTATGTGGCTCATGACTGTAATTAATGTTTCAGTCTTTTATCTTGTTTAGAAATGATCTAGATATTCACTGAATATCTATTGTTTAACTTAACTTAGTATAATTTTAATTTCAAGTTACCAAAAAGATTTTGGAAACTACTTCTAAGGAGTTAAATTATAAAACTCAATTATTGTTAAAATAAAGTTTGTCAAAATAATAATTTAATTTGATTAAAATGAAATCTATACATTTTATAATCTTAAAGATCTAGTAAATAAAATATTAACTTATGTGACTAGTAAACCCATGTAGAATAAAAATGTATGCTCATATCATATTCAGTGCTGATAACTCAGAAGACACAACTGTTTATATTAAACTAGTCTTACTTATCAAAGATTTGCCCAAATCACATGAACTTGAAAAACATTTGGGTCACCTCCTATGTTTCTGAGAGTTTTAGGAATTTTTAATTTATATAAGCTCTTATTTTTTTTAATAGCTCATTTAGAATAGAGATCTTTTAAGGGATTTTATAAACTAATTTGGCAATACCATCCAGAGATAAGAAAATACCACATATATATACCATACATATGAAAATACACAGGTAAATGCACATAGAGACCTTGGAGGAGACACCATCATAGTAATACAAAACTCTCCAGTTCATAGAAGAGTTGATTTTCATCTTCACCTCACTTTTATTCAAATTCTGTTTCGAGCAGACAGAACAGTTGTTACCTGTTCAATATAATGGCTAAAGGTTTTTCTCGATATTTGCAGGGGAGACCTTTAAGATCTTAATTTGTCCTGATATGTAATCTCCTGGAGGCCATGGTCCAGCCTCAGGCAGTTGTTTTAGTCACCTAAGAAGTTATCTTTTAAAGGCTGGGGTGTGCTAAGGAAAGAGGCATTGGGGGTTTGTTAAGGCGGGTGTTAATTGGCACTTATCAGGAAGAGAAATAAATTTCTCGTATTTTATCACAGGAGGCAATAGTACAAGTAGAAGCAAGGCCCCCTTGGGCTGAGAGGACATCTTCTTGGGCTCCTTGGATGTCTGCGTTCTGAAGAGATGGTTCTCAGGTCCTTGAGAACATAGTTCTGGGTGGTGGAAGTTTCACGTCTCAAAGAGGGAGAGGAAGGATGCTTTTAAAGTAACTGGTCTAAGAGAGTTTTTCAAGGGCATATTTGTCTATTCACTGGTTTTGGCTGGGACAAACAATAAGTTCTCCTGGTAGCATTGAGCTTTTACAAGCAGGCATTTTAAGGGAGGAGGGGTGTGGGAGGTGGACAAAATTACCTGAAGTTTTTAATAGGTCCAGGATGAGGCCTTAGTTGAGAAGAGGGCTCAGAGCAGCTTGACTGAGGAGGCTGAGGCCTAAGACAATTACTATTTAAGCATTTCTTTTTCTTAAGTTCAGGAAAGTCCCTTTTCTAATGTCCTGACTTTTTATAGTATCTGCAAGCATCTTGAGGTGAATAGGAGAGGCTTTGGGATTGGTAAGAAACATGAGTGGACTTTGGGATACTTATGGAGCCACAATTATATTTTTGTAAAGACTCAATTAGTAAGATGAGGACAGTTGGGTTCTTTTTTTTGGCTGAGGAAGATTAGCCCTGAGCTAATATCTGTTGCCAATCTTCCCTTTTTTTGCTTGAGGAAGATTAGGCCTGAGCTAACATCTGTGACAGTCTTCCTATATATTTTTATATGTGTAGGTTGCCACCACAACATGGCTGATGAGTGGTGTAGTCCACGCCTGGGATCCAAACTTGCAAACCTGGGCTACCAAGTGGAGCGTGCTGAACTTAACCACTACAGCACAGGGCCAACCCTGAGGACAGCTATTTTTAATTTTTCAAAGAATTAGATGGCAGCCTCCATAATAATATTAAAGAGCTGCCCTGCCCATCCAACCACATTATTTTGAATTTCCTTCTTTATATCAGAGAGAAGATTTCCAGCTAAGATGGAAAACAAAGGATTCCTGTGTTCTCAGTCCTGTAGATTTAGAGCTGTGTCCTTTTGCAATATTTTTATAAATTGTTTGACAAAGCCTTTAGGATGTATTTCTTTCCTCTGTGTACATCATTCTACTTTAGCCCAATTAAACTTTGGAGGGAAGGCCTCTAAAATAGCTCCTACCAGGATCTGAGTACTGGCTTCCAGCTGGGTCATTCCCAGGAGGGAGGAGGTACAGGGGAGTTTATGGTGGGTGAGGATTTCAATTTTTGTTTTAAATCTGATTTCTGTCCTTGAATTTTGTTATGGGAGTCTTTTAGGCTAGCAGTGATCCTGGTTTTGTGTCCTTTTTTCAAACTGATCCTCCTATATTGGTAAAAGGACATTTTTGGGGAGGTGAGAACGCTCTAAAAATCCTTTAAAATATAAAAACATTTCCAAATCAAAGGATCTACTGTCTGGCTGTTAACAATTTAGGATCTCTATGGGAATACCTCTTCCAAAATGTGACTCAAAACCAATAGGCTTTTATGTGGCTTAACCATAAATTACCGAGCCAAAGGAACCTCAACAGTGACATATTCCACGATCTCAACACTATCAATGTTAGCTCTTCTGAGTCCATGTGACTAACAACAACAATCCCAGAAATACAGTCACTTTCCGAAAATATCTAGTCAGTCATCTAGGATTGTGGCCAATATGGTACCAAATAGATATTTGAGCTTTAAATAGAATTGCTTTGATTGTTTTGAATAATCTGGAATTCTAGATGTAATAATTAAACATTTAAAATTGGATTCATTTAAAATGAGGTAGTTTCCCACAAATCTTGTGTTACGTGGTAAAGGTTCAGGACCAGTCAACCCGTTGTTACTTTGATACATATAGTAAGAACATAGGATCTTTATTTAAAATCAGAATTATAAACAGAACCTAATTTGTGATTTTAATTTTTTCTGCACCAGAAAATTAATATACTATCTTGATTAGTAAAAAATACCAATCTTTTTTATTCATGGATTCAACCAGCCTTAGAACATTCTTAGGAAGAAAAAATTGTGGAGGAATATGCAGCATAGAGACAAATAGCGCTCTTTGTCACTTTATTTTTCTAATGAAATATCTTCAACACAAAATGTACAGCAGTAGGAATGTGTGTTCCTCTGAAGCGCAGGTATAGCTGCACATATTTGTAATGGTTTTGTCAAACTTTAGCAATAACATTACTTCCACAGTATGCTCATCCTGTTAGGAATAAATCTTTGGAATTTCAATTCATGTGTAATTTGGAAAGTCTGCAGTAGAATAGTTCAAATTCAGTCTGAGATTAATATTTGGACCTATTTGTAATTATGGTTTCTTTTTTGTCTAATGGATCCTGGCAGTTTGTAGATTCTTACAAACCTCTCTCTGAAGATACTCGGCCCGGGATGCAGATGTCACGGACCGTGGTCGTTCTCTGCACCCATTTCCTTTAGGCAGTCTTGAGTATGGTTGTGACAAGTGCATTTTGTTCTTTCCCCCGTGGCTGTGGAAACGCCGCCAGGTCGGTGGCTACTGGGATAAGTCCTGCAGCACAGTGACTCAGCTGAAGGAGGGGCTCAACCGAATCCTCTGCCTGATCCCCTACAATGTGATCAGTCAGTCTGTGTGGGAGTGCGTTATGCCGGAGTGGCTGGAAGCCGTCAGAACAGAAGTCCCAGAGAACCAGTTAAAAGAGTTCAGGGAAGTATTAAGGTGGGTAAGTAGTTGAATGAAGTCACTGTAATTATAACAGTATCTAACATTACTGAGCACACTCTGTGTGCCAGACACTGTGCTAAACATTTTGTATAATCTCCTTTACTTTTTGACAACCCTCTGGAGAAATTTGAAGGCCCAAAATGAAATAGCTGCTATAAATTGTGCTCAGATGATCTGGAATTGTTGAGAAAGGATTTTATTCTTGTGGAATAATAAATAGATACATCATATTGTTTGTTCATTTTCAAATATAATTATGATTTGGATAAAGTGGGAAAAATGCAAAGAAAAAATGTTTTTAGATGCTGCAGAGCAACTCTAATTCCTCAGAAATGCAATTTATTCTGTTAAACCTAATTTGAGTATGAACACTAATCTTATTAACAACCACATGAATTATTTATAAGATAGCTATTCCAATGACATAAGCTATTACAGTGAAATGGAACATGCTAATAACAGTTCAGAACACAGACTAAAGTGTTTGGCCCCCCAAATAAGATATAGTTAGAAATGCAACAGTAGACCCTAATATATGCCCATTGTCATCTACTTTTGTTGCTCTGCTTTCCAGCAAAATGTTTGACATTGAGCTCTGTCCTCTACCTTTTTCAATGGAAGAGATGTTTGGCTTTATTAGCTGTCGGTTTACAGGATACCCATCCTCTGTGCAGGAACAGGCTTTACTGTGGCTTCATGTAAGTGAATGATACTTTTGACCATTTGGGGCAATAGTTATTAGCCTATGAACTTTAGGTCCCCAGGTGGAGGGGCAGGGAGTTATTGCAGAGTCCATAAATCCGTATGTTTGCTGAGGACTGTCTCGTATGCATAGATAAATAGCTGTATTTCAAATATATGTAGCTATGTTGTGATTAATGAAATACAAATCTGTGCAATACTATTACTGAGTTTATCGTAGCTTTTGGTCCTTATGAATTTTTCCATCAATAGATACTAAAAGTATAACAGCTGTCTCGTGGGATTCTGTTAAATCTTTTGATATGAAGTCCGTCCTTTACTTGGAAATGTGGAGAGCTGCTGATTTAGGGAGTAGTTCATGCTGATCCTTCAGCCTGGAATGACTTTCCTTCCTGTCTCCATGTGTGAACTCCAGCTCATCGTTTGAAATCCAACTCAAAAATGACCTCATAATGGTTTTCTGCTACTTCACATCCCATCAGGATTCATGATTCCTTCCCCCAGTAGTCATACGGGTTCTCTGTGTGAATTCTATTTCTGTCTATTATTATAGTTCATTTTTGTCTTTTTCTTCTCCTGATGACAAATGCCTTGAGTGCAGGGACCAGGGTTTTTCATTTGTGAATTTATAACTCCCTTCGTCCTTTCCTCTTAGCATCTGGCACATGCTTTGTATTTAGTGGATGTTCAATAAAAGTTCATTAATTTGACTGGAATACCAAGTTCAGGCAGTTTCAAAAAGGAGACAGCACCCATGTTTAGACTGGCCACGGGGGCAGTACATTTCTGTGTCAGGGAAGGGCGTGACCCCAAAGCTTTTCAAGTTGTGAAAATGCCTTTCTGCTTCTCAACTAAGGAACAATATTTTTCACAACTGGCAACAAATAAAGGGGCCATTTAAAAAAAAGTCGCCTTTGGGATGCAGAATTTTAACTTTCATCTCCAAGTAGATCTCAATAAGATAATTCCCCATTTTAGGAAAGCCCGTCTTCCTACAGATGGCTAGATGTTGTTACTCAGTTACACACCCTTTAAACTGTGCCATCTAGGGGTCAGCAGCTAGGGCCATAAACCTCTGTCCCCTCCATAGCTGGAACAATTACAGTTGACATGTTTTATGGACTGGGCTCTGACACAGGTTTGGTTTGAAAACAGGATGCTGCAATTGAAGGACGGTTTAAACTGCTAGTCTAAGCATTTGGGGAATAGAGTGCACAATATAAGGATTGGAGTTGACTCGTTTATTAATCATAGAAACCTTTGTAGAGCTGCTCTGTGCCAGGCACTGTAATAAGCACTGGGATAAAAATGGGGCAAGAAACGGCCCTTTCCTCATGCTTCCTTTCTTCAAGGAGATCACAGTGGGAGAGATAGTATCAAATAATCAAATACAATGAAAAGTGATAATTCCTCTATTAAAGGTATGTATAAAGTTCTAAGAAAGTAGAGAAGAGGGATGGATTCATTCTGTCTAAAAGAAGGTGGCATCTATTTCCAGAAAATTTATTACAGATAAAGTAACGATTTCAGCAGAAGGATACCTGAGTTTGTACCAGAGAGCACGATGGATGGGGCACTGAGGTCAGAGTGGGATGGGCCGGAGGAAGGCACTGGCAGATGGTACTAGTCCAGGAGAAAGGCGATGAAGGAAGGCACTAGCAGTGCTATGGAAAAGAAGGGACAGCATCAGGAGATGCTTAGAAGTATTAAAAGAAAGAACATGACCATTTGTTGGATGTGGGGAGTGGGAAGGGGGGAGGTTTAATGATAGCTTTGATTTTTTTAGTACAAAAAATTGAGGATGACTCTACTGATAGAATATGTGTAAGGCTAAATGTCCCTATGTTCAATAGTACACTTTGGAAAAATACGTTAAATGTAGTTTTTTTGAGTTTTAAAGTTTATATTTTGGGGGGATATATGCCTTTTTTCTTCAGGTATTATCGGAGTTAGACATCATGGTTCCACTTCAGCTGTTAATAAGCATGTTTTCTGATGGAGTTAATTCTGTCAAAGAGCTGGCAAATCAGAGAAAATCAAGAGTCAGTGAACTGGCGGGGAACCTTGCAGCTCGAAGGGTAATTATTGCCACAACTGTTTTTTGTCTTTCTTAAGATTTCGTCCATTATTATTGTCGTTTTTAGCGCCATTGAGTTGACTCCGACCCCTAGCGCCCCCGTGGACAGCAGAGTGGAGCCCTGCCGGGCTCTTTCGCACTATCCTGTCACTTTTCACCGCTATTATTATTATTGTCAATTATACTTGGCCTAAAAGTAGCATCATAATAAACTTCTCTGAAAATGCCTTTTCATCCCATCTCACACTCTGTTTGTTACTCTTTTAAGCACATTAAATAACAGAAAACATTTATCTAAAATATGTTGGTATAGTCTGTAACCACTAAGTTATTGGATTTTCATTTTCCTTTGCATTTTTCTCCTACACGCCCCTATTAGCTATCTTTCTCCCTTGATGAAAGGAAAAAGGGTAGCTTTTTTTTGGTCTCCTGGCAAATGAGAATTCTTTACCAGCTGCTGGGCAGATCACTGCTTCACTCTGAGGAGGAGGAGTTTGGATGTTTTTTCTATTGTGTTTTTGGAAGATGTGATCAATGGCTGGTGACTGTGAGTGATGCTGTCACTATGAACCAACTGAGCCCATTTTATTGACCCCTTTGTACCTCCGTGGTTGAGAAAAGTCCATATAGTCTGGTCCGAAGTGTATGAAAACTGTTGGAATTTTGATAATTTTTCTGTGGAGGCCCCGATAGAGTTCTGTTGACGTACTGACATGCCCAGACCACGGCCAGTTTTGGAGAGGTTGACTCTCCTGTCGGTGGGCGAGGACAGTTCTCAGCTCTCTCCTTATCATGCCTTTCCGTACCGTTTTCCAGTCATCCCACCTGATATCTAGGGATTAGAAAATACAATCATGGGATCGTAGTTTGTATTCAATGCCTTCTGTTTTTTAATCATACTTCTTTGCTCATCTGCCTCCTAGAAACCAGCTGCCAAACATTTATATTTTGTTTCTTTCTTCTGTAATCTTTAATGTTACATTACTTTGTCAGCACTTTATACTGTGTGATGTATTCACAATTAAGGACATCACAGAATTGTGTGAGGCAGTTGGGGAAGAACTCATTGTCCTTATTTTACAACTACTGAACCTCAGGTTCAGTGAATGGAGTGATTTGCCATAGACAACTCTGTCAATATCCAGGTATTCTGATTCTTAATGGATACTCTTCTTCTTTACTTTAAATATCGTGTTCAAGGAGCTTTCTGGTTATTAGGGAGAACTTTAAGAGATAAAATATGATTTGAGAGTGATGTACAGGTATGTCAGTCAGGGTCCTGCTACAGAATTTATCCCAGATGGTTCAAATGAAGAGACTTTCATGGAGACTCTGCCTACAGAGTTATGGGATAGGGTAAGGGAGCAATAAGGGTTGGTGAGGGACTCAGAGGCCAGCAACAGTTCGGTAGGAAGCCATTATACTCCTAAGGTTGACGAAACAAGGGAAAGAGTTCCTGGAGCTCATTGGGAGCTGAAATTATAAGGAAGGGCTGGGTACAGGAGCTGCTGAGTAATGGAGAGACTGCCAGAGATGCCTCAAAGCAGGCAGGGGGCGGGGAGAAATGCTCCTACCTCTGTCTCCTCCAGAGTAGCTGTTCTGCTGGTGCCTCCCATTGACTGAACCCAACTGGAAGCCAGCCAGGAAGAGAGCTAAGAGAGCCTCAGTTCTTGGCATCCTCAGGCGTAGAGCAGGGCAGAGAAGGACACTAAGGGCCTGGGGAGAGGGGGGAGGCTTGGGTTGGCAAATAGAGAATGACCAGTACAACAGGTCTGACATATGTTGTTTTCTCATGATAGTTTAATAATTATAATACCCAGAGGCCGTTCTTCTTTAACTAGTTATATCAATCTGAGATTCTGTGCTTGTGATTCTAAAACTGATCTTGCAATATTTTACTTTTGTAAGTTCTCAGTTTTCAAGTTATGGTTTTAGGTAGATGTGGACAATTCAGTTTAATTGGAAATGTTTTATGGGATGAAAAATATAATGGCAAAGACAGCCACCTTCATTCTTCAGGGTGCTGATGTTTCGTTCCCTGACAATTAGGCATAAAGTTGGGATGATTTTATTTCTCATTTTTATATTTTGAGAAGATCCATAGTATTTGGAGGTACCAATGCTATTGACTAAGGAAGGAAATCAGTTTGACAGCTGGACATACCTTCCACAGAGTCCTCCCAAAATTTTATACAGTCATTTGAACTTCTGCAAGTTCACTTATGTGTGTTGATGTTCTCTCTTCTAGGTGAGTGTTGCCTCTGATCCTGGTCGACGAGTTCAGCACAATATGCTGAGTCCATTTCATAGTCCTTTTCAGAGTCCATTTCGGAGTCCTATGCGTAGTCCATTTCGTAGCCCTTTCAAGAATTTTGGACACCCAGGAGGAAGGACTATTGACTTTGATTGTGAAGATGATGAAATGAATCTAAATTGTTTCATCCTCATGTTTGATCTTCTCCTGAAGCAGGTAGCTAAGGCATGAACTTCCTTTAGTTCAGAGGTGAAGAATTAGAGAAAGCATTGTAATGTATAGTGCTTCTTTCCATGTGTTCTTCACACTTACTGAAATGATGCAACATCACTCAAGACACTTCGCAAACTCCTTTGAGGATTTCCTAAAGAGCCTGAAAAATACTTGTATGAATATCTGCAATGATGTTGACATATGAGATTGGATATGAGTTTTAGAAACCCCCCAGCATCATTAGAATTGACGCTGTTGAACAAATTTGGTGAACAAATTGGGTAATGCTATTGTTAGGAAGAGCTAGGTACAACTCTACAGTGATAGGCTGATTTTAATATATTTTATAAATTGATTTTTGAAGGTAATTTTAAAAGAGAAATTTAAAAGGCTTGGTTAGGAGAACATTTCTTCTTCATTTTCTATTTTGAAATAATTCCAGACTTGCAGAAAAGTTGCAAGAATAGTAGAAAGAATTCCCAAATATTCATCCCCCAAATTCTCTAGATGTTTAACATTTACATTTATTTCTCTCTCTTAATCTCTGTATGTATGAAGTGTAGATTTCTTTTTTCTTTTTTTTGCTGGGGAAGATTCACCCAGAGCTAACATCTGTTGCCAATTGTCCTTTTTTTTCCCCCTCCCGAAAGCCCCAGTGCATAGTCATATATTCTAGTTGTAAGTCCTTCTGGTTCTTCTATGTGAGCCACCACCACAGCATGGCTACTGACACATGGGTGGTATGGTCCCGCAACCCAGGCCACCAAAGCGCTGAGAGCGTGGAACTCTAACCACAAGGCCCTCAGGGCTGGCTCGAATTGTAGATTTTTTTAATGAACCATTTGAGAATAAGCTGCAAACATGAACTTCCTGTATCCTTAAACACTTCAGAGTGTATGTTCTGAAAAATGACATTCTCTTACATAACCAAGTGCAGTTAGCAAAATCAGGAAATTAATATTCTTGTAATAGTATTATCTATTATCTAACTTACAGAAATTATTCATTTTTTAAATTGTTATAATAATCATATCATCTTTATAGCAAAAGAAAAAAATTGTTTTTGATGGAGGATGCAGTTCAGCATCCCTCATTGCAAATGTTTGTCCTGTCTCATTAGTCTTCTTTAATCCAGGACAGTTCTTCAGTCTTTGTTTATCTTTCGTGTTCTTGACATTTTTGAAGAGTGCAGTCCAGTTATCTTGTAGAACGTCCCTCAATTTGAATTTGTCCGATGTTTCCTTGTGAATTGATTTGGGTTAAGCATTTTTGGCAGTAATACAACAGACGTGATGTTATGTCCTTTGCAGTGCATCATATCAGGAAGCACATGACATGATAATGTCCCCTTAGTGGTGGTGATAACTCCGTTAGGGTGATTTAGGCCAGATTTCTCAACTACAAAGTCACCCCTTTGTAATTAATAAGTAACTTGGAGGGAGAGCCTTTAAGACTGAGATTTCCTGTTTCTCTTCAGACTTTAACTTACTAGTTTTAGCATCCATGATGATTCATGCCTGAATCAATTATTACTATGATGGTTACCAAATGATAATTTTCTAATTCCATCATTTCTTTCATTAGCTGGCATTCTCCCGAAGGAACAGTTCTGCCTTCTGTCCCGTGTATATATTTATTTGTTTATCTGCTTATACCCGCATGTACTCATGGACTCTTATTTTATTCAGTGGCTTAAAATCTTTTACTATGATTATTTATTTTGATGTTCATACTGTCCATATTTGGCCAGTAAGAGTCCCTTTGAGCTGGCTCCTGTGTTCTTTTGACATGTTCTCATCATTCTTTGAACACTACCTTAATTGCTGGCATGACAAGATGTTCCAGGCTCATTTTATATTTTCCTAGCCCCAATCCTGAAATCAGCCATTTCCTCAAGGAGCCCTGGTTCTTTTTAGTGGATGATGGTATTTAGAAATCAAGATCTGGACACCAAGTCAGGAGCATTTTTTTAAATGTGTAAATCTCACAAAGTGATAAATTTGAAAAGAACCTCTCTTTTAAATGTCCTACATGATTTTAAAAATAATTCCCATTACTTTGTCTTGTGTTTATATTCTTTTTACAAGAATCCATGGAAAACAATGTATATTCATGTTCTATAAGCCTTATCATCTTTAAATAATTTAATATTGTCAGTTAGTGAAAATTATCCCCAATTAGTATGCCAATGAAATATTGGACAAAAGGACCAAACTCCTTCTTTTTTTTTTGGCCTTTTTTTTTGGTGTCTTTCAGATGGAGTTACAAGATGATGGGATCACGATGGGTTTAGAGCACAGCCTATCAAAGGACATTATTTCCATTATAAACAATGTCTTCCAAGCCCCCTGGGGGGGCTCCCACACATGCCAGAAGGAGGAAAAAGCAATTGAGTGTAACTTATGTCAGTCTAGTATTCTGTGCTATCAGCTTGCTTGTGAACTCCTGGAGAGACTGGCTCCTAAAGAAGAAAGCCGGCTGGTGGTAAGCAGTGGACGAAATGAGATGAGCCATTTCTGTTAGTAATAAGGACTGCAGTGGCTGGTGTGATGGAGTCTTCCTCCAGTGTTATCTTATGCTCCATGCTGGGTTATACGTGAGACTGTGTTAAAAGAGAGTTTTCCTGTTCCTTCCACCAACTCAGGCTTCTGGAAGGGGGTATGAGATGGAACTACATGATACAGAATTCTTCACTTAGAATTCTTGAGTCTGGAGGTAGGGTTGTAGCACATCCATTCATAAAATTTTCATAAATACAAGGCGTTACTGATATTCTTGAAATAACTTTTATCACAAAGTTATATTACAAAGTTTAGATAACAGTGAATGGTATAAAACATGCATATCAAATATTGAGTAAGTGGACTGGGTATGGACACTGAGAATTCCTAGGTAACCTCAGTTTCTAAAATCCATTGACTTCATCAACAACCAATAAAAACTTCATTTTTATTTCCTGCTTTCCAAGAAAACCATTTGAACAGGAAACAGTTAATATATGCCATACATTAGCTACTCCATACATTGTTATTCCCTGTTTAGCCTGTTCTCCTGCTAAGACTCACACATCACCAGAATACCCTCATACCATCCTAGGTAGATGGACCTGAATTATTTGAGTCAGTGTTTGCCATCTTCTCTTTTTCTTCCTGTCTCCTAAGGTTGTCTAGGTAGAAAGTGACTTCTTTAAAAATTTTTTTTTAGGTATAGCATACACACAGTAAAGTGTTTCTTTTGTTTGTAAATACCTTTCGGCCCACTTAACTCATTAGTTCTACCTGTCGCAAAATAACATCTCTACAGTATGGTCTTTTAACATTGTCATTGGGTACTTACTTTGAAACAGTTATAGTAAAAGATGATGCAAAAACAAATTAAAATCAAGACGCTTAGAGTCTAATCAGGAAAATGTTTAATTAAATGAAAAAACATAGGACAGAGTGATGAGCATTATGAGAGAGATATGAACAAGATAGCTATGGGAGTACAGAGAGGGAACAAATCTAGCTTAGAGGTGTGATAGGGATCCAGAAGGTCTTCCTGGAGGAGGTGGCTCCTAAGCTTATATTTGAAGGAGGAGTGGAGTCAATGAAATGAAGGTGGTAGGAGAGAAGCACTTGGAGACCCAGAAAGCTCTCTGTTTAAATGATACAGCGGAAAGGAGGGAATGATACACTCAGGAAACTTCAGGTGGTTCAGTGTTGCGAGAGTGGTGAGGAGGATGGGAAAGTAGTGAGAGTTGAGTGGAGAAAGTTAGACTCAGTTTTATGTTCACATTTATTAAGGGCTCTGTCTGCCAAACTAAGAAGTTTGGATTTTGTCTTGGTGACAATGGGGGAATCCTAAAGAAGTTGAATCAGGGTAGTGGTAGAATTCAATGAATTTGAGAAATTCATTTGGCCAGCGAGGAGAGAGATTGGAGGATTGGCCCTCGGGACAGGAATCTAGTCAGAAGGTTAATGTGGTCACTCAGGGAAGAGAACAAGGGAGCCTGAACTGAGAGATGGTGGTGAGGAAGAGAAGGGGAGGGCCTGACGCGTTTTTAGGAAAGAGAATGAGCAGCACTCGGTGTTCAGTGTGGAAAAGTTGTGGAGAAATCCACGTTTTCTGGCTTGGGAGCTGATAACGTTGCCATCTACAGCAGATTGTTACTGTAATAGGAGAAGTGATCTTTTTTTTTTTTAATTTTTATTTTTTTCGGATGTACATCATATTTCGAATTCTGTACATGTTACATCATGTTCACCACCCGAACACTAATTATAGTGCATCCCCTCACATGTGAGCCTAACCACCCCTTTTGCCCTCCCCCCTGCCCCCTTCCCCAATGGTAACCACCAGTCCAATCTCCAATGCTATGTGTTTTTTTTTTTGTCGTTTTTATCTTCTACTTATGAGTGAGATCATATGGTATCTGGCTTTCTCCCTCTGACTTATTTCACTCAGCATAATACCCTCAAGGTCCATCCAGGTTGTCACAAATGGCTGGATTTCGTCATTTCTTATGGCTGAGTAGTAGTCCGTCGTGTATAAATACCACATCTTCTTTATCCATTCGTCCCTTGATGGACACCTAGGTTGCTTCCACGTCTTGGCTATTGTGTATAATGCTGCAATGAACATAGGGGTACAAGTATCTTTATGCCTTTGTGTTTTCAAGTTCTTTGGATAAATACCCAGCAGTGGGATAGCTGGATCATATGGTAGATCTATTCTTAATTTTCTGAGGATACTCCATACTGCTTTCCATAGTGGCTGCACCAGTTTGCACTGCCACCAGCAGTGAACAAGGGTTCCCTTCTCTCCACACCCTCTTTTTGGCAGGAGTGGGATATGGTGTAGCCACACTTGGACATAGTAGACTGAGACACCTTTTAGATGTCCAAGTGGGGATGCCAAGCACCATCAGATATGTGGATTTGGTTCTTAAGAGAAATATCAGAAGTAGATAAAGTTTGCAGTCACCAGCATATTGTGGTAGGCTGTGCGGAATGAGAAGGGAGAAGACCTAAGGCTAGAATTCCGGGAAGTACCAGCTCTTAACAGGGGAAAACAGGGGAAGTAAAGAGCAGAAATCAATCGAGAGGAGGCCAGAGACACAAGAGAAAAACTGAGGGAGAGCACTAAGTCCGGAGCCAAGGTAAGAGAAACTTTAGAAAAGGAGGGAATAGTTGATCATGTCAAGAAGAGAGAGGAAAAGTAAAAGACTAAAACACGCCCAGGGGTTCTGAAATTAAGGGTCCTTTGTGCCCTTGCGGGTGGTAATAGCCATGGGTCCAAGTAGTTTGTGGTTTAAGCACTGAGGGAGTAGCTACATGAAGTACAGTCTTGTCTTCTCTTTCAGGAAGGGAAGGAGAGGGCGAAGAGGGTGGAGGCGGGCGTCCTGAGCCTCTGCCCTGTCCCAGCAGGAGTTCTATATTGTGTCTATTTCACACCACCAACCCATGGAACAAGGAGGAATAAGCGTAAATGTGGAGAATCTGAGCCACTGGAACATATACACAATGCCTTTGACATTTGTCATGTGCCTAAAATGTCAAATTTGGAGGTGAAGCTAAAGGATTCAGTTTTCCTTTCGCAAAGTCTTACGGGAGAGATGCTCATCAATAAAAGAGGACTATGTCTTGGAACACGTGGCTTCCACTGCACGCATCAGCCGCCTTAGCTCTTTAGTTCCCTCCCAGGACAGGCAGAGGGCACGAGAGTGAGGACACAAGGGGTGGGCTATAGGAGGCTTAGACTAGTATGCCAGACAGGCCACTGCAGTCCCTGCCGCCTCGGAGGAGGATGACGGAAACGTGGGCTTGTGTAGAAGAGTCAATATGCAGCCGGAAACTTCTCACTGTATCTCATCTCACGAGACTCAGTTTGTACTTTGAGGTAGTGTCTTCTTCACGGGTGACTGAGGAACGGCGTCAGCCTTAGCAAAACTGTGAAGCTGCCGAAGCTCCTCTCAGAGCCCCCCAGCCGCCGTTTTAAGCACTCGTTTCTTTCTTCTTGGCACCCTTCCCGTATCCTATCAATCTTTATCTCCTTCTTGCTTTGAGCTGGCTGTCAAATAATTCTTAAAAAAAATGTTTTCTGGTTAAAGTATTAGCTAAAAGAGGATGATGTTAAAAGAGGATATTTGAAGGTGGAACTTGAAAGAAAGAAAAATGCTGGGCTAGGAGGGTAACTAGAGATGGATATTTTAAACAGTAGCCATATTTAGTGCACTCTCTCTCTCCTTAATCTTCTCATTTCCACATATTTTTGCAGCTTGTTTTACATACACATTTACAAATATAACATATTATATATAAATGTACATACAGTGTTGAGGATATTCACATCGCTGTGCAGCCAATCTCCAGAACTTTTTCATCTTGCAAAATGAGAACTCTATACCCATTAAGTAACTCCCCGTTCCCCCTCGAAACTACCATTCTGCTTTCTGTCTCTATGAGTTTGACTACTATAGAAACTGCATATAAGCAGAATCATATAATATTTTTCCTTTTTATGACTGGCTTATTCCACTTAGTATAATGTCCCCAGGGTTCATCCACATTGTAGCACATATCAGAATTTCCTTCCTTTTTGAGGCTGAGTAATATTCCATTGTATGTTTATACCACATTTTGTCTATTTGTTCATCTGTCGGTGGACACTTGGGTTGCCATAACTCTCTTTAACTCACATGTTATAGCAATTTCTTGCTCCTAAAAATTTGACTTCTCCAGACACCCAGTATTTGCATCTTAGCATTTTGCAGTCAGCCCCTTATTATTCCCTGCTAATTAAGTCCTGTTATTGAGCAAAATGGGCATGGATTAGAATCATTTGGTGAGTGGAACATTGATTACAGGATTAAAGCAGCTATGGGAAAGTAGGTTTATGGAGAGTTAACAATGTTTTCGAGATTGTCCATATTTATTTCAAGGGAATGAAAATGTTTCAGTAACAGCTGATCCAAATTTCCTTTAACCATTATGGAAATAAGCTCAAGTCTCTTCTGCGGCAGCTGCTTTTGCCCTCCAGGGCTCAGCACAGGGCACTCGGTCCATCTTTCTTGAACCAGGAGGAACCGTTCTTTACATCCCCCAAGGGCTGCTCATCTGGCTGCTTGTCATATTTGTTTCAGGAGCCCACAGACAGCCTTGAGGATAGCCTCCTTTCCTCCAGACCAGAGTTTATTATTGGTCCTGAAGGCGAGGAGGAGGAGAATCCAGCAACCAAGCATGGGGAGAACCCAGGAAATCGCACCGAGCCCATGGAACATGCTGGTAGGTGAATGCTGGCTCATAGGGGAGAGCTGTGTGCACATCCCAGTTTGCACAGGCCTGACATTCACACACTGGTTTCTTAGATTACTATCAACTTGGGCAAGTACAGACTTGGCTTCCTTAGTATAGACGTGTGCAAATGAACCATTTCCCCCTAGATTATGAAGTGAACAGATCCAGGATATGCTTCTGGTAGAAGAGAGGTAACTGAGCATCTTCCTGGCAGCAGGAGCTTGTTATCAACAAAAAGCTGTCGTGTTAATGTGGAAATGATCACTTTTCTGTTTATGGTGTATCATGTTCTCTATGGAGAGTTAACTCTGAACCAAGGCTGAACAGCTAAAGCCAAGGGTGCTGACACTCAGCAGCTACTCAGAGCATTTGGCCAAAGCAGAGTGTTCTGGGAGAGGGGTGATGGAACTTGAGCTCATGCAGCTTCTGCACCCGGGGGCTTGACCAGGACTCTGCACAGGCTCACCGTGTATAGCTGTGCAACTTGTGCTCTAAGGCTGGTTGGCTTGGCTCAGAGCTGGAATGTCCACCTCTTTCTAGTTTGCTTAAAGGCTCTGTGTGGGCTAATTGAGGACAGCAAGATAGCAGGCTGGCCAGAATCATACTCTAGTTCTTCACACTCTGAAGGAGTTTTGGGAATTTAGGATGTGACCCCACGTGCCTCTGGGAAAGCCTGGTTTCTAGATCTGCACTCTGGCACTCTGGGAATTTGTAAGGACCTGGAGCAAATCTGAGTAGCTTTTTATCTTTCTGTTTCCACTCTCTTGAACTGCTAGAATAGCTGGCTTCCAGGTGGCCCACCCACTGAAGCAAAGTTTGGGAAGCGTGGGCTGTCCATCATTCCTTCAGTGAACAAACATTACTAAGTGACTGCTGTGTGGGGTTCAGTGTAGCTCCTGGGGGTCTTATTCAGACCAAGGTAACTACATCATTACCACAAAATGCTTGGTCGGAACTAACTGCTTCTGCATGGATTGTATAAATGACCAGTTGAGTATGAATATCTCGGCTCCTACTATTTACAATCATTGAAACTGAGAATTTGAAGGAATGCCTGAGATGACCTACTTCATTGGTTTTCAGCAAGTACTTGGAGATGTGCAAGCTCTGTCTTGTCTCTTCTGGACCTTCCTTAATTAGGGTGGCAATTGATGGGAACATGGGGGCAAATCATAAAGACCCAGGTGCCCACTTGTCTTCAACCAGAGTGCTCTGACTTGATCTATTTCATATGTTGGAGTTCTAAGTCAGATTTTCTACAAACAAAGGATTCTCTTGAAAAGAAGTTTGAAACCTGCTGATCTGGTTCAGCCTTCTTCCTTTGCAGATGAGGAAAATACATCCCAGATGGACTGAACAACTTGCCCATGGGCATGTAGCTCGTATTATTCATTCCTAATTTATGCTTTGTGCTTAACATGCTGCCCAAACTGTAAGAGAGCATCAGGATCGTCTGAGGAGTTGAAACGCAAACAAAATGAACGAGCTCCACCCACCCACCCTCAATTCTGGGTATACCTAGGGTGGGGGTCTGGGAATTGGAAATCCAAATATTGTACAACTAGTTAGTGGCAGGATTGAGATTAGAACCCAGGTCTCCCGGTTATTTGGAATTAATTACTTGCTGAGGCCCAAGCCCAGGGCTGTGTTTCTATGAGGCATTAATGCCTAAAGGAAGGATGGATTTCACTTATGATCCTCTAACCTGTACTCTTTAACGCAAATATAGTTTTTTTTTTTTTTTTAAAGATTTTATTTTTTCCTTTTTCTCCCCAAAGCCCCCCGGTACATAGTTGTATATTCTTCGTTGTGGGTCCTTCTAGTTGTGGTATGTGGGACGATGCCTCAGCATGGTTTGATGAGCAGTGCCATGTCCGTGTCCAGGATTCGAACCAACGAAACACTGGGCCGCCTGCAGCGGAGCGCACAAACTTAACCACTCGGCCACGGGGCCAGCCCCACAAATATAGTTTTTAAACCCAAGATAGCACACAAATCAATTAACTGAAACTTTTATTTATATGTAGTATTTTATTTGAACAATGGTTAAAATTAAACAATATCTTTCTATAAATTATTCTTTTCTTTGCTTAATTGTTCTAAACTCTAGTTGTTTTAAACATTTGCTTGATTTATATCCCCCAAACACTCCTTAAGCCTCCTGTCAAAGCTTCTGGTCTGTTTTCCTTTTGCTGTCTGTCTTGCAGGACACAGTTATAAGTTGTCTCCTCAGGGAGACCTCCGTTAATTTTCCTCCATGACCGGCCTTCCCTGATGCTCAGCACCCCGATCCTGCTTCTGCCTTCTGGGCCTTCAGGCGCTGGTCCTGAGCTCCTGTCATAGAATGAAGGGGAGCTCAGCTGACATGTGCTCAGTGATTTCCCCTTCCTTTTAGAGATTTTAGATTTCCTTTTTCTGCATTTTGGGGCCTGGCACCTATTTCTTATAGCAGTCGGATATGTCTTCCACTAAAAATATTTTTAAAACTTTCACACTAGACCAAATAGAGTTGAATGCTGATAACAAATATTTAAAATACATTAGAGTGGAAGATCCCCAATAAACTATTTAGTATATATGCCAAGAGGGTTTCACTCCCATTGTCTCTGATCCTAGGAATTGCCAAAACTGATAATGGTAATTTGAAAACATTTTATACCAATTTCTACATTTGGTTAATTTGTGAATCCTTTTCTCTAGCACGCCTCATGCACATAAACACCACCTCCCACAAGAGAAGCGAGGGTTTCAGAGATCCTCACAAGAAGATAAAACCACAAGTAGTTGTTGAATATGCTCAACTTCTTCAAAATGTTCCCTTTTTGTGTGAGTCCTGGGATAAATCGCTCGCTGGGTGCTATTACAACTTGAATACCGCTCTTCAATGCCTGCTCGTCTCCCTTTCAGTTAGGAAAGTATGCCTAGCCAGGCCCCAGGCCCTCCAGGGAGCAGCAGAACTAGCTGCTCAGAAGAGCACAGGGCTGAGCTTGGGTCGCTTTATGGAGCCAAAGACATCGGAACACGTGATGCACTGCACAGTGCAAAGTGGAAGCTGAGAATCCTAAGTCTAGAAGGTTTCCTGCACTTGCACCATAGAAGGGATATATGCTAACTTGGAGAGCAAATAAAAACATTACACAAACACTTTCTCATATGTACCATATCTCTCTTTACTCCTCTCGGTTTTATGATTTTGATCAGTTCATGAGCGGTGGGGGAAAGGAGGAATCATGCTAACCTTTGTGTGATTATTTCTTCACAGCAATAAAGAATGATACTGAAAGAAAGTTTTGTTACCAGCAGCTTCCAGTCACTTTGAGACTAATATACACCATTTTCCAGGTATATTTTTTGAAATATTTGAATTTTTGGTTTGGTAGCATTGCTGTTTTAGAAAACTTAGTAACTATGTGGTTCTTTGCATAGGAAATGGCTAAGTTTGAAGAGCCAGACATTCTTTTTAATATGCTCAATTGCCTGAAGATTCTCTGTTTACATGGAGAATGTTTATACATTGCTAGAAAAGACCATCCTCAATTTTTAGCCTACATTCAGGATCATATGTTGATTGCAAGGTATGTCTTCCTAAGTTTTTTGTTTGTTTGTTTATATTTTAGGTTTTAGCTGTGAAAATTAAAGTTAGAGTAAGACTTACCAACTCATTTGGTTATTTTTCTTAGCCAGGGCAGCCTAATCACTTGTAGAAACTAGTTTTATTTCTTCTATTTAGTCTAATTTTTAAGTATGTCAATAGTAATTTTCTTTGCTAGATATTGCAGAAATAGAAAAGGCAAAATAAGGATTATATTATGCCTTTTGGTTGTTAGATGGCTTATGAATACAGTGTACTGTATAAAAATGTCAATAAGTACTAAAGTTAATATTTACCGAGTATAATTGAGTAAAGACTCAATTTCTTACTTGAAATAGAACTGATAATAGACATCTAAAATCTCTCCACATATTGTCTGATAGGGTGTTTTTTTAGAGATGACTGAGACATTTTGAGAAAAATAGTAAAATATTGCCCTAGATTTACATGGTGTTTTTCTTCCTGAAAACCTTAAAATGAGTGTTACAGTCTTTCTGGAAGTAAGTCAGAAAATATTATCTTCATTTTATATGTAAGAGAATGAGGTAATAAAAAAAAGGAAAAGGTTGGTTGAGGTTAACTTGGTGACAAAACCAAGTTGAGGCTCTATCTGCCTTTACTCCTTTTGATCATTTACTCATTCATTCATTCATTCAACAGATATTACTGAGGGCTCACTAAGTACATTGTTATTCTAGGCACTTTGGGAATTTGCAATCTAGTTTGGAAGGGGCTGAATACTATGTATACAGAAGGTGACCACAAAATTTGTTATTCAAATTAGTTTACTTTTGAGAGTGAATAGGTGTGATCTTCATAACCTCAAAACAATAAGCATAAAGTGGACTAAGATCTTGGATAAACTGAGATACAAGGTCACCTTGTGTCTATATAAGTCACTCTCAATCCAAGGGACGTGTGATGGATGAGGGTTGTGTACTGTTCAGAGGTGGGAGAGCTCCCTTCTGGATAACTAGAAAAGGGCACAGAACACATCCCATTTGGGTGGGCATTAAGATAATGATAGAATTTTGACAGGCAGAGATTTGGGATGGGCAGCACATTTTGTGGAAAGTGGGAATGTCAAAAGTAAACAGATGGTAGAGTTGGAAAGAAGAAATGAGCAGGGCATACTTAGGTGATACCAAGGTTTTATTTATTGCTGCATGGTGTGGTTTTAGGGGAGAAATGGAAAATGAGGCTGGAGAAGTAGGTTGGGACATAAGTGTGAAGGGCCTTGAAGATGGGGACTTTAGTGATGTTTGGTGATCTATGGAAAATCTTAAAAAAAATGAACAGGGACAGAGTTGTGCTTTAACAGCATGAGTATGGAGAAAAGAGAGATCCTTGGGAACCACTTACATATAAGGGGGTGCAAAGAGCATGTTGCAAGGGCTTCAGGAATATAAAGATACAACACAGAACTTTCTTCTGAAAGGTTTGTTAGGAAAGGAAGGGAAACATCAGATACTTAGAGGGGAAAGGGAGTGACATCAAGGATTTTTAGGATAAAGAAGATCTGAACATATTTATGTCAGTGGGAAAGGATCAGAGGAAAGGGAGAGGTTGGTGGGGCCAGGTCCTGGAAGGCAAGAAAATGCTTTAAAAGAACAACGGTGGAAAAGAGGAGGGATGCTCTTTCCTTTGAAAGGAGAGAGACTTTGAGGAAAAAAGAAATCAAGTGTTAATGGGAATTCATAACAGGTGACTGAACCTTAAAAATAGTAGGTGCTGATGTCTTCTGCTGAGAGGTAGGGGGCATAGAAATTGGGTTGGGAGCTTGAGGAACATGGAAAAAAGTATGGAACAGCCCGTGTGAGGAAAGCAGTGGGGAGTCAACAAGAAATGACCAAAGAATTGCCAGCTTCAAGTCCAGCTGAGGTTAGCTAGCACCAGTTTCTGGTGGACCAAGTTAGCAGGAATTTGTGTTTCTTTTTCACTAATGCTCCAGGGCCTGGGAGTGGATGGGAGAAAGTGGGCAATGGGTTTATTTAGGAGTGGGAATTAGTGATTTGATAATAGTGGAAGATCAGAGCGACAAGGAATTCCAGAGTGATGAAATGGTTGACTCTGGGATTCAGTCTAGCCTGGAGGCAATGAAGCCGGAGAGGATTGATGTTTAGGAGAAGGGTATAGAAAAGAGGGAAAATAAGTCTGAGTCAGGGTCAGAGGGGGAAAGTTGAGTGTTCTCAGTGTTTGAGAGGTGAGGTCAGTGGCTCAGCCAGTAGAGATAAAGGCCACTGTGACTGAGGAAGTGGGAGATCTATGAAACCAGAGCTTGATTCACTAAAGGTATCAGCAGAGGCTTGGGTGAGGAGGAAGACTGAGCAGCTACCATATTCACCAAGGAATGGAGAAGGGCCCTACGAGTAGATGTAATGGGTTTCAAAAGAAAGAGGTTGGTAAGAGAAGGCCTGGAGGAAGACGTGGGAAGCAAGGATCATTTGGAGCCAGGGAACACTGGGGTGAAGACTCACAGAGAGGGTTAAGGGGAAATTGTGTTACCAGGAAAATGTCAGGTTTCAGCTAGGGTGGAGGCTAGGGAAGCTGCCTTAGCCTCCTAGGGCTGCTGTAACATTACTGCCAACTGAGAGGCTTAGAACAACAGAAATTCATCCTCTCGCAGTTCTAAGGCTAGAGGTCTGAAATCAAGGCGTTGGTGGGGACGTGCTTCCTCCGAAGGCTTTAGGGAAGAATCCTTCATTGCCTCTTCTAGCTTTTGGCAGCTGCCAGGGCAATCCTTGGCCTTCCATGGTTTGTAGATGCATCACTCTAATTTCTGCCTCCATCTTTACATGTCACTTTCTCCTGTGTGTCAGTGTGTCTGTGTGTGTCCTCTCCTCTTCTTATAAGGACACTAGTCATTAGATTTAGGGCCCACCCTAATCCAGCATGACCTCAGCTTAACTAATTACATCTACAAAGACCCTATTTCCAAATAAGGTCACAATCTGAAGTTTCGGGTGGACATGAATACTTTTGGATGGGGACATTATTCAACCCAGTAGAGAAAAATACTACGGGATAAGTGGAGGGTCTAAAGAACTTTCCTCCTAATAAAATGGGGATTCTACAGATGCAGTGGGAGGAGCTGGTGAAGGGTAGCATGGCTGACCTGGATGTGGGGAAGAGTAGGACTAATCTGAAAGGATCAGTGTGACAGCTGAGACAAGCAGCAAGTCCAGGCAAAAGTGATGCAGGAGCAGGGTCAAGAGTTAGGCAGAAGCTGCGGGCATTCCAGGGGAGGGAGAATGCTAAGTGGGCCATCTTTTATTGTTGAAGCAACCTCTACCAGGCACGAACCCAAGCCAAATGGATTACTGGTGCCATGGGATCTCTGCCTCAGCCTTTGGGCTACATAGCCCAGGTTTTTTCCTCAAAGTACCACCTTGACACAAAAACTGTGACGGACAATGAAGGGATCTGGGGAAAGGACACTCTGTGTTTTTCAAAGAAAGCTGCCTTAGAGAACTGGGAAAGCCACATGGGACTGGCCAAATCCATGGCTTTTGTCACTGAGATGGTTTTCTAGCAGTGCTGTACCTGGTTTGCCTTCTTCATCTAAATTGCAAGCTCCACAAGGACACAGATTACGTCTTCTTTTTCCTTTGCATTCTGTGTAGGGTCTATTATTGTGTTCTGGAAGCACCATCATCCTTAGCTTCACAATGATAACAGTAGTGTGAGGTTTTTAAATACCCACTATGTGTCAAGCATGATGCATCATCTCATTTTATATAACCCACGTTGGAAGCAAGTGTAAGTTCAGAGAAGTTAGGAAATTCACACATAGCTATGCAGCTAATTAATGGCAGTGTTGGGATTAGATCCATATTTGTCTGATTTCCATGACTCAGATGAAGCATGTGGTGTTTGAAAATTGTTTCTTTTCATTCCACAGCTCTAGCATGTCTTCTCAGAAACAAGCAACTCTAGTGCACAAGTGACTCCCCGTGGTCTCTGTAAATGGAGATGTATGTCACTCCCCCCCTCTTAGTGGTGCATTAGGAGTTTTTTAAAAGTCACAAATAGTTTTGATTCTGATATTAACTCTGGAGCCAAATAGAAAACAAAACAAAATAACAACAAAAACAAACAAAAGGCATACTTTAAATAATTGAGTAAAAAATTTGAAACCAATAATATATTATTACTAAAAATATATATTCAGAATTTTCCTGGTAGAAATTGATACGGACTTAAGCTAAAATTGCTGAGGTACATTTTGACCATAGTGGTCTGGTTTTAGGAATGGCCAGTACTCATGAGATGTTACTAGGGCTCTCGCGCACCCTCTCTCCTCCTCCCCTTCCTCCCTCCCTCCCCAGCACTTAGCCTGCTTCCATCTGTGTTGGCTTCTTCTCTGCAGGCTGGCCCTGTGAGGTGGGAAAGAGCTCACTAGCAGCTCTAGACCAACACTGCATTTTGTTCCTGAGATCTTAGGAGACAGATCATATCGATACCTGGAAAAGGATTCTGGCTTTCCCAGGCTCGGGTCATATGCCCACCCCAGACTAATTGCTCTGTTCATGGCATTGAAGTATTTTGATCAACCTGGGTTTGTGATCACTCTTACAGTAGGGAAGGTGGAACACCTTGATTGACAGCCCTGCCAGTTGATGGAGAGGCTGTTCTTAATAGAAAGAGAGTCGTTCTTTGCTAGAATAAGAGGAAAAGGCTGCTAGGCAGGAAAAAATCAACAAAACTCCCCAGATGTTCAGTATAAGAAAATTTTTTAAAAATCACTTACCCCATTATCTTAACATAACTAATATCAATTTTGTATATTATTTAACAGTCATTGTTCATTTATATACCTGAATTTATAATATATAATTTTTATGTTAAAAAATAACATAAGTCGTAAGTATTTTTCTATGTTGTTACATGAAAGTAATTTCTTTAAAAAAAACATTAATAGAATAGAGCATAGAAAAAGTGTATCAGAGGATTAAAGTCTTGTGTCTTGAGTGTAATTTCACCAAAAGCATCTCTACTAGCTACCTGTTAACCACATTTCCTATAAATTCAGATAATAGGATTTTTCTCTAGAAAGGTTATCATAACTGTGACCACTTTGCTCTTCTTGACTCCCCAGCCTGTGGAGAGTCGTCAAGTCTGAGTTTTCCCAGCTCTCCTCATTGGCTGTTCCTCTCCTTCTCCATGCTCTGTCACTTCCTCATGGTGCTGACATCTTCTGGACAATTATAAATGGCAACTTCAACAGCAAGGACTGGAAGATGAGGTTTGAAGCAGGTACCTCTGTATTAGCTTAAAAATTCTCTCTGGTCACAAGGTAAACCAGGTGTCCAGGCACCACATCTATTTCTGGCCTTCCTTTATCCTCCCTTGTTTTTAAAGGGCATTGTCCTGCTTGCTGGTGTTCTTTGTGGTTCTACTTAGCCAGGCTTCCTTGATAATAGTATTTTGCAGTGTCCTTAGGTAGGGTGATCTGCACAGGTTTGCCTAGAACAGTCCCAGGTTATGCCTGCTCTCCAGGTGTATTTATTAATTGTACCCTTGTTTACTCTCAGATGGGTCCTGGCTTGAATGATAAATTATGTCGTCAATCTAATAGGTTGCTTGCATCAGAGTAACTGGGAATGTTTGTTAAAGATGCAGATTATCGGGCCCTATCCTAGACTTACTGAGTCAGAATTTCAGGGGGTGAGGCCAGGAATCTACATTTTTAATAAGTTCTCCCGGTAATTGGTGAAGTTTGAGAATCTCTGCTGTTATACCCTTGCCATTGAAGCATCAGGGACCAAGTCTGGTGCAGTGATGGGTACAATTTCCTAGTGCTTAGAATGGCAAGTTCTCAGAGGAACAGGGTAAGGAAGGAACGTGGATGTGTTCTCTTAGCCTCACATCTGCTGGCTTCACTGTCACCCCAATCTGCTAGGACTCCCATTTTCAGGGGGCAGCAAGTGGGGCTGGCATACCATAGTGTGCCTCATCAGAATGGTTCCATATATTTTAGTGTCTCAAAAATTTGGGAAAGAAATGGAAGTTCCATCAGGTGAGTTAACTATTATACTTTAGAGCTCAGTTCCCTAACATCTGGCCACCTCAAAGAGTTCTTGCCTTTTATGCCCCATGAATTCCAGAGGCTGGTTTATTTATATAATAGCACGTGATGTTGTAGGGAATTAGATTAAAATTTTCTAGCAAAAAACTACATGGTATTGGTAACATTTTATAGGCATTTAAATACAAATAAAGCAGATAAATGTTTATGCTCTTTCATTACAATTTAAAGATTAGATTGTTGCTAGATTAATCTTCTGAATCACAGCCCTGATTATGTCACTTTTCTCCTCAAAAAATGTTCATGGGTTTTCAATGCCTAGTGAATACAGTTCAGACCCCTTAACCTGACATTCAGAGCCTCCCATGGTCTAACTACAAGTGTTTGCAGCCTCATTTCCCTCTCTTCTTTCTACACATGCCATTGCTGCCTGCTTCCCCTCAACCATATCTTGGCCATTCTGTGCTCTCCACCTGAAATTGTCTTCCCTTCTAGGTCCCATTCAAATGCCACCTCCATTTGATCTTCCTTCAAATGCCCACAATGAGTTCCGCTTTCTTGGTTCCCTCAATGATGTCCCAGTGGATAAAGTCATTTCTTCATCTTCTGATCTTCCATACCATTTTATTTACAACTCAGTAGGATTTACAGCTTTTTATATTACATTTCAGTTATAGTTATACTTGTCTTGTCTGTTTTAGTTGACTTGACTTTGAAGTCAAGACTTGTGAACGATTCACGTATTAGTCAGCTCGGGCTGCACTAACAGAATACCACAGACTGGGGGGCTTAAGCAACAGAAATTTATTTTTCATAGTTCCAGAGGCTGGAAAGTCGAAGATCAAGGTGTTGGCCAATTCACTTTCTCGGTGAGGGCTCTCTTCCTGGCTTGTAGGTGGCTGGCCACCTTTTTGCTGTCTCCTCACATGGTGGAGAGAGAGACAGAGAGCTCTGATCTCTCTTCCTCTTCTTATAAGGACATGAATGCCATCATGGGGACCCCACCCTGATGATCTCATCTAAACCTAATTACTTCCCAAAGTCCTACCATCACACATCACATTCAACATACGAATTTGTGGGGGGAGGACACAAACATTCAGTCCATAACAATTTATTTTTCCATTTACTTCCATCTCCTCCCAAGTACCTAGGATGATTTCTTAGTTGTATATATGTTCTTAATATATATTTTTTAAATAAGTGAATCAGAGAATTTATTGAATAAATCCTATATGTACTAGGTACTATGGGAACAATAAAAAGAGTATAAGAGCTGATTCCTTTTCTCCAAAAGCTCCTAATTTAATTGATAAGACCAAATATAAACTTGTAAGAAGAGTTTAAGAAACTATAAAGGTATAAATATAATTCAAGAACACAAAAGGAGATAAGTCATATAGCCATATATGAACACATAAATGCTGTATGTAAATGAACAGTATTTTTGCAGGAGTTCATGGGATGGAGAGGCCACTCTAGGAGGGCAAAGTAGACTTCAGAGAACAGCTGGAATTTCAGCAGCAGATTCTTTAAGGATGGTAGAGTGTCAATAAGCAGAAAATAATATCAAGAATATTCCAGGTTGCTGGAACAGCTTAAGCAAAGTACTGAAACGTCTTTATTTGCACAGAACTATATTGTTTCACTAGCTACTATAACTTTTTATAAAATTATGTTTTAAGAGTGGCTGGAATCATTTAACATAGATTTGCAGGAGATTTAGAAATTTATCAAGTAAGGGTGCATTTATTCATGGAAGAAATATGTGGCTTCTATAGCCCCAGGAAGACTGGTTGTCATTTCACATCGTGACATACTAAGAGTGGAGTAGGGGATCCAGAACCGAGAGCCAGACCTGGTGGGCACCTCCTGCCTCCCCGTGCAGCCTGCAGAACCTCTATGGAAAAGACAAAGAAATGAGCATGGAGGCATTCTGAAAAGTTTGACATGTAGCTGGAAGTTCAACAAGGGAAAGACCATTAAAAAAAAATGCAAAAAACCCCAACAACCCAGCACTAAATCAAGGCTGCCTGCAGAAAATACTGCACTGAGTACACAGATGCACAGATGAAATGGAACACTGGAGAAGGTGGCATTAGAACTTCCTTTTGGTATTTAAAATCAATGTGTCGGGGGGGGCCCAGAGTTAACTTTTTCTTGGTGGGCTCAGTTCTCAGACTGTCTAAATAATGCCATTTCTTTGGTCCTCTGCCTTTTATGTTGCAGTGGAAAAAGTGGCTGTAATTTGTAGATTTCTGGATATTCACTCAGTGACCAAAAACCACCTGCTGAAGTACTCCCTGGCCCATGCCTTCTGCTGCTTTCTGACAGCTGTGGAGGACGTCAACCCAGCAGTGGCCACCAGGGCCGGTCTCCTGCTTGACACCATAAAGAGGCCAGCATTGCAGGTGACGTGCCTTGGATGTGTCTTATCTGCTCTGCAGACAGTGCTCTGCTCTGCTCTCTTAAGTCACTGAGCCATTTGTCACATAAACACATATAACACTGACGACGGTGATGATGGTAGCAGTGGAAATTTTTCAATTGGGAAAAACATCCCAGAAACACACCTTATTAACAGACCTCTTGTTGTTATTTGTTTATACCTGCTTTTCAGTCTTTGTCCATATGCTGATATCACTTGTGACAGATCTGATTCTTGTATAACTTTTTTTGTAGCAGAATTTTAAACTAGGCTGGTTTTATCTTATATCATTTAGCTGGCTCCAGGGCTGGAAGTCCTTGTCATTAGTGACTAGACGCTAGGAGAAATCAGATGATTATAACATAAGTCACAGCAAAACATAAGAAGGTAAACATGCTACCAAAATGAAACAGCACAAATTAAAGCCAAAGGAACATGGAATATGAGACCTGGAGAGAGCTGTGTGTTGATCTTATTTGGCACCTTTATTTTATCATTGAAGGAAGTACGTCTCAGAGAAATAATGTGACTTACCAAAGGACACAGAGTGAATTAGTGCGAAAACCAAGGCTAGAACCTCCCGCGTCCTGATCTACTGTTTTTCCACGTTGGCACCTGATTATTATATCATTATTATTAACGCTAAGTAATGGCAAGAGCTAAAATTTATCAAATAGGTACTGTGTTTCCAGGGCCATGTATTGAAGATGTCCCTCATGCGTTATCTTATTAGCCCTCACAATAACACTTTATGTGTTCCCATTTTACAGTTAGAGAAGCTGAGGGTTAGAAGGGTTAAGTAACTTTTTCAGAGTCACACGGCTATTAAGTGGCAGAGCAAACTCAGGTCTGATTCGTAATAGAGTCCATGTTCTTAACTGTCTGTGTGTGTCTGTGTGTGTGTGTGTGTGTACACTGCCTTGAAATCCAGTGTAAGGGTTCTTCTGTAAAAGACACTAATAAAGGGCAAATTGAGCAGGATCTGAAAAATTATAGGGTTTTGCTGCATGTGGACCCACACCTCCTTTGTCAAAATTGCCCGTTGTCTTCTGGATAGTCCTTCTCTGCTGCTCTTAATCAGACTAGGAAGTTGTATGTCTGACTTCTGCTCAGGGCCTGGAATATAGGAGGGACTTATTAAATGAGAGCTGAGGAATGAATAGAATAGTTGGATGAATTATGGTTTTTTAAATTTCATTCAGTTAAAAACAGGAATGGTAGACATATATTAGAGAAATGGATGCTCAATCCATTCCAACTTGATATTTTAAGATTATATGTTCCACTCACATTCTAATAAGACAAGATGACTTTACTTTCTTTTAGAATCATGGAATTTAGCATTGAAAGGAAATTTAAAGACCATCTTCTTGGATATTCTACAATGTAGCTTGGAAAGTATGTTTTTCCTAATAGAAACTGCAGAGATTAAAAAAAGAAGCACTGGTTTGAGTGTATTTGGATTAAGTGGTTATTATTAAATGCATCAGAAAATCAATAATATTCATTTAATTCAGATTTCTGAATCAAAACTTAAGAGATATTCTACAATTAGGAGTAGCTCCTCTTCTGCATTTTCTTTTCCTACTAAAACTTGTGATCAAAAATGATATCAGTTGGATCATTCTACGTTATAAGTATGGATTGAGGAGGTTGCCTTCTTTCACTGACTTAGTGTATTTGCTTTGAAGTAACTCAGATGTTTGTATCTGACTTTCCTTTTTTCCCCCTCTTCTCCAGGGTCTGTGTCTTTGTCTTGACTTCCAGTTTGATACTGTGGTTAAAGATCGACCCACAATATTGAGCAAACTTTTACTCTTGCATTTTCTTAAGCAAGATATTCCTGCTTTGAGCTGGGAGTTCTTTGTCAATAGATTTGAGACGCTTTCCTTGGAAGCTCAGCTACATTTGGATTGCAACAAAGAATTTCCTTTTCCTACAAGTAAGCGAAACAAAGACCTTGCTTTAAACAGTCACAGCTCCTGTCCTTGAGCTTGTTAGCTAAGCAGAAGGCAGTCTGCATGCAGTTTCACTTCCCGTTATGGAGGACGCCTTAACTTCACGTACTCAGTTCATCAAACGTTTCCTGAATATCTGCTGTAGTAATCCATAGGTTAACTATTTTCTGGCATTCCAAAGTCAAAACTCCTCATTTCCTTGAGGACCTATGATAACCATTTGTGACTGTGTGTTCCTTAAATATCATTCAATCATCATGTTTATGATGTTTGTGAACAGTTTTGTGAGATATGTTTGCACCTTGCAAGTTCACTCTTACATGCTGATTAATCAGTTACCTGTAGCTCTAAATACATGGGAAAAGACTTTGGGCAATCAACTATTTATGCAGTGATAATAAAAATTAGATAATTTAATCTTATGGTCTAAACAGAAAAATGATAGGTGATCGTCATGAGAGGCAATGGTCATGATTTTTAATATGAGACTCATCATAGAGGAAGATGAATGATTCATGTATCCTTGAAAGAAATATTTTAATATTGAAAATATACACAGATGGATTGTGTCAAACTAGGTGTATTACATAGCTGGTTAAGGAAAATGATAACCTCTAATTCCTTTGGCAAAGCTATCACTGCTGTAAGGACCAACGTCGCTAACCTCAGTGATGCAGCACTGTGGAAGATCAAGAGGGCTCGTTTTGCAAGGAACCGCCAGAAGAGCGTGCGTTCCCTGAGAGACAGTGTGAAAGGGCCTGCGGAATCCAAGAGGGCGCTCTCCCTCCCTGAGACCCTAACCTCCAAAATTCGTTGAGTATCTTCTTCCATCCTTCCTTTAAATCTGTTTAATGTCTTTCTGAGGCTGACTTGTCTTGTTGAGTGTTCACAAGAGTAGCAGGTTTAGCAACTGAGCTCATTCAGCAGCTTTGGCCTTCAGATTCCCTAGAGGGTCAACCCAGAGGTGCCAGTGCCCTGGGTGGCTTTTCCCAGTTTGCAGCCGAAGCAAAACCCTCATCCACCTGTAGGTTGTTTTGAAATGTAGAAGGCAGCAAATCCATTCATGCTTGTCATGAAACATAGAAGAATTATTTGCTCCTAAGTCCTAGGGTATGAAGATCTGAACCACCAGCCTTGTAACCTAAGAGCTTCCTGAGTAAGACTGACAGGACCCATGGCAGCTAGGAGGTCGAGTGGGAATTTGGAGCATTTTCCTTTCATGCATGATAGAGGCAGCCAAACCAAAAATAATGGTGCAACGGAAAAGAAAAATCAGGCTGAGGAGAAGTTGAATTTCTGCCCAACTTCACTAGCTAATTTATAAATAAAAACAAGCTTCATCGCCAACCTAAAAAAAAAAAAGACCCTATATACTTGTTTTCTAAAGGTCTTTCTTTATATTGCACTTTTAAAAGGAACACATTACCAAATGACTAAATGAACTCTAATGATTAGCAATGGCTCATGAATGTCAAATAATTAAAAATTCATAACTAAATCACCATGTTAGTGAATGAGTATATTTAAATATATTTCTAACTTGTAAAATTTATTAAGTGATTTAATTTTTAAATAACTGCTGTGAAGGTAATAAAATAACACCACAAAACATATTTCTTATCCTGTCAGAAGCTGAAAAGTTTGCTTTTCCATTGGCGTTTCTTAGAAGACAGCCTATGTAACATAACCATTTTTAATCATAAATATGATTTGATTTGATTTATTGTGTTTTCCTCTATTTTGATGACAAGTTGTGGAAATGTGGCATTTGGAACTTTGGAAGAGTCAATGAAAGCCCTCTAAGCAATCAATAACCCAGTTTTTCAGGAGCAAGGATACTAACAGGTGGCCATGTAAGAATAACTTGTGGTAGCGCTAGGCCCCAGGGGAAACTGAGTCAGATCCTAGAAACCAATACTTAGATTAAAGAGATTACAATTTCTATATGAATTTTCCAGCCTTTTTATAATCTAAGGGATAAGTTTGGGACATAAAGTTTATTTATTGTTGTTTCTTGTCAATTGAGTCACCTGTCAATTTTGAAGATTAAGAATTGAAGTAACATTGAAGGATGTTCTTGAGATTCAAATAAAACCACAAACCTTTTGTGACATAAACATCTTTTATGTGATGTTAATTACAAATAGGAAAACTAAACTTGCCCCTACTATCCTATGCCGTTAGCACTGAGTATATTTTCTAGACTCAAGTTGTTTTCAATGCTTATTTAAATAGAGTTGTTGTTGATTTTTAAGCTATGAGGTTGACCAGGCATGAGCAGTCTGCTCCAGCTCTCGGTGGGACACCTGAACAGACTCCAGGTGGGTACTTCTGACGTTGAAGGGCCATGTACAAGTGTCTATCACAGGTGGACAAGGTAAAGAGTACGGTGTCTCTAACTGGACCAGAGTGATACACTTAGGATTTGCAAGCTCGAAGGGTCTTACCCCATATGCTCAACAGTTTGAGCCCCTGATGTAGCAGTTCTTTCCATCTTAATACTGACTGATGACTTGATCCCGTTAACTTTTGGTCCAGTGAGAAGCATCATGTTACCCAAGTATGCACTTTTCCCCAGAGAGCCAATGACTAGAACTATACATAGTACGAATATTTGTATGTGTATTTACACATAGAAATATTATGTTCATGTATATCTGCTATAGGAAAGACATACATTTCATTTACATTTTAAAAGGTTATACATTTGAACCACCATCATTCACTCATCCCCTTAGCCATTCCTGATTCTTTGCAACTCTGCATGCATTTCTGTCTCTCAGAGAAAGAAGGATTTCCCTTGTTTGGAGGACCATAGGACCATATTCAGCTCAGTACAGGGTAACTATCGTTTGATGTTCCATGATAGAATACAATTTAACATGAAGTATCCTAAAGGTTGAAGGGACACTGGCAAGGCTATTATAGACTGAATGTTAACTACACAGATGTTGCCACCACTCTTTGGGAAGATTGTAAAGTTTCCGAATACCTATTTATTTGTCAAAACAAACTTGGTAACTACCACCTATGTGTCATGCTATAGAACATTTGGTATTTCATCTAAGAATAATTTTAAGATAAACTTTTCAGAATGGTACTGAAGGAAAATTCCAAGTGAGGAGACTTTCAACAACGTGTGTGTTATTTGTTATAAGAAGGACGCTAGAAAGAGAAGCAGTTAGGGGTGGGAGAGGAGAAGAGAGAGAAGCCCAAGGATTATGAATGCAGATGTTGACCAAAGTGTATTTGCTCCTTTAAAATTGATGAGAAAAAAGGAACAGCAAACACGTGGCAGAGTCCCTCTACCTCGTTTTGCACATTGCTCAAGCCTCAACTGTGCCGGGCTTTAAAAAAAACGAATAAAAAGAAGAATGTCGGATCCTGAGCTTCACTGCAGATGTGAATCTACCCAGGCGCCCTTCAGTTAGGTGTTTTCAGATTGGTCATAGACAATTCCACAAGTTATCTTTATTTTACCCCATCTTTTCTTTTTGTCTTAGGGCTTAATTGAAAAGCTAGTGTTTAATTATTATTACCTATTTTAACAATCCAACCAAAGGAGTCCTCTGACATCTCTTTGGTAAACATGCACATACGATTCTTGAAGTTAAGAAAAGCCTTCAGGCATCTAATTGTCCCAGCAAAAGTGCCCAGTGGGAAAATGGGGCAGATAACAGCATTTAAAAATTAAATATAAAGCTAAACTTCTGGAAAGATAATTTACACACCACCACCATAAGCAAAACTTGCTTTGATTTGGAAATAAGCTGGCTCATCTTATAAGGCAATTTCAAACTAGTTTTTCATTTTTGCATTAGTATTTACTGGACACTATTATTTGCTGGACACTGAAAATTTTAATTTGCAAGCAAAGACCTGCCAGGATAATTGTAAGATTGTATGGGATGGTTTAAGATAGTAATTAAATAGAACCCAAGGAACTTGCTACTTAACGAACATGCTTTTGTTTGGTGCAAGTAATGAGCTCCTCTGTGCAAGACCTCATATTGATTAGGCCCGAAATAAAGCAGATTCCCTTTAATTATGCAGCAAGACTTAATTTTAATTGCTGTTTAGGCTGAACTTTTTGGCATTGGATTTACAGTTTATGGCTCCCTGATCTTAGCTTTCACATATTACCCACGGCAAATTTTGCAACAGAAATACCCTTATATAGAAGGTACACTCTGCAAAGCTAGTGAAGAGCTGCATTTCTCTGTGACTTTTATGAGTCAAATCAAAGGGCTTTGTGTGTATATAGAAAATTCATAGAACTGTTATAGCTGAAACATTAGAGATATGTAAATATTCTCATTACAGGAAAGGAAACAGAGGTTCTCAGAAAGGAACAAGTTGCACAAGCTTATTGGTGACAGATCTGGGTCTCGCACCAGATGTCTTGATCTCTCTTGCAAGGCATGGGTGGTAAATGCTAGCAGGAGCTCAGCGTTTAATCCTAATTGATGAAATATACAGTCTCACCTGCTAATCTGAAATGGGTATAAATATAATTAGATATAAGGTGTATTTTCATTGATGCTGTGGGAACCAGGAATTCTTTGTCTTTGGTGATTCAGAACACCTGTTGAATATTAATTGAATATATTGCAGTAGTTATGGTATCACAGCACAAAACTGAACAAATGATATCAACCCTATAAACACAAGGAGCTGAATTATATCTTGTTGCTCATCCCCTGGAATGAATAATTAAACAATAGTAGGTAAATAATAATAATACTTCATATATGTATAGTACCTCTTTATAAAGAGCATTTTTATGCAAATCACCAAAGGACCGTCCCAGTCAGGACCCGCAGATTGGTGTGGAGCTGTCCCAGTTCCTCAAGGGACATGGATGTTCTCAGTTCTATTCCAGCCTGCAGAGAAATCTTGAGATCTCTTGGTCTGAATTTGTATCAAGAGAAGGTGCCCAATGCTAGGTAGCTTTGGTGTAACTCTCTTATGTTGACCTTTCCTTGCCTTCTTCTTAATGTCCCAGCCTAAAATTCCAAATTACTTCTCTTTGGGCTCTCTCTTTTTCTTTCTAGAGATGGTTTATAATTTACTTCTTTGCTAACTTGCAAAATACCTTTTGATCATTAAATCCAAAGAGTATAGTTGTTTTTATAGGAATGCTTTTGTTTGACATGATCGTTTTGGGAAACGAGTTTCCATTCAACAAGCACTCATTGGGCACCTGCTGTACTAGGAAATATGAAAAGTGCAAAGATACATCAGAAATTTTTATACTCTGGACTTGCTTAAAGTAAGGGAGATAAAGTAGGCAATGAGTAAATCTCATCTAGAGTGAAAGTGATGGGACTACAGGACGGTTCACGTCAAATGCAATGGGAAGAGAGCTAGAGGCCGTGGGGAAGGTCTTGTGTACAGGTGGCTTTTCAGCCAGGCCTTGCCTAGTGGATGGGATATAAACGCACGGTGATAGGATGTGGGATAGCAAGAGGCAAAGGCAGGGATGGGGAGCATACGAGGGAGGGAGTTAGTGGCTGGCCCAGCTTTATGGCCCTTCTGTGGATGTGCGCACACAACAGAATTGCTGTGAATGAAGCTTTCAGTTGAGTTAGTGAGCTAGGGAGAGCAGTGAGGTGGTGTAACTAGAACTACCGACATAGTGCAACCTCATTCATAGAGCTTGATCATCGGCTTCAAATGCAGAGAAAGTGCGTGGAAGGGCTCCTTCCTTCCTCTATCTGATTGTCACGTATTGGTTTGACAGAGAGGTCAGTGAGTCGACTTATACAGAGGAATGTTCCGTATTTCCCTTGCCACTTCCTTGCTGTCTGGGGACTTCATCAGTTTTTCTCCTATATAGAAGACAAGATCTGAAATATTTATTTGGGTTCAATGCACTTAGACATTTATGAATACTAAGCATCAACTATAGGTCAGACACTGCCCCATATTCTTTGAGGGATATAAAAATGGACAGGACATAGCACTTGCCTTCAAGGAGCCTTTCTTCTTACAGGGGAAATAAGGCAAATGCATACTTAAAAAGTCCTCCCTTGCTTAATAGGTATTTGCCACATGAGAGTTAGGAAATGCTAAAGAAGTTTTCCTCCATTCTTCCTTTTCTACCTCCCATCTTCCTCCTTTTCTTGTCTTTGGAGATTTGCAGAATTTAGGGATCACATCCAATTGCTGAGAGGAGGGTGGGCATATGCAATAAGAAAGGCGTCTGAAAACCAGATCCATAGGATAAAACTGGGGGTGGGGGTGAAGGACCACCTTGCAAGGTGAAGAGAGCACCATGAGCAAAGACACAGAGACGCGATGAGATCCACTAGTAGCCGAGCCTATTAGAATGTTGAGCAGTGGGTGGAGTGAGAGGAGGTAAGTCTGGAAGAGCAGATCCTGATCCTGCCTGGTTTCAAACCACCTGAAAAAATAAACGTGGGGTTTCAGTTCAGTTGTGCCACTCTGTGGACAGAGTGTGACGGCCCCAGTTCAAGTTAAAGTGATGGCAGGCATCGCTCTGCCTCCATGATTATAAAAATGCTTATATTCTTCTTTTCAGAAACGATCAAGTCAAATCTCTTAACATGTTAAATCTTGAAGGTTAAAACAGATATAGGAATTTCATAGACTAGAATTCAAAACTAGTGTTTTAATTGTCACACTGTAGAGAAAATATTGCAGGCATGTAGTTTTAAAATGGAAATTTCACTCCCTTTATAGATAACTAAAACAGTAGTATTGTCTTTATCAATAAAGAAAATTTCAGCTTTTCTAAGCTCATTTTTCTTAGGGATTTGATTAAGGTAACTTTTCTTTTTTGGTGAGTGTACCACTTACAAGCTTGCACTATTTTAAAGAGGAGTAATATCCAAGGCACAGACTTGCAAAGCCCACACCTAGGGGAGTAAATTTTTGCAATGGAAAGCTATTTTTTTCACTTTACGCAAAGGTTCCGTTAACTAGTTGTTTTTTCAGTACATTTAATGATTTGGTACAGATCACTCATTACTGGCTATTCAGGGAAAGCAAAGTCAGAGCAGCAAACTTCAGCTAAAGCACTGAAGATCAGTGGAGACACATCTAAAGAGAGAACAGGGCATTTTTGACATGATACTTAGTCTTTAGGAAAATATGATTTGATGGGAAAAGCTTTTTAAATACATGTCTACTTAAATAGAAAGAAGAGCTTTGAAATATTTAAAGATGAAGTCTGATTTTCTAGACTTGAACTGGGACAGAATGAAATGGGGGAGGCAGTGTCCTTGTTGGGCCTTGCCTGGAGCTCCCCTTCTTTATTGAGGCCCCTAAAGTCTCAGGGTTATAGAATAAAGGTGCAACTCTTTCTCAAACACTCCCTAGTTCCGTTTTTAACTTTGAGACTTTGGAGTCAAGCCAGTAAGGACTTGGAGGTGGCTGAGTAGGCCTGAGTGACACGTGCTCTCTTAACCCTCACCCCCCAGCGCTAAGTGAATTGAAGAATGAAGCTGTATGGTGACAGCCATCTCTTGCTGCTGCAATAACGCTGAATCCTGCAGGGAGCCTAGATTCCCACGCTTGTCACATTCTTGGTCCAAGCTCGCCCAAAGCAATAACCTCCTTCTAGCTGTAAATACTCTAGAGGGAAAAAAAATCGAGATTAAGTATTTTTCAATGCTGAAAAGATAGTTCTCTAAACATTTTCTGTTTTGTTTTATGAGGATTTGCTTGGGTGTTGCTTTTGGTCTGATCATATATTTCAGACATTTAATTTAATTACAATATACAGTGATGCTTCACATTTCTGTCCTCTTGCTGAAAGAGGCTTTTCCACACATATCGCTTTTTTCTTCTGCTGGCTGATGCATGCCTAATAAATCGTGATAATGTTAACAATTTATTGATCCTCTCTGCATGTGAAACACTGTGATAAACAAATCCTTAGGTTTTACTTGAGTAATTCTTGGTAAGAAATTCTCTAAAGTACATTGCACATATTTATTCCTTCATGAACAGACTCTGTGAGACAGAAAATGTGGTTGATGTCCTAGGGTCATATTGAAGTTAGTCCATGTTTTCCCTTACATTCGAGGCTCCTAGCCTTGGTTAATTCAGCTGCCTCTTCACTCACTGTCAACCATCCCTTCTCAAGATATCACTTTTGAACAGAGCAACATTCTTATGATCATCTGGGGAAAACTAGGCAACCAGGCTTGTTACCTTATGCGCAGTTCTAAACTTGTAAATTCTGAATTTGACATCACCTTCACGCCACTGCTCCAGAGAAAAGTGCTTGGGCTTGAGACGCTGATTTCCACAGTCCCCAGAAACATTTCTCCTATCTTGCTTCTCTTGGCTGTGTCCTGGAAGGTTGAGAATTTGCCAAATTAGTTGAGGAGTTAACAGATATAAATTACTACCTGACTCTTTGTTGTATCCTTTATCCCATAATTACAATGGATATAATCAAGGTTTGGTTTTAATGCTTTGTAACCAAAGCTTGTCATCATTTAGTAGAACTTTTCCTCGCAGGATGACAGACGAGAATGCTGGTGTGCGGATCCAATCCACCAGGCAAAAACTTTGTCTTTAATTTAGAAATTCTGACGTTGTTTGTCAAACGAAGGACAAACACGCAAAGAGTGTTTTGAATAAGCCCCAAAACATAAGTATAGGGGAACAAATCTTAGTCTTCCTTTACCAAAAGGCCTGAACTAAACCAGATCAGAAGAGGCAGAAAAACAAGGGAAGACAGGGTATAATTTCTGACTTTGAAAAATAACAGAGAAAGTCAATGTTAGGGAGCTGCTCAGATGTAATTATTTCTTAGCTTAACAGTAAGTCGAGGGCTAAGGTATTTTTTCTTTCCATGTGAACTTTCAGCTCACCTTCATGTGGTCTTTCTCTCTGTTTTTAAAAGTTCATGCTTCTTTCTTTCTGTGTGTGTCCCCCCCTCTGTATGTTTCTCATTACATGCAGCAGGCCTGATAATTTGCTATTTATAATTTTGACTACATCATTCAAAGAGTACAGACTGCTAATATCTCAGGATTTGGAAAAGAAAACTCTTTGCACTAGCTGATTTATGAACATAACTGAATTGCGATAATAATTTAAACAAAATAACCCACTGGATGTTTTTGTGCTCAGTGGATTTTAGAATATTATTTTTGTGGTTATTCTTACATGCTTATTTTACAAAGCTGGAAGGGAAACTTATCTTTCTTTATCACTGAGGAAAAACTTTGCCAAGATATTTAAAAATTCACTAAATGCAAAGTTTGCTTAGTTATTTGTCTTGTTGTCTGCAGATAACCTTGCTTTATAGTGCCTTATACTTATTTCTCTTCCCTATTGCTCCCAAAGCACTTGGTCATTGATGAACACAGTAACTTCCACCTCTGGACTAATGCTTTGCTTACTAGGCCACATTATGCCTTTAAGTTTGTCTAGAACAGAACTTTTAAATATTTAGTGAAAGCAGAAATAACGGTGCTTTATCAATAAGTGAGATTTTAGGGTAAACTTACTTGTAGGGGAGCCACCCCCCAATGGCCTTTCTTGTACTGACAGGACAACAATCCCCTGAGAATGACAACACCATCAAGGACCTGCTCCCAGAAGATGCTGGGATCGACCACCAGACAGTTCACCAGCTGATTACGGTGCTCATGAAGTTCATGGCCAAGGATGAGAGCAGCGCTGAGTCAGACATCAGCAGTGCGAAGGCCTTCAACACGGTCAAGCGGCACCTCTATGTCTTGCTCGGCTATGACCAACAGGAGGGCTGCTTCATGATTGCACCTCAAAAAATGCGCCTGTCAACTTGCTTTAATGCATTTATTGCAGGAATTGCCCAAGTAAGTGTAAGCTTTCAGGAGTCACGCCGTTAGGCTTTTAATAGAAGCAAGTCATTAGATTCCATTTAGCCAACATCGGTTCAGTATAAAGGCTTGCGCAAGTTACTTTATTAGGCAGGGTTGTATGGAGGGGAATTTAAAGATGAGTAAGACTCAGCAGCCTGATGTCATAAAGGGAGTATTGGATTTTTTGTAAAAACTCGTAAGATAAAATTTATCATTTTAGCCATTTTTAAGTGGACAATTCAGTGGCTTTAAGTATATTCGCATTGTTATGTAACCATCACTACTATCTACCTCTAGAACTTTTTCATTATCCTAAACTGAAACTCTACCCATTAAACAATAAGGGAGTGTGAATTTTTGTTTGTGAGGTTTTTTTAAATCCTTTTCTCTTTTTTGGCTTCAAGTGGAGATCTGAGTTACTCATACAACTTACTTCATGTCACATTATCATCATTGGCTTTTCCATGTTTGTCTGCTACTCTTAACTGCTGTATTGTATGCCATGCTGTATATTTACCATGCTTTAACTATCCAGTCCCCCAATGGTGGACACTCACATTGCTCCCAACCCCTCACTACTGCAAACAGCTCATCAGTGAACATCCTTGTACATGCACTTTATCCACCAAGGTGAGAATTCCTTTGGGATATGGATTCAGGAGCAGAATTAATGGATCACCGCATATATGTATGCCTAATTTGACCAGTGCCACAAATTTCACTGTCCAGAATGGCTGCACCAATCTGCAGAGGGTGTAGAACCTGGGGGTCGAGAGACGTGGATATGAATTTCAGCTCTGCCACTGTTATTAACTGTTACGGCCTTAGACATCCTCTGCTTGTTTGCTCATTGGTAACAGATTTGTTTTGAAAAATTAGAGAGAAGATTTTGGGAAGCACCTTAATCAGTGCCTGTCTCATGTTAGGAGCTCAATGATGGTAGCTGCTATCAATTAGCTCAAAGAGACTATAACGTAATGAACACAGATAAGCAAAATGGGAGCAGTATTATGTAGTTGTCTCTTGCTGATGCTGATAACTAGACGGAGCACCACTCAGCTATCTGTGATAAAGAGAGGATACACCATGTCAGATACCGACCCCCTTCTCCCTCACTTCTCTTTCTAAATCCACATTATGCATATTTATTTTAGAAACCTAAGCAAAAAATTAAAATACAAATCTCCAGGAAACCTATGACAAAAATAGCTTTCTATCATTTTGGCGTATACTGCTGGCTCCAAATTTACATACATTCATATATAAATGCATACATACATATGTGTGTATATGTATAAATGTATGTATATGTATATGCACATGTATTTTTTGCAATAATGGAATCATATTATACATACTGTTATATATGTAACCTTTTTTAAACCTAAAATTTATTATGAACATCATTTCATGTAAACAAATTTGTATCATATTCTACTGAATGGCTACACAGCATTCTGTTGTCATACAAACAATCTTTTAACTAATTCCATATTGTTGAATATGTAAGTTATTTTCAATTTGGGGTGATTATAATGCTGGATATCTTTATGCATATCTCTTGAATCATTTGTCTGATTATTTCCTTAGGCTATATTTAATTGCTGTATTAGAGATGATGTGTTTTTTCTTTCTTCTGAATACATATTGCTAAATTGCCCTTCTGAAAGGCCTTACTGAGTAAATACTCCTGCTGGCAGTGTCTGAGAATGCCCACTTCTCCACATGATTACCAATACTACGTGTTTTCATTGATTCTAGTTTAATTATAGTTAACAGTTTAATAGGACATTTTAATAGATAAAATTTTATTTTCAACAGCTAATTAAGTAGATAAATTAAAAAGATAATAAGATAATTAAGTAGATTAAAACTATTTTAATTTATAAGTTTTACAATTTCTTGTGAGGTTGGACTTTTCCTGCTTTATATGTACTGGCCATTACTATTAATATTTTATGAAATGCCTTGTTGCCTGCAGCCGCAAAGGGCAAGGAATGACAGGTACCGCCAAGGCTACTTGGTTGTTTAAGCAATCAAAGTTTATTGATAAAGGGAAGCAGAACAAGGAGCAAGGATAAAGGGGAACAACATATCGGTACGTACAACGTCCACACCACAATCAGCTGGGGAAGTCTCACTGAGGAAAGGACGCTTTGCCTCAGACCTGGACAATCGGCGCTCCCACCCGCCTTACAAACTATTGGGACTTCCCCGGCTGATTGTGGTGTGGATGTTCTAAGTACCAATTTGTTGTTCCCCTTTATCCCTGCTCCTTGTTCTGTTTCCCTTTATCAAGAAACTTTGATTGCTTAAACAACCAAGTAGCCTTGGCGGTACCTGTCATTCCTTGCCCTTTGCAGCTGCGGGCAACATGCCTTTTAAATACTTTGCCTATGTTTTGATGGTTCAGATTTTTCCTTTTGGCTTTATGTGTTCTTTATATTTTTCCCTCAGTTATTAATTTTTTTCCTGTTTCAGGTTATGGACTATAACATTAACTTGGGAAAACACCTTCTCCCCTTGGTGGTTCAGGTGCTCAAATACTGCTCTTGTCCTCAACTACGGCATTATTTCCAACAGCCACCTCGTTGTTCCCTCTGGTCCCTAAAGCCTCACATCAGGCAGATGTGGTTGAAAGCCTTGCTTGTCATCCTTTACAAGGTGAGGTGCTGTAGTCACTCCTTTTGTGGGTGGAATGATTCTTCTAGAGGAGAACACTTAAGAGATCTAAGTTGAGAATTTTGTAGGATAGTAATTTGACCTTCAAAGGAAGAACCATGCTGTACAGTTAGTGTTGAGAAGTAGAGCCATTGGAATGAAAATAGCAATGGAGACCATACCAGTGTATACTCTACAAATGTTTAAAACAAAAAATGATGAATTGGAGGATATTGATCAACAATCTCTGTTTATGCTCAGAATCTCATATTTTATCTATGTATTAATTATGTCAGAAAATAAGGAAAATACTTAAAATTGTATTCATACACCAAATGTTTATGCCAGGTAATTTTCTTGAAAGGAATTATAACCAAGAACCGGCATGCATTGCTGTCTGTGGTTTGGTGCAAGAGGAAGGGAATATGGTCCCTTGTCAAAATAAGGCCATGATAGGAATTTATGTTCTTGCTTTTCTGTATATTTCTTTTTATCCCCAAGAGATACTGAGAAAAATATCTAGCAAGATCAAGTGGAAAAACTTACCCTTCAAAATAACCATTTATATTTTTCTCCCTCCATTTTATTGAGCAGTATCCATACCGAGACTGTGATATCAGCAAGGTCCTGCTGCATCTGATTCACATAACAGTCAATACTCTCAATGCCCAGTATCATAGCTGCAAGCCCCATGCCACGGCAGGACCTTTGTACAGTGACAACAGTAACATAAGCAGATACAGCGAAAAAGAAAAAGGTACTTTGCATATCTCAATTCTCTCCCAAACTCAGCTGAAATACGTTATACATTTATGGAGAATGTTTTTCTTAGGAGATAGAGGAGAGCCTCTAGACATTATTCTGGAGTCAAAAAAACACCTACTGCTTCATTAATATTCTAACTTTCCCATGAATGTTGCTGCTTTAATTTTTTAAATGAGCATTCAAGAGAAATAATTGATATGCTTCTAGAGCCCATTTCGTAAGAATAATATTTTGTAAAATATTGTCTGCTGTTTGGTTAAGGAGCCTTTGTAAGCTTCTTGCTTTGGGCCGTGACGTAAATATTGGTCAGCTCTCAGTGGAGCCATAATCTTATCTGTCTCTGGTTTTCTCTTAAACTTTGTGCTCACAGATTTGAATTTGCTAAAGTGCTTTTTCCTAGCCTTCTTATTCAATAAGAATTGATTTAAGGAAACTAAAATGAAACATGTTTGCTGCAGAGGTTCAAATTATATCCAATATCAACACTTTTTATGTTGATAGCTATTTTTGCAAAGGAGGCAGCAGAATGAAACTTTAGATAGAGTAAAATTCCAGCCTGGATGTTTTTGGGTGAGACCTGAAGAATCAAGGCGTATGTCTTTAGTGCATGTCACAGGGTGACTAGACGTGTAAAAGGTGACATCATCTAATCCAATCCTGGGAGAAAGCCAAGTGCCCCATGACCCTTTTGTGGTGTTAGTAGATTCTGATTTGGTAGAACTGCTCTGCAGATACTTCAGTAGGATGCGTAGGAGCTGGTGTTCCACTGTTCGTTTGTTGCTGAAAGATCCAGATGTCTAGGTTGGCCATAGAGAGAACTGTGAGAACTAAGTTCTTTAAGTTTTGGTACCGTTCAGATCCTTCCTTAAGAATATCTTATCTACCAGCTAAGGTCCTGGTTTCTGGGAAATTGGATAGATTGAGTTAAACTATAGATGTCCTCAGCGTGGGCTCAGTGTCTGGGCCAATCCCAGATGAAGGTTTCTAGATGGGAGGAGCCATCTGGAAGTCTTTCTGTCTCTCTCGTTCAGTATGTTTTGAGAATTATTTCAAAGTTATGTAATGGAAATCATATAACTGTTTCCTTGAAAAACTGTATTTTTCAAAGGAGAATATTTTTAAAAAGGAATTAAGAAATAAAACAGGTCATTGTGTTGCATCTCCCCAGAAACATGGGAATCTGACAGGCCTTTTCATCGTTGTGGAAGTTCACTGGGAGTTTTCTACCCCATTTTAATCATTAACACATTTTTTATTTGACTAAAAAGATTAGTATGATACTTTAACATCTACTGCTTCAGATTTCATTTACTTCTACAGTACTCCCCCCTTATCCATGAGAGATACCTTCTATGACCCCCAGTAGACGCCTGAAGCCACAGATACTACTGAACCCTATATATACTGTTTTTTCCTATGCATACATACCTATGATAAAGTTTAATTTATAAATTAGGCACAGTAAGAAATTAACAACTAATGATGGAACACAGCAGTTATGACAGTATACCGTGATGAGAGCTATGTGACTGTGGTCTCTGTCTCAGAATGCCTTACCGTATGTAATATTCTTGGCCCGCGGTTGACGGAGGGTGACTGAAACTGCAGAAAGGCACCTTGGTTAAGGGGGAACTCCTGTAGAATCTTGCGTTTGAGGACAGAACCGGTCCTTAAAGCCTAACTCTATGCTTGTGCTCCCCTTACACTCAAGAAATCTTCAATAATCATAATCACGCCTGAGCCTTATTTTGTCATATAGGTCGATAAAAATATAGGCCAAATACTACGATTTTAGTGATCCTCAACTTGAATAGTAGGTTAATTATGTTTATTGTGGTATTAAATGCATTTTTGTAGCCTTTTTTTTTTTTTTTTTTTTGCTGCTTTGTACATAGCTTTGGCCTTTCCAAAGGATGAAAGAAGAAACTTTATTAAGTGAACTTCATGGGTTGTAGCCTAGCAACCCTTTCCTCATTAATGTGTTTTAGGGTTTATCTTTGATTTAAAAGTTGCCAAATGGGAGTAGAAGAGGACTAGAAATAAGCTTGATAGACACCCTAAGTGACCGGTTTGCTTATGGAGCCTCTGGGTCATAAGAGTCAAAGAGATTTTCTAGGATTCATAATAGTTACACGTGGCAAACTCCTCAGAGAAGAGTCTTACTTTAATTGGGGGAAATGTTATTTTCTGTTTTTTTCTTTTTCTTTGTTTACTCTTTCAGTCCATTATCATTTGTGGAGCTTTTGGGATGACCAGTGGCTTTTCTAAGCTTTCTCTGTGTGTTGTGTGTTTCATTACCAAATGTAGAGTACAGTATTTTGCATTCACAAAGTGTAAGGTGCATGTACTGTTAGGCTGTGTCTATGCCAGTTCTCAAATCCCAGGAAGCCATATATTTTTGGAGAGGATGAGGTCCACTCATTTAATTTAATTTTCTTTTGCCAAATTAGCCTGAAAATAGACCAAAAGCAGGCAAGTTCAAGGAGTGTCACAGATTCCTGACATGTATATTATTCGGTTTTAAGTGCATTGAAAGAATTTCCTCATGAAGGTCCTACTGGAATATTGAGATGCCTCTCTTGAAAATGCTGCCAATTGTCATATGGAAAATGAGAGGCAACCTTCTAACAGGTTGCTGTGTTCAACATATGGATAATTTGATGCCTGGAGAAAATACCAGGCCGTGGCTAGACTTGGGCTGGTGTAGAAACCACCCCAGCCTTTGTTCCATAATGCTTTCATTGAAATGCTTGTGTAGACACAGCCTAAGAGAGAATAACGCCTCAAGTGTAATTTTGACTTTCTCTCCCCAATTAGAAGAAGATAGTGTTTTTGATGAATCTGATATTCATGATACACCTACTGGACCCTGCAATAAAGAGTCTCAAACTTTTTTTGCAAGATTGAAAAGGATAGGCGGCAGCAAAATGGTGAAATATCAGCCGGTTGAGATGAATGTTCAGAGAAGTATGAATTTTTTCCTCTTAGTAATTTTATGCAGAAATGTTGTACTCTACCGTTTGTTTGGGGTGAAATCTTAATTTTATTATGTTACTACGCATTTTAATACCGTTGATTTTATATATATGTATGCACAAACAGTATATATATATACACGTTTATATATATACGTGAATTGACAGATGCATCGTTCCCATCATGACCGTCTCAGAGGGCCATTGCCTGAGTTGATTTGTTGTCAGATGTTTGCTTCTGTTCCACACAATTTGAATACAGTTTCCCAGATCTGCCTCAGCCAAAAGCGATCCCCTCTCCTGAGCACAAATGAATTGAGCTGAGGAATTATCCCGAGGCCTGATTTTGGAAATAAGATCTTAAACTGCCATTTTGGGTTCTTTCATCCAAAGTTTTCTGGTTTTTGAAATTAGAATGAACATTACAAACACTTGGCCAGAAAGTCAGCTTTGCCTCCTGGTGGGGCTGGGACTGTGGTTATAATTTATGCCAAGTGTGTGCCCAAGTATGAGGGGGACAAAAAACGGAGAAATCTCCAAGTAAAATAGTACTAGCGTTTTCTGTTTTAATCAGGTGAAATAGAACTGGCTGAATATAGAGAAACGGGTGCATTGCAAGACAGCATTCTACACTGTGTGAGAGAAGAAAGCATTCAGAAAAAAAAGCTACGCTCTTTAAAACAAAAGTCTCTTGATATAGGGAATGCAGACTCCCTCTTGTTCACACTGGACGAGCACCGCAGGAAGTCCTGCATAGACCGGTGTGACACAGATAGGCCTCCCCATGCCGCTTATGTCATGCAAAGACAGCATGGCCACGGGCATCCGAGACAGAACTCGGCTACGAGGCCCGACAGTACCGACGTCCCTGAGAACCCGGCTACGGAAGGTTTTCAAGAGACTCGAAGGCCTGTCATACCAGAAGTCAGATTAAACTGCATGGAGACGTTCGAGGTGAAAGTTGATTCCCCACTAAAGCCTGCTCCTAAAGAGGATTTAGATCTGATAGACCTGTCCTCAGATTCAACCTCTGGGCCTGAAAAACACTCCATGCTCTCAACATCTGACAGCGACTCTCTTGTGTTTGAGCCTCTGCCCCCTCTCCGAATAGTAGAGAGTGACGAAGAAGACGAGGCCATGGAGCAAGGAAATGATGGTGCCTCTGGTAAAAACGCTGCCTCCTCCCCCTCCATCCCCAGCCACCCCTCTGTCCTCAGCCTAAGCACCACGCCCCTTGTGCAAGTAAGTGTGGAGGATTGTTCTAAAGACTTTTCTTCTAAGGACTCAGGAAATAATCAGTCAGCAGGTGACAGGGACTTTGCTCTCATAGCTCTGGAAGACCCCACGGACTCTGAAGAGTTATCGAAGCCAGAGGAGCTGCAAGAGTTTCCCTGTGGCAGCCCGCTCACGCTTAAACAAAAACGAGATCTCCTTCAGAAGTCATTTGCTCTCCCCGAGATGTCACTGGACGATAATCCCGAGCCCAGCATGGAGGAGGAGAAGCCCGGTGGGCTGATGCCAAGTTCAGGGGCAAAAACTGTCCTCCTCAAAGTCCCTGAAGATGCTGAGAATCCAACAGAAGGTGAGAAGCCCAACACCAGTGCTGAATCGGATACGGAACAGAATCCCGAGAGGAAGACTGAGGCGGAGGGAACTGAGGAATCCGAATTTAAGATTCAGATTGTCCCCAGGCAGAGGAAGCAGAGGAAGATTGCCGTCAGTGCCATCCAGAGGGAGTACCTCGACATTTCCTTCAACATTCTAGACAAATTGGGAGAACAGAAAGACCCAGGTAAGCTCGTCTCTCTGCTCTCTCCCGGCCTTACATTCAAGTTTGTGCATCTTAATTGTTAGGGTCTCGGCACTGACTATGCATCAAACCCTCAATCTTATAATGTCAGGGATTGACATTATAGTTGCCTCATAATCACTCGGAATCCTTCCTGCTTACTAGAGCGTGTTGGATTCAGATGTGGTTCTATTGGCTCCAGAAATGTTTCTGTATTTATTGTTTCCAAACTCGACAGTAAATTCTTGACCATCCTTGGCAATAAGAAGCAATAGTTAATTCATATTGATATTCCAAATATTATGTTAGCCTTCCTCAAACAGCAGTAGTCAGCAATTAATGTGAACTCTTTTTGCTTTCCCCTTTTTTTCCTGCTATACTTTAGCGAGCTATGATGTAATCCAAGGGGGGGACAAACATGGAGGACTAAAAAAGCAAAGAGTGCTTGGAATGTTCAAGAACTGACTGTGTAATCATGTAGGGTCTACACCTGATTGTATATTCTCACCAAATGGCAGCAGTCTGGTGCACACTGTGGCTTTCAGGAACCAAAAAAACCCAGTTGCAACCTAGACCCTAATCCATGAGACATGCTGTAGTAACAAGGAAGCTTAAGAAGGTTTCCAGGGAACCTGGGATACCTTTTTATTGTTTGGAGCCAGGAAAACTGCTGCATAGATGGAAGAAAGCAATGACCCAGAAACTATAGACATCTGTAGGGTGGGTATATAAGAAACCATATAAGGTCTATAGGGTGGGCAGATATGATACATAGGTTGTATGTAGGTTGTAAGTATGTGTGAGTGTGTGTGTGTGTTGCCTTTTCTGTTCATTCTTATGTCAGGATGTTCCCCAGGCTACCAGGGAGGAGGTTGGTTTGTATTGACACATTTGTTACCAGAACAAGAAGAAAGGTCTAACAATTATGATAATATGTCTTTAAAATTTTTGCAATATATGTTATACTGTCATAATAATTTTCAATCTGTGTAGTGTCCCGTGTTCCACAGACATACAAAGCTCCTGCCCCTCCTTGCTGGTGTTGGAAGGAGGCCCGTGTGCTCAGAGTGAGACTCAGGCTTCTCCAGACTTCTTGCCTCCATCAGCTGGAGTCAAGAGAGGCCCAGACATCTGCGCTTCCTAATCCTTCCACACACATAGCCTGCCACTGCTAAGTGCCTTGGGTCGACCAGGTCTAATCATGTTGTGCACCTTCTCTCTGTTTGTGTCAGTCCCTGCAAGAAGCCCCAGGATATCCTTCATCTCCTCGCTCGAATTTCCATAAGGCTTTCCACATCTCCTGTTCTGAACCTTTCTCTTACCTTATCCCAACTCCTGAAACCCTTCCTTGGTCAGGAATTCATGGTCCTTCATGAGCAAAATTCCTTATATGCTCTCTCCTCTGACTGTTTCCTGTACCTTCTTGGTCTAATGGAAACCCAGCTGTCCGCTGAGGACATTGCTTTCCTCAAGCCCTTATGTCCTTAGGCTTGGGCGAGGGGGTAGGCATCTTCCTTGCTCATCATTGCCCCTTTCAGACCATTCCCACCTTGTCTCTAAAAAGATCCAGCCCTGAATCTCATATTACTAACCCCTGGCTTTCTCATTTATTGACAGTTTTGACTCCTGGCTCTTTTTACTCTTTCCTAAACTATTCCTGTCTTAATTTTCATTGATTTTAACATTAATGTGGATGACTTTTCTGACACTCTGCTTCTCCGTTTTTGAATTCATCTTCTCCAGAGGCTTTTTTTATCCTCTACCCTAGCTCAGCTACTCCTTCCCATGGTCATAACACAGACCTTGTTATTACCAATAACTGCACCCTTTCCATGTCAATCCCATGGCTCCCCTTCTCTGATTGCCATTTCCTCTCTCTGGACAACTGAACTGATCCTGTCTTTCACTGCTGCACCCCTACCTCATGTCTTCTTTCCTTACTCAAGTCAACCCTCCTGCCTACACCCTCCCTGGCCCTTTTGTTTTTTTCAGGTTTGCTTGGCTAAACACAACCTTCATCAAACCTGCATTTCCATCTACCAGCGCCTGTGCCTATCAGATGAATGTCACCGGAGAAAAACACAAAACAATATTGACTGGTCTCATTTTAAATTCACCACCATGAACCTCAACTGGGTCCTTAAGGCTGCGTGGAAATCATACCACATTTCTCTGGCCCAGTGACATTTCCATTCTCCTAAGTGACTATTTTGTAGCTACTTTTCTTTCCAAACTTTCAATAACTCTTCCTATTTGACATAATTGGAAGAAAGTTCCACAGCCTTCTACACCTCATCTGCCTACCTTCCACTGTCTGCACTCATACACCTGGCCTTCCTGCCTGGTGCTACCGGTGAACTGTCCATGTTCCTGTCTAAAGCCAGCCTTTCCACATGTGGACAAGATTCCATTTCTCTTATCTACTCAAGGATATGTGCCAAGAAATTCTCTTTCTCCTTTCTTAGTTTTTTTCTTTCTAAGCTTGAGCTTAGGCTTTTCTAACTTTTCAAGTTTTTCAAACTTTTCTAAGTTTGAGCATACAAACATAATCTTATTTCTCTCTCTTAAAAAATAAAAGCTCTTGATCCCAGTTCTCCCAATTATTATCCCATTTTGCTCCTTTCCTTTTAGCAAAACTTTTTTAAAAATTTTTTTTAATTAAGATTATGATAGATTACAACCTTGTGAGATTTCAGTTGTACATTATTGTTAGTAATGTTGTGGGTACACCACTTAACCCTTTGTGCCCTCCCCCCACACCCCCTTTTCCCTGGTAACCACCGATCGGTTCTCCATGTCTATGTTAACTTCCACCTATAAGTGGGGTCATATACAGTTTGTCTTTCTCTGTCTGGCTTATTTTGCTTAACATAATACCCTCAAAGTCCATCCATGTTGATGCGAATGGAACAATTTGGTCCTTTCTTATGGCTGAGTAGTATTCCATTGTGTATATATACCATATCTTCTTTATCCAGTCGTCAGTTTCTGGGCATTTAGGTTGGTTCCACATCTTGGCTATTGTAAATAATGCTGCGATGAACATAGGGGTGCATGGGATTCTTGGGATTGCTGATTTCAGGTTCTTAGGATAGATACCCAGTAGTGGGATAGCTGGGTCATAGGGTATTTCTATTTTTAACTTTTTGAGAAATCTCCATACTGTTTTCCATAGTGGCTGCACTAGTTTGCATTCCCACCAACAGTGTATGAGGGTTCCTTTTTCTCCACAACCTCTCCAACATTTGTCACTTTTGGTTTTGGATATTTTTGCCAATCTAACGGGTGTAAGGTGATATCTTAGTGTAGTTTTGATTTGCATTTCCCTGATGATTAGCGATGACGAACATCTTTTCATGTGTCTCTTGGCCATCCGTATATCTTCTTTGGAGAAATGTCTGTTCATGTCCTCTGCCCATTTTTTGATCGGGTTGTTTGTTTTTTTGTTGTTCTTTTAGCAAAACTTTTAAAAGAGTTGTTTATACTAACTCCAATTTTCTCCCATTCTATTCTTTCTAAAAAGAATTCATTTCTATGAAGCTTTCATCCCCAGTAGTTCACCCACATTTCACTTGTCAAGGTCACTGATGACCTCCACTGCTAAATCTAATGGTCAGTTCTTAGGTCTTATCTTCTGACATACCTATAGTATTTGAGACAGCTGATCCTGCCCACTTCCCTTGGCTTCCAGGATACCACACTCTCTCGGTTTTCCCTTATTCAGTGGTCACTCCTTCTCAATCTCTTTTGTTGGTTCCTCCCTATCTCCGTCACGAGGGAGTGCCCTAATGTCTCTGTCTTTGATCCTTTTCTCAGTCCTCTGGTACACTCTGGGTGATCTCATCTAGTTTTATGGTTTTACATGTAATCTGTATGCTGAGACAGCTCTATCAGTTACCTGTTGCTGGAATAATGCTATGTAACAGATAAGTATACATTCTCAGCAGCATACGATAATAAGCAGTTATTTAATTTGAGTGTCTCTTGTTCACTGTGGATTGGCTAATCAGGCTGGGCCGGTGCCCAACCTCCTCCTGAGACCCATGAAGCCTGGGAATATTCTTCTCATGATGATGGAAGAGGCACAAGAGAGCAAGCCCAATCGCACAGGCACTTTTCAAGCCTTTGGTCACTGTCATGCGGGCAAACATTCCATTACCAAAACAAATGGCTCTCCATTTCTTTTGTAGTAAAAGCTCAATCCTTTAAATTCCTAGAATGCCTTACGTGGTTCCAAGTCTCATTAGCTCTCTGACTTCATTTGGCACTGCTCTCTCCACATGTCTCTGCTCAGCCACAGTGGCCTCTTGCCATTTCTTGAACACTCCCCACATAGTCCTACCTTAGGGCCTTTACAGGTTGTTCCGTCAGCCTGAAACTGTCTTTCCCTGATTCCTGCCTGGCTCAGGCAGGCTCTCACTTCTTTTAATTCTTTGGTCAAACATCAGGTTCCCAATGAGGTCTGAACTGCACCCCACCTGTCCACCCCTACCTGGCATCTTGGAATCATTTTCTCTTCTTTATTTCTCTTCTACAAAGAATTACTGTTCTAACCTACAGTAATTTATTTACTTTTAGGCATATTAATTACCATCTGTCTCTCCCCACTAAAATGAAAACTCCCAAAGGCAAGGATTTTTGCCTGGCCTCTTAGCTGATTGTATCCCACGTGCCGAGTAGAGTTCATATATTTGATGAATGAATTGACAGTATGACATTTTCTGCACAGCAGTATAAAAAACTGAAGAGGGATGTTTTAAGCTGAGTACATAGCTCTAATCAAATATTTGTTGTCTTAAACAGGATACAAACAGAAGGCTTCATAAAATGATTTAGGACTGAGCAAAAACTGCCTGGCTCAGAGAATCTTGGTACACTAATGATTATTAATAACTATCTTACAGTAATGACATTTCTTTAAAATTAAAGATACACCAGGAATTTTAAAAAGCATACCAAAACTCTAAAAGTCCCAATTATCTTTCAAAGAATTCTTGAAAATTCGCTTTAAGCCTCCTCATTTTCCATTGTTGGTGGGATTGTTATGGCACAGAAGCAGCATACATAAAATAGAGGCCGATAAGGGGAAGAGAGATAATTACGCATGTTTTTAACTAGTGGTTTGGGGAGAATACCTAAGAGAAAAAGAATAACCTAATCTTTAATATCTAAATGACTGAGGTAATTTAAAATGGGTAGTTATTTTATGCTTTAATAAGAGAGTTCAGGAAACATCGTAACAGTTATACTTTTTTTGTTACAAGAAATTATTAATCTGGCAATCATACCTATTCAGAAAGCCCTGTGAGAATAAAAAATAGATGTTGCAAAATCAATGCTTAAAAACGTTTCTCCAGGGGCCGGCCTCTGGCCGAGTGGTTAGGTTTGCACACTCCGCTTTGGTGGCCCAGGGTTCACTGGTTCATTTCCTGGGCATGGACCCACACACCACTCATCATGCCATGTTGTGGTGGCATCCCACATAGAAGAACTAGAATGACTTACAACTAGGATATACAACTATGTATTGAAGCTTTGAGGAGAAAAGAAAAAAAAAGAGAGGAGGATTGGCAACAGATGTTAGCCCAGGGCCAATCTTCCTCACCAAAAAGCATACCTTAAAAAAACAAAAAAACAAAAAACACTTGTCTCAGGCCAGCACCGATGGCCTGGTAGTCAAAGCTTGGTGTGCTCTGCTTTGGTGGCCCAGGTTCAGTTCCCAAGTACAGAACCACACCACTCGTCTATCAGTGGCCATGCTGTGGCGGCAGCTCACATAAAAAAAGAAGAGGGAGACTGGCAACAGATGTTAGCTCTGGGTGAATCTTCCCCAGCAAAAAAAAAAAAAAAAAAAAACCAAAACCAAAAAACAACTTTTCTCCCAGGTTCTCACCTAGGATCTATTTTACTTTTATTTCTGACAGTTTAACAAGTTTAGTGATCATCCAATAATAGAATAGCATCTGCATACTTAAATAAAGTATGTGTGAATGTATAGTGACTTGCCCTGTGGCAAGAAGAAATAATTGACAATATGGAAGGGATGAGACAGAGAAAATGTATGAAGCTTAAGAACTTGAAGCCATTTAGGTGGGTATCCCCGAATTACAGCATGGTATAATCATGGAAGCCCACAGTGTTAACTCCAGGCTGCTCACTATGTTCAATATATAGTGTTGCTTAAGATGGCAAGGAAGTTTGTAAAGAATTTTAGGGGGTTTGCTGTGATAAACCATTAAACTTTTCAACAACTTTTGAAGGATAATCTTTACCTAGAATAATGTGGGACAGCTTGTTTCCCATTATTGATAGGTTAATGACAATATTATATGCAGAAAATAGTTCATTTTAGATACCTTTGTCAAATAGAAGAAGAAAATGATACACTCTGTTTCTCGCTCAACTAATAAAAAAGAAAATTTGAGTTAATAGTATTTATTCAAAATTAGATACAGTCCCTGCTCTTAAATTCCTTCTGGTTAAGCAAAAAGTTATAGATAAGTAAATAGACAATTACATTAGAGTGTGTTAAGTTTGGGAAAGATTAAGGACAGGGTGCTCTGGGTAAGATATAAGAGGGTCACCTGACCCAGTTTTTTGTTTGTATTTTGTGTTTGTGGGGGGCGGTCGTGGAAGCCTTTGTGGAGGAGGAATTGGCTGCATAAATTGAGATGTAATGATGAGCAGGAAATTGCTAGACAAAAGTGGAGTGGAGGAACGATACAGGTGGAATGAACTGTAAGCATCTTTAGGTAGCAGATGAAAAGAAATTCAGTTCTGGAAAGGTTAAGTGACCTGCTCAAGGATATGCCATGTGAGCATGCCAAGCTTTAGCTCTGTAATTGTGCTACCGTTAATCTCCGAAAGGCATATCCACAGATTATAATCAGGTAGAGTGCAATGTGGAAGCAACTCCCTATGGAACTGTGAAACCGGTGTGTCTGTAATCCCATGAAAGTAATTAGTAGGGCCAGAAAGTATGTAATGATTTGAGTGGGTGTATTAGGCAAGAGGGGAAAAGATATGGAAAAGGTTCTTGAACTTACTTTGAATCAATGTCCTGAGTTTTAAATAATATTCTGTTTGTAGATCCCTCTACTAAAGGCCTTTCAACTTTGGAAATGCCACGGGAATCCTCATCTGCCCCTACATTAGAAGCAGGTGTGCCTGAAACAAGTAGCCATTCCTCAATATCAAGTAAGATTTCCTTTTGTGATCATTTCACCAGTACATTGAGATTTTGGAACATTATCTGCTGTGTTGTTTTAAATTTTCACACTCTTGGTATTGTTTTTTTTTCTCTTTTTAATGTTGTGTTAGCTTCCTAGGTGACATTGTGTTGTATGTTCTCAGAGACCCTGAGGCATAGGCCCACTTTTGTCAACATCTCAAGCATTTGATAAATCAGTATGGTTACTGATTGGCCAAGAATCCTAATTTGTTAAGGAATAATCAGTGAATCTCATAATTCAATCAAATAAGAATTGTATATGACTAGCCCAAACATAAGCATGGGACTCATTCGGGACAAGTGGAAAGCATTGTCTGTGACAGGATTTTACATGGAACAGCTTTGTGTAATTTGAATAACCTCCATTATTGACAAAATTTTATCTAGGTTATCATAAAATAAATCTATCAGAAATATCATGAGCCTAAACTCATGACTGGATCTAGCCCTTGGGGATCAGAAAATAAAAATGAGATGAAATTTTACAGGCTCTATAGGAGCAACTATTTTGAAACTGCCTTCTGTTGTTGGGGTCCTAGATTTGCCCATGAGGAGCTTGAGTTCCACTGGGGTGGAGATGACGGTGTCCACCTGGCTCGGGGGGGTCTATTAAGAGACTTTAGCCTGGGTAATTCTCAGCAGCAATCAGAAATACAAACAGAGGTGCAACTTCTGCAAACCCTTGTCACACAGGCTGTATATTTTGTGTTCCATGTGGACACTGCCTGAAGAGCTAGTTAATTTTCATTTGACCGTCTTTTGAAATGAGGGTGATCCTGAAAACCAGAAAAAGATCTTAACCTAAATGCTGGACTGGTAGTATGGAACAACATCATCGTCTTCATCGTTCATTCATCCATGCATTCATTCATTTTTTATTCAGCAACTGTTTATTAAGTGTCTGTTGGGTGCCAGGCACTGTGCTTAGCACTGGAGATAAAAAAGCAAATAAATAAGACACCCCTTGTTTTCAAGGAGCTTACAGTCATAATAGTATAATAATAGCTACCATTTATTTGACACTTACCACGTGCCAGGCACTGAGCTAAATGGTTTACACACATTATTATCTTATTCAATCCTTACATCAGGACTACATGGCAGATATTACTGACCCCATTTGATAGACTAGGAAAAGGAGGTTCAGGGAGGTTAAATGACTTGCCTAGAGTCATACAGGTACTAAGTGATAGAGCCAGGAATTAATGCTAGGTCTGTTGGATTTTCAAGCTCATGCTCTTTTTTAGTATACTACACTGCCTTAGAATAATTCAAATTCAGTTATAACAGAGACCATCAAAATTCTAAGAAAGTGTTTCCAAGTGACACTTACCTGCCCTTTTGGTAGCAAAGAAGAACGGCTAGTTCTGAATCTGCATGTTCTTCTTTTATCACAAAAGTCTGATAACATGATAAAATGCCCATTTTTAAGTTCACATACTAAAATCATGAAAGCATATTCTCTCCTCTTACTTTGCGTGAGTCATCCAAGAAAATGATAGTGGATTCTAATTAGAAATTAGGTGTAATTTGAGATAGGATGACTAAGTCAGCTTGACTTCAGTGCTAGTTAAATGTACCGTAAAATAAATGTGTCACCTGTGTCATGATCGCATCTAGCCTGCCTGGAGTTAGCATAGTGCATCATCAGCTTCCCGGCTTCCTCCTCCTCTCCATTAAAAGCATGTGTGGGGTGGCTCTTTGTGGCGTGTTCTTGGAGGCAGGATGCCAGCTGCCTTACACACTGAGCTAAACATTGAGGGTTTTTACTCTCAGGGAATTCTGCTGTCTTTACAAACAACTGAGAATTGGAGAAATTATTCATACACTAGAGGTTTTAAATCCTTTGAGCCTACTAATTTCTAAATTTGTTCAATCTTCTAAAAGATATCTGCTTTTGGATTTTACTTGAAACCGCACTTATCAAGTGAGTCATAAAATTGTAAATTTTACCAATCAACAACAAGAATCAGAAACTTTTCACGTTGGTTTGCATAGTCATTTCTGTGAATTCAGTTAACACGGACTCCAAGACACAAGAATTCCCATCACACCCCTCTCTTTTGATCAGTTTATTAGCTGATTACTTTGTAACTAACCATGCCGTGACCGCCATGAATCAAACAGCATGCTGACTACATTAAGAATAATGTTATAACTGATTTCACATCTCACCAAGTTGCTGCCTTGGTATCATGATTGCGAAACCTGTGTATAACATTTAAGGCTTTCCAGGGGCCATCAATCATCCCAGTTTCTACCATTCCTTTCTAGGGCATGTAATTCAGAGCTTCAGTTTCTGAATCGTCCTTATAAGAGAGTGAATAACCACAAGTTCTCAAATATCCAGGTGTTTGGGATCATGTAGAAAAGGCACGTCGGCGACGCTCTGGCTTGTTCGCTGGGCGGATGGCAGGGTTCGTGGGACCGCTCGCAGAGGAAGAGGAGGGTAGGAGGCAGGTTGCCGTCCCACTCAGCAGTCTACTGGCAGAAGTGCTTTTCATTGTTTTTCTGGTTTGGAAACGCTTATAACTTGACATTTCATTGGTGGGATATTTGTCAGTACTTAATTGCAGGATACAAATGTTACCACTATTTTCTAAAGCAAAGATGTATGCTAGAACATACTTGTGGAATGTTATGCAGTTCACATTTTTCAAACAGTAGATGAGGCTTATACAGAGACTGAAAGGAGCACTGATTTTGGAGTCAACATGTTTTGGTTTTACAGCCAGCTCATTTGCTGGTTGGTTCAAGTAACAATTTCATTTGCTTCAATTTCTCTCTCTAAAAATTGGGGTTGATATGTGTCATCCTACTCCAAAATATACACATACATACACACACGCACACACACACACACACGAGGGCCTCATGGGGATATAATGGAGAGTGAAACTATATATGCACAAGTTCCACTAAAGAAAGTTAAGCTATAAATTCAAAGTAGTATTGTCTGTCTTAAATCCTTTTTGGAACAAGGCAGAGTATGCAAATAAAAAAGTAAATGAAAATAATCATATTGTTGTAATTGGAGTAAATATTTACAGGTTACAGATAAGCGCCCATAGGCACTGTTTCTGTCTTTACTGAGGGAAGAAAGGCACCCGGAATAGCATAGTGTCTTAGTTTCTCATTTGGACAGGAGCATACAATTTACCAAACAATTACAAATAGCCAATGAAGGTTCAATTACGATTTTATATGCTGTGTAGAGCCTTTGTGTGCTGTGGAAATTTATTCCCCCTAGTAATCATCTCCTAATTTCCTCCATATAGCTCAGTATAGGCAGATGAAAAGGGGATCTCTGGGAGCTCTGACAATGAGCCAGTTAATGAAGCGACAGCTGGAACACCAGTCTAGCGCCCCCCATAACATCAGCAACTGGGACACTGGTGGGTCAAGCTTTTTTTCTTGCTTTACCTCTCAGATTAGCTAATGCCACTTTCTCTGTGTCCCCTCTGCTCCCTTACTAAGGAATAGATTTTCTCTTGTGTTTTGTGGTTCAAATAACTTTTTTAAAAACCTAAGGTAATAATAAGTCTATTTAAACTTTCCAAGTGTTCTAGAAACACCTGTTTGTCCATCTAGGCTGGTCCAACTCTTTTTTTTCTCTAAGACCCAGATTCCAGATATTAGGTGATCTATCTGGGGGTTAAATGATGTAAATGCATAAAGGAGGGAATGCAACTATGATTTCATGATGCAAATTACAGAACATCTGATTATCAATATTCTCTGTTTTATAAAGTACCAGAATAAGGGAATATTTATAGTAATAATAATAATAACACATGTCCGCCTAGTGACGTCACGATCTGCCGGTAGGTCTGGGAATACGAGCTCTGTGTTCTAGTCAGCAGGGTCACCAGTTGCAGCCGCACACCCTCATGCTCATACGATGGAACTGCATCTAACCTCAATTGTAAAGTAAGAATTGACTGCCATGACATGTCTATTTTAAACATGATCACTCTGCATTCTCTAAACTTTGTTACCACGTTCTGCACATATACTACTTTCTCAAACCAGTAGTACTGCCGCAATCCTGCTCTTTTGAGTGCCTGCCTTTTCTTTTTCTTCTTCTTTTTTAATTAAATGGGTCATTTGAGTTACAAGATTATATATGTGAAAGCACTCTGCAATATGCACGCACTATGAAAATATCAGGGTTTATTACTGTGATATGCTCGGGGCCAGCACTTGGATCGGACTATTTTAGTATCTTGTCTAGTACTTTCTGGCTACAGTTACATGAGATTATTTTAATACCCTTCCTTATGACCGAGAATTCTAATGTCCACAAAACCAAAATCTTGAGATACTGTTATTTTTTCAAAACCATAATATTTACACACATTTCATCTTATTTTCCCCCATTGTTCTTCAAAAAAAGAGAGCTAGTCTAGATAACTAAATCCCATACACCATACCCAATCCTACATTTGACAGATAGCTTCAACTCTCCTGGCCTTTATAAGGGTTCTTAACATTTTAAAGGTTTAGTGTTTTATTTTCCTTTCAGTGATAAGTGGTAGTGAGTAATGAAATGGCCAAAAGCCAGCGGGCAAGGGAGATAAGGACAAAGACATCGGACAACCAGCCTGGAGAGTTCACTGGGTTTGGGTGAAGTGTTTCTGGTGTTCTGGACCAGAGAGGATTTTGTCTCTCTGTACTGAGATGAAGCTATGTGAGGAACTGAGAGTGGGAGCTTTTGTTTGGTTAGTTCTCTGATAATGAAATGCCGCTTTTATTAGGTTGGCCTGGGGGCTCTGAAGATTATTTTACCATGCTACTGTTTTCTTAGCAAGTAGCTCAGCCTAAGCTAACCATTTTAGATTCTGACGACAATTCCAGCCTAGTTTGATTGAATCAGTAGTAATAAAAAGGCAAATAAATCTCAATTTACAATCCAAATTTTACCCTAAAAAAAAAATCTACATGATGCCAAATAACCCATTTAACTGAATTTTCCACTTTTCAGCCAAACTTCAGCCTTGTTCATGTCCCTCTGGTTTCTCGTTTAGTGTTTGCCATTTACATGCTGTCTGAATTTCTCCCACCCGAGTTCTCCCGGGCTTGTCCCCATCCTCCAACTTGGTTCTCTAGTCACCAAGTCCTACTACAGCTTCATCTTCATATTCTTTTTCTTTTTCTTAGTGCCATAAAAAGCTTTCCCCAAATCCAAGACCAGACGACAGTCAATGAATGTGTAATTCAGTGTTAGGTGGCATGTCACTTTACAGCACCTGTGTTGACTCAGTGACTTGCTAGTCTCCAAATAACAAATCTGGTCTTTAGATGCACTGAGATGCACTCAGAAAGGCAGTCGAAAACATGGGTCATGATCAGTTCACCTCAGCATGCACCTGCTTGCTCACAGAATACCTGCCTTTTTTCCTGTCTGTGCACATCCGATGGCTTGCTTCTTTGCCTCATCTTTCATATGAAACAAATGTTTCTGAAGCACCACTCCTCCATGTCTGCCTCTGCCCCACTCCTGTTCCTCAGCCCTCAGGCAAATGCCTGTCATTTCCTTGCTGCCAGTTCCACATGTTTTCTATGTGACCCTTCTGGCCATTGCCCCAAATGATCACTTATGTATTTATTGATTTGCATAAAACATTTCTTTCATGGTTGTGACATTAGCCTTTCATTTTTTTTTCATTTCATATCAAGAGATATGGGATTTGAGCTTTTTTGGGGGGGTGGCTAGAGAATCTGGACGTTTTTTGGATGGTTTTCAAGGCTCTCCTGCTTTCAATTGCATTTCATATACCTGAATGGCAGGTTTGTAGTGAAACCCCAAACAACTCTACCCTAAAATCTAGGATGTTTCCTGTAAATGTTAATAATCAACAAGAACAATGACCCAAAAATGGCCCCAAGAGATTACTGGTTAAATTCTTTGTGTTGTGACTTGTGCTAAATTGACCACATTGAAGACTAAAATGCTCTATTTATCCACAGAACAGATACAGCCCGGGAAACGCCAGTGTAATGTGCCAGTATGCCTCAACCCTGACCTGGAGGGCCAGCCATTGAGGACGAGAGGTTAGTTGAGTAAGAGTACCTCAGACTGTAAGAGCTGAAAGAAACTATGTATGCTAATCATCTAGTCACTCGGCAGCTGCTGAAATCTCTTCTTTAGCTGCTCCAGGAAGTGGATCCAACCTTTGCTCCATCACCTCCAGGGACTGGAATGCACGCCATTTCCTCTTTGAACATGACCGACAGAAAGTTCATCCCTGTAGTGACTTTCTAACCCTTGGGGCCACACAAAACAAGTCTAGTCTCTCTCATAATTTTTCACACCTTTGAAAACAGCTACCCATTGCTTATTCCCTCAGTCTTTTCTAAACCACACATCCCTGGGTCCTTTGGTATTCCTCCTAATACGTATCATTTTTCAATATCATCTTGTATCTACTTCTCTGAGCATGGTCCGGTTTATCTGTGTTCCTTCTAGAATGCTGAGATCATAGAGTAATACATTATTTTCAGCTATCTGAAATTGCACAAAATATACACTTGACTTTATGCTGCTCATAGGACCAAACTCAGAATAAATCTACGCTAAGATCACCAGCCCATGTATTTTCAAAATTCATCTCACGGCTAGTTAATCATTACTTTTGTTCTTTTTTTTTTTAATTCAGGAAGTAGGCTAACCTATCATTTGTGAAAAGCAAAAAAACAAAAAATGAATTATGACAACCACATCTCTTAGCTAGTCCCTTAAATCAAGCAGACCAATTATTCCAGACTATGTCACTCTTCTAATTTTCCTTAGGTATGAGGAGCTATTTGCAGCTTCTGCTAACATTTATTTGGCAATGAGTAACAGTTTTAGCCTCTCTATCCAATGAAAGGAGACTTCTCCTTTATGGGCCTAGGAAAAGTTTTTATGAGACGTTATGGTGGTTGAACAAACTCTGGTGCATATCCATGATCCAGTGACTCAGTTAGTAACAGCAAAAATGGAATGAGGCAATGGAAACAGATACAGAAAGTGAGTCTCTTTCACAGTAAACGGAAGAGTCCGTTGATGTAGCTAGGGGACTGATGTGTGCATACACGCTTTGAGACAAACCAACACCTTTACACTTTCTCCTATCTCTAACATTCCCAAAGGGGCTTTGTCAAAATCTCCAGCTTTGAAGCTGGGCTTAAGAGGAAGTCCCCTCTTTTATTCAAGTTTCGAAGAACTTTCTATTTCTATTCCTAGTTCCAAATAGAGTACACTTTGGGTATTCATTAGGGGAACCAGTAGTGGTGGCATCTAAAGTGTTGCCAACAACTGGAGGATAATGGGGCTGCCTTTAATATTGCAGACTTAGTTGTGACTCAGCTATAACAAAAGGTAGCTGAGGTCTATGGCTTCCTTTTTGTATTTCCCACCTTCTTGCACATTACTCTTTGCTCCCACATCATTAGGAGTATTCAGAAATCCATTGGTTCAGCTAATGTTGCCATATGGGGGCCAACGCCCAATAACTTAACCTATCTGCTTTTATAGATGACTGCCATAAATATTGCATCACACATTCTGTGTTGTCATATAGACAAACAGCTTCACAATGCTGTTGTCAAAAATACCTGTTCCTTGGCATGTGTATTGGGTAATGATTGGCTTGAAACCACCCGAATGACTTTGATTCTCTCCCTTTTCTTGACTTGAATTATGATTTCTATATAATAGTAATAGGCAATAATCTTCTGAAAGCCTTGATTCAGAGTTTTTAAAAAAAAATCAATTTCTCATGTTTCTAATAAGACTATTCATATGTCACTATAAATCTTATGAGCTGAATATTTTCACTTTTAGCACAGACATTTTGGTATCTGGTAGACATAGTCTGTCAACGTTTAAGAAGTGTTCAGTATTGGATTTAAACTTTCTGTGTTTGGTTTCTTGAAGCAACTTCATGCTGTTTACCTTACTGTTTAATAACCAATCATGTCTTTTTTTATCTTGGCCCAATTCTTGCCTTTTCTATTATTAATCAATTTGTATTTATGCTTGTAATAAGTACTTTTGCTTCCATTCATAGCACCATCTTTATGAAAGAATTGGAGATCCTTGTTAATGATACACTTGGATACACTTGGGGAAGAGTGTTATCTCAGAGATAGCTGGTAAATATAGTAGTAAAATTTGGATTCCCATTTGGGATCTTTGGAAGTGACTTAAAGATATTTTCAGATACTTTCCTTTGCCATTGGGTCTGTGGTTCTGCTTCTCATAAACACATTTGGTAGCCTTTGATCAGGCAGGAGAGTCTGTATAGTATGGAAGCATCTTGACTCTTCAAAGGTTTCAATACCATTTTTTTCTCCCTCAGATTGAAACACATTGTCCACTTGGTGAGATTTCTAAAGTTTTTATGTTGATTTCTTTAGAAACCAATTATCTGAATTGTTCTCTTTCTCCTATTTAAGTAAAGATCATGCAGAGTTTGGTTTGTTTTGTGGCACCAGGTTACCAGTTCCTTGATGAGAAACTATTGGGTCTTTCTGCCGTCTTTCCTGTTTGAAGAATTCAGAGCCACTGTTATTATTTTTTAGAAAATGGCATTATTCTGGATTGTCACTTTGGGATTCTTCTTGGAGCGCCTCATTCCCACAGTCCCTGGAGAATCCGGCACTGGTGGCTCTCCAGGTTTACTCACCACTAGAGCATCTTGCCAAAATTCCTGCCTCAGAGCTCTTTGAAGGCATCAATACCTAAAGTTTGAAACTCTGTGATACTAATGGGCTGACGTCACTGGATGGTTCTGTCAAAACGTGATATTTCATTCAACAATATTTCAGTTTGAAAAAAATCAAGTCTTTTGCTTGGGAGCTTATGATATTAATTTCCAAAGTAGGAAACTGTCCTGCTATTTCCTAGCTCAAACTTCTCCCCTTGCTTAGGTGTGTGGAGTTCTGGGATCTTACAGCCTTCCAAAATGAGCAACATTTTAGTGTTGGTCTGCATTTGTGATTTTAGAAACATAGCATCGTATAGGCAGCTTCCATTTATGCTAGCAAATAAGAGTTAATTAAATAACTCATTTAAGGGTACCTTTGAATAGATTTTCTCTTTTTTTCATGTTTATCCTAGTATCCTGTTGGCACACCTGAACTCTTTCTGATTTTTTCAAAGTCAAGAAGCAAAGGGAGAGATGGGGGCTCTTAAAATCATACAAATAGAAACAAATCACAGTCTTTCTTGAATTCATTTTACTCTTGAGGGTTTTTCACAGTGCAATTGGATTGTCCATGTCACATCCCTGTGAATGTGATCTTTGGAGGATGTATAAGAGGAGCATGGGGCTTTTCCTGGCCCCCAGAAACGGATCTTGATTCACCAGTTGTCTCTTTGCTGCTTACCCAGGTGCCACTAAATCCAGCCTGCTGTCGGCACCCAGCATTGTCAGTATGTTTGTGCCAGCACCCGAAGAATTCACAGATGAGCAGCCGACAGTGATGACAGACAAGTAAGCTTGCACGGTTATTTTCTTCCCTGTGTTTACAGATTTTGAGAGTTTGCTCACTGTGGTTGTGAGAAAGTATCAGAGGCGGCATGCTATGCTTTAAGTCATACTTTGTTCTTCAAATGGCTGTAGCCATAAGAGTTGGTATGCATTTGTTATTTTAGCAACGTAGTATTTTATGGGCCGCTTCCATTTATGCCAAGACATTTTTCTTTTTTAATTTGGATGAAAGCAAATAATATCCACTTACTGATAATTCCTAGCAATAACTTCACACAAATAACATCTCTCAACCAGAAGCTCAAATTGTTAGGATGGGACTAAGTTTGAGACTTGATTCTTACTCCCATCCTGCCAATAGAATCTGTTCTCTGAATCTCAAACTGGTTATGTCACCTCCTGGTTTGTCAGTCTTCAATATCCCCAGGTTTCTTATAGGATAAAGTCCCAATGCCTTAGCTTAGTATGAAAGGCCCTTTAGATTGTGAAGGTATGGCCCAACACTCCTGACGCCAGGAACTCTTTCCCCAGCCCCTCACCTCTTCCAGAGCATGCCTGATGTTTTCTCTCCTCTGATTTCATAGGTGCCCTTCTCTCTACTTTCTCTGCCTAGTGAACTCCTATTCATGCTTCAAGACCTAGCTTATGGCAAAGTTTCCCTAATTCCACAAGGCTGAATTAGTCATGCTATTCTCCAAGTTTCCACAGTATTTGATACATCTCTCTATTCTATAACTTATCACATTGCATTTTAATTGTGTAGTTGTTTTTACATACATGTTCTGTAATAGATTCTGAGCTCCTTAGGGACCGGGACCTTTTCTTCTGTATTTTATACGTTAAGCTCCCTATACAGTGTCTGGTACATAAATTCTTGTTCAGCGAGTATGATAAAGAAGAAGACTCGTAGGATTGCAGGTTTGGAGAGATCCCCTTGGGCCAGGGAGGCTTCCTGGTAAAAGTGCCCCAAGTGACAAATTGGGTAGGCTTATGATAAAAGGAGAGAAGGCTGAGGTGGAAGGGGCTGGTGTGAGGATCCGTGCAGCTGGCCACTGCTGATGGTCATTGCTGAAGAAGTGAAGGCGCCTGTCTTGAACAGCTGCCTTGGAATGTCATGTGGGGAGAACCACGTTGCTTGTGGAGGGCTCTTCTTAGCTTCTCCTTTGGTATAATTTCCACATTTTGTGTCCTCCTGCAAGTCTCAATCTTCCTTAGTTGTCTTCCTGGTTGCCTTTGTGTGTACTCCACTTCTATTCTTTTTTAGTTATAGATGTGAATCCTACGTGTATATATATATATTGGTGAGGAAGATTGGCCCTGAGCTAACATCTGTTGCCAATCTTCTTTTTTTTTTTTTTTGCTTGAGGAAGATTGTCCCTGACCTAACATATGTGTCAGTTTTCCTCTATTTTGTACACGGGTCACTGCCACAGTGTGACTTGATGAGTGGTGTATAGGTCTGCACCCGGGATCCAAACTTAACCACTATGCCACCAGGCAGGCCCTGTGAATCCTGTATTTTTTAAAAGTCAGTTTATAGGGAAATATATATATATATATATATATATATATATATTAAATTGAACCTACATTAGATACTACAAAGAGAAATAAGTTGTAAGTTACTTAAGAGCAGGTGTTGTGTTTTACATATTATATTCAGTAGGTGTGGTGAGTTTATGAAACTGATCTAAGTGAGTGGGAGAGAAGAGACTGAGATCCAGACTCCCCAAGCTTTCTAGAGTGTTCTATTGACTTGGCTACCCTGCCTCTCACCCACAAATAGGGCATTTTCTAATACAAAAGCTTAGGAAAGTTTCCATTTGTGTCTGGGCATTTTTCACTTTTAATTTCAACAAATGAAAAAACTATCCAGTTACTGAGATCCCTAGCAATAATTTCACATGCATAAAATCCTTCAACCAGAAGCTTCAGACAGTTAGTCCACTTGGTGCTCACTGTAAAAGGGAGCAACGATTCACGGACGGGCCAGATGCTTGCCAGCTGAAAGAAAGTTGCAGTGAACCCTCCTGATCTCTGCCATATGTGCTGCTTCTGGTCTGTGGGGAGGCTGGCATTGGAGTCTCCTATTTGTTGTTAGAGTGAGACCACTGACCTCCTTTTGGGACTTTTCCAAGACTCACCAGAAATGGCTATATGTACTTTGTTATATGTGGAAACATTGTTGGCTCTCACGGAAAGCATTCCTCTGTTTTCTTTGCAGATGCCACGACTGTGGGGCCGTCCTTGAAGAATACGATGAGGAGACCCTTGGGCTGGCCGTTGTGGTCCTCTCCACATTCATTCACCTAAGCCCAGACTTGGCGGCCCCGCTATTGCTGGATATCATGCAGTCTGTGGGAAGGTGAATGTCGGCTTCTGTTTTGTTTGGTAGGAAGGAGGCTTACTCCATCTATATCTTGAAATAAAAACTACCAGATCAAAAGTGAAACATTCAGTAAACTTAGAAATACTTGATATTTGTAAGATCAACTCAGACTAATTTTAAAAAATGAATGGACCGAACTTTTGATAGAATTCCCCAGCTGTGTAGGGTTAGGAGTCACAGTGTCAGAGTGAAGCTAGAGGAAACTGCACTAAGAAAACTCTATTTTTTCTCTATTACTATACGAACTAATGTCTGTAACCATGCTCAGAACTGTGCATAGGTCATGGTAAACGCTGTGTTATTATTATCTCCCTTTACCTACTTTAAGATGGGTTCTCTAGGCATTTTGTAATCTTGGAGTGGCTCACTTAATTACGCAACTTAGGGCATTGACATGTGACGGGATAAATGGTAGTATAGCAGTGTCATGCTTCTGACTCAGAAAAACGAAGGATGCACACATTCTGGGAACAGGGCCTCCTGCCTAACTGAGGGAAGATGAAACTTAGCTGCTTTGAGAATTTTCAGGTTAAGAACATTCCACTTAGTAGATAGGACAGCAGAAGAAAAGTATTTCATGGATATAAGTAAAGTTCAAATTCAGTAACAAACTGTAGCCCTAGCGTGCACAACTTAGAGGAGAGGACTGAACGGAATCCCACATGAATCTATTGTTTCCAGTGCGCGCTGGCACAGAGCCGGGTGCTTCAGGCTGCGGGCATTAGACCTAGCTCTTGCCCTCAAGTGCTTTGTGGCTTCGTTGTTGAGGAGGACAGTGACGTGTGGAATAACTGATAGCAATACAAGACAGGACATGGTTAAGAGCTGTAATGAGTGGCATGAGTGGTAAGTGCTACAGAGGTTCAGGATGGAAACGATTTCTTAGGGAAAGTCTCTGTGGAGGGGGTAGGGAAAAAACTGAATTCTGCAAATTCCTGGTAGTTGAGGGAAAGAAAGCAAATGAATCTTAATAGAGTTAAAATTTAATCTTTTTTTTCTTTTTAATGAAGAAATGCTGACTTCAAGTTAAAGATAAACAGGAAAGCATTAAAACCCCTTGATCCCAAAAGTATATGACTCCCTTATTCCCCTCCCCCCAATTTTTCGTAGTATCCTTAGGAATGTATATTCTTAGGAATATATAATCAGAGATGGTATAGCTATTCCACCTCTAATACTTAGAAATCGCCAATGTGCAAAGTAAGTGAGGAACACAGGGAGATGGCGAGATTAAAAAAAGATGAATTATTTCATTTAAGCCCTTAATTTTAACCTAATCATAATAATTGTGGAATAAATGCTGTACCAGCTACCAGCAATATTTGTGGAATTGAGAGGTTTTCTTAATGCAAGGTCACAATTCCTACTATTAATACTTTTCAGTTTTAGAATCAATAGGCGCATTGCTCTGTCTGTTACCATCTCCTTGAAGAGCTGATCTAAGTTGTAAGAGATATATAGAGGCGCTTTATTTTGTTTTTGTTTGTTATAACATAAGTGAGAATAAACCATGTGCAAGCATTGCCAACTGTTAGGATGGGAACACAGGAGCTTTGAAGAAAAGCAAAGGAAAAACAGTAGCAGATACATTTTTACATATTTACATATACTTATATTTAAATGTCTACCTCCCCTGGGTAGACTAGCAAGAGACAGGGCATTTAAAGCAAGCCGCCACAATTCTGAGCAACCTAGGCTGAATCACAAAACTACCAAGGAAACAGATTCAGCAGTCACCTGATTCAGGGCTTTCTTGCATGCCTCAATTCCATGAGGCAATGTGAATTTACAAACACTTGGTTTATTTATGCTAGTCCCCCGGGAACTATTTCCAGGGTATACTAAGAGTTATGTAACCTCAGCATAACCCTTTCATTTATCACCCAAGCCTTTCCACATGATTTCGTATTTTGCTCTCTACTTAGATCCCTCTTAAAATGTACCCATGCCTTTTTCTAGGTCCAGCCTTCAAGATCACATTTGCTGCACCCTTAATCACTGTTTATTCGCCGATGCTTTTCTGTCATCGTAGTGTCACTAGCACGAGAGGGCCCATAACCAAAGCACCTGGGAATGGTGTCTGCTGTTGGTGGCTGCCGGACCCTCTATTCCTCTCCACTGCTTTCCTGGCCCGGCTCATTCTGGTGGCCTTGAGTAAATAAATTTGTAGCATTCTCCATATTTGTTTCTTTAATATCTTACTGATCAAGACATGTTTTTCTAAACTCACCAATTTAGTACATTCTCTTTCTTTCCATACATACAGAATATTTCCATGTGTACACACCATATAATTATACTTTTCAAAAATCACGCTATATATTGATTACTTAACCTAATACATTTCTCTTCTCAGTACGTCATTGCAATCCAACAATTAGCTGACGAAAACTCCTATTACTCATTTTACTATCTTATAGAGGCTCTTACAGTTTGTAGTTTGTCTGTGGTGAGGTTTCAGAGGTTGTACACAAAGAGATGCGTTTTGAGTTGAGTTAATCTGGAGATGGACTGGGTCCAGTGCTGCTCTGTCATCTGTCTAACCTAGCTGCAGATGCCATTTTGTAGATTGGCTGGGTGATATTAAACCGACTTAACTGTATGCATCTCTGCGGAAAAACCTGATTTGATGCGGAAAGCAGGGCTCAGGAACTCAGTGAAGTTGAACCCTGGAGACTGACCGCTGAGTGGGCCCTCTGTCCCTGGTCAGGCGAATTGTCAATGGTTTTACAGGTCTCCACGTCTAAAGCAGAGCCGCAATGGGTCCTACCGCAGTACTCATGCATTTCATCATGAAAGCCTGAGATACTCATGTGACTCTGTTTACTTTATCTCCTAGACTGGCGTCCAGCACTACTTTTTCTAATCAAGCAGAAAGGTAAGGTCCTAAAGTGAGCCCAGATCTCACTTTCTTTTTGTCCCCTGTGCATGTTCATTGCGATTCCAAAACACCGGAGTGTGCACTGTGGAAGAACTATTGTGAGGTTCAGCTGCAGCTCCAGAGAGCACAAGTTCACTGTCTGTGCACACCTTCATTCATTCATTCCGCATTCACGCATTCACTCATTTTAGTCAACTAATACTTTTAAGCCCACTCTGTACCAGGCACTGTGCTAGATACTTAGGTTTCAATTGGGGACAAAACTGACATGATTCCTGCCCTCATGGGGCCTACAGTCTACCTGGGAGGGAAACGTGAATAAAATATTTGCACAAGTTTATAAGTGTCAACAGTGCTAAGTGCTGTGAACAAAAAGTACAGTGAGATTTGCGTAACATTCATTTATTCAACAAGTATTTATGGAGTGACCACTATATCTTCTTTGGTGAAGTGTTCAAATCTTTTGCACATTTTTAACTGGGTTGTTGTCTTTTTATTATTGAGTTGCAAGACTTCTTTAGTATATATCCTGAATACCAGTCCTTTATTAAATGTTTTGAGAACATTTTCACTCAGTCTGGGGCTTGCCTATTCCTTTTCTTAATGGTATATTTTGATGAGAAGTTTTTAATTTAGGTGAAGTCTAATGTTTTAAACATTTAAAACAATTCATGCTTATTGTTTTCTGTTGTTTATTTGAGGAACCTTCGCCTATCCTCAGATCAAGAAGATATTCTCCAATGTTTTCTTGTAAAAGTTTTATGGTTTTAGCATTTATATTTAGCATTTATATGATCCATCTCAAATTAATTTTTATGTATGATGTGAGGTAGAGGTTGATATTTTTATCCAACAATCTAAGTAAAGATATTTAGTTATTTCAACATTAAAAAAAATGACTTTCTTTTTCCCCATTGGATCATTTTGGTGTCTGTTAAAATCAAATAACCTTATTAGGGTCGATCTATTTCCAGGCTCTCTATCCTGTTCCATTGATCTATATGTTAATCCTCAAGCTGGCACCACCCTGTCTTGATTACTGTAGCTGTATAGTAAGTCTTGAAGTCAGATATGAATCCTTCAGCTTTGGTCATCTCTTTCAAGAAGTTGATTTAGATATTCTAGATTCTTCACACTTCCACATAAATTTTGGAATACGCTTCTCAATTTTTGGGGAAAAAAGCCTGCCTGGATTGTATTGAAACTATAAATCAATTTGAGAATAACTGACATCATATAAATATTGAGTCTTTCACTTCATAAACATAGTATATATTCTTATTTCATTTGGCCTTTTTGGTTTCTCTCAGCAATGTTTTGTGGTTTTCAGTTTAGAGGTCTTGCACATCTTTTGTTAAATTTATTCCCAAGGATCTTGGTTTTTTAATGCCAATGTAGTGGATTTTCTTCTTCTTCTTCTTTTTTTTTGGTGAGGAAGATTGGCTCAGAGCTAACATCTGTTGCCAATCTTCCTCTTTTTTTTTCCTTGAGGAAGATTGTCCCTGAGCTAACATCTGTGCTAGTCTTCCTCTATTTTGTAGGTGGGACGCTGCCACAGCATGGCTTGATGAACGGTGTGTAGGTGTGCACCTGGGATCTGAACCCATGAACCACAGGCCACTGAAACAGAGCATGTGAACTTAACCACTATGCCACCGGGCCAGCCCCAAATTTTTAAAAATTTCATTTTCCAACGTTTTGCTGCTGGTATATAAATATACAAATGATTTTTTGTATTAACATTGTAATGTAATAAGCTAAGTTATAGTAGTTGCTTCTTAGATTCCTTAGAATCTAAAAGCATTTGTATGTAAAAAATCTGTAAATGGTGACATTTTCACTTCTCCCTTTCTGATTTCTATGCTTTTTAATTTTTATTGCCCATTGCAATGGCTAGGACCTCCAGTACCGTAATAAGGAAGTGAGTGAGCATTCTTGCCTTGTTCCTGCTTTTACAGGAAAAGCATTTAATATCTCACCATTAATACTGTTTGCTATAGGTTTCATAGATGTCCTTTACCAGATTGAGGATTTCCTCTGTTTCTAGTTTGCTGAGAGTTTTTCTCATGAGTGTTTCTATGTTGAATTTTGTGAAATGCATTTTCTTTATCTGTGGAAATAACTGTTTTTTGCCCTTTATTCTTTCATATGTTGAATCCCATTCATCGGCTCTTTACTATTAGGTCATTCTTACATTCCTGGGACAAACCCTATTTGGTCATGGCCCATCATCCTTTTTATCTACAGTTGGATTCATTGTCCATGAGCGCTGACTATTGGTCTTTTTTCTTTTCCTTTCTTTTTTGTTCCTTGTTTTGTCTGTTTGTTTGTAATGACTTTATCTGATTTTAGTTTTAGTGCTATGCTGGCTTCATAAAATAAGTCGGGAGGGGTTCCCTCCTTCCCTAATTTTTGAAAGACTTTGTGTCAGCTTGTATCATTTCTTCCTGAAGAAGATTTTTGACCCACAAGTTTGAACCAGCATTTTGGGGTAGACATGGCATAATCAAATGGTTTAGGTAAGAGGGAGTTTTTACCAGTCCTCCATTTCGGCTCTTTGAGTTCCTCTTCCTTTCTTTCGATGTTTACCTCTAGGAACATCGTTTCTGATACTTTGGTCTAAGGGGCAGGGCGACATAATCATCTCTTGGCTCCCCCTTTCACGTGCAGGAGTGGTACAGAGGGTGAAGGGGCCCGTCCCTTTCACGAGTACCAGCTCAGACGCCCCAAGAAAACTTGCCACATCTCCCAAGAGGAATGAACAACTCACTCCCCGCCTTCCTCCCCAGAACAGCTCTCTCTCTTCGCTAGGGACGCCTTCTGGGAGGATCTTGCTGAGGACCCTCATCCTGGGGTCTAGTCCCGACTCTGCGGTTGTCTGGACTTGTGGCCTTTGCAGGTCACCTTTTCTCTCTGGGCCCGGGAACCCTCATCTGTACCCTGGAATGAGTCAGGGACCACTCTGACATTTCCTGGTTCTCTTGTTGTAAAAGCGTATTGTTAACAGGGATTCTGTGTGACTAGGGTATTTCATCTCACCGATGAAAATGACAGTGAGGCAGTCCACAGAAGCCCTGGTGTTAGACAGGCAAATCAATACCTACGCTCAGGCGGCTGCTCACGAGCCTCGTCTCTTCTCCCCAGCATGATGGTTCCCGGCAACGCCGCGGGGGTGGCCAAGCAGTTCCTGCGCTGCATCTTCCACCAGCTGGCCCCCAACGGCATCTTCCCGCAGCTCTTCCAGAGCTCTATCAAAGGTAGGCCCGCGGGCGCCCCCGGCGCGGCTCGTCGCGGGAACGCGGACGCCCCTAACTCTGCTGTTGACCTTCCAGATGGCACGTTTTTGCGGACCTTGGCCACGTCCCTGATGGACTTCAACGAGCTGAGCTCCATCGCGGCGCTCAGTCAGCTCCTGGAGGTAGGTCTGCGCGCAAGACGCAATAAGCCCCGCCGAAAACGCTGCTGCGGAAGACAGAGTCATTTAACTTAAAAATTAAATTTACAATGTTGTCATTAAAAAGCTTAATTTGAAATGTCAAATTTTAAATAATTTAAATTTTAAAAATTGAAAAAATAAAGATTGCCAATGCCTAGAAAAGTGTCCGTTGGACACTGCTATTTTGTGCGGATTTACTGTTTATTTGAAGCTTGTGGACACCCTCAACAAAGGGCGGACGCCAGCCGTTGAGAACTCACCTCTACAGAACTCTCCAGCCTTCGAAACGTGTGGCGGGTAGAACAGGTGCAGGGTATCGCGAGACTTGGTGTCAAGGCTCCGCTTCACAGCTTATTTTTGTACGGCAAGATTCGGATTCAAGGCCTGCCTATTTGCTGTAGCGCTAGGCTTAGAGTCAATTCTCAGCTCCTCTACTTGTTGGTTGTATCGCGAGATTTGGATTCCTGTCTGCAGTCCTCTGCTTCCTAGCTTCCTCAATTCGCTTGGGAGGTTGGCAGATTGCTGTAGGGACTTTGTAGTCAGTACTCTCAGTTCTTGGCTGGGAACTTTGGAGTTTCCAGCAAGCATCATTCATTGTGTCTTCTTAGCACCTAACCACACCAGTTGTACATCCTTAAAAGGTTTTTTTCTTGCTCATATTTCATCTTCTCTCCCTGAGTCAGATCACAATTCCCCCCCCTCCCCAAGTTTGTCTGAATTTGTCAATTTTTTTCTTATCCCCCCTGCTGATTATACTGATTACCCTATATAGTGGGCGCACAACACACGTTTATGGCATGAAGGTGTGATTTTGAAAGCCGGTCTTCATCAAAGAGCTATATGAATCCCCACGCCGCTTCCGCAGTTGATTGCCTATGCTTTTGTGTTTTTAGGGTCTAAATAACAAAAAGAATTTACCAGCAGGGGGTGCTATGATACGCTGTTTGGAAAACATTGCTACTTTCATGGAAGCTCTGCCCATGGATTCTCCTAGTAGCCTCTGGACCACAATCAGCAACCAGTTTCAGACATTTTTTGCCAAGCTGCCTTGTGTTTTGCCTCTGAAGGTAAGCAGCGCCCACGATTTCATTTTAAGTTACTTTCTTACCGTTGTGTGGACCATCTGCTTACAGAGAAGCAGCGTCTTGGTTGATTTAATGTTTCATACAGGACTGTAAGGAATCCGTTGGCCATGGAGTGAAGCGTATTATTTAGGTGGTTCTCTCCAAATGTTACAGAATGACAGCAATATGAAGTGGGCATTTAGACTTAGTGATTTCATGTTTCCTGTTGATTAAAAAAAAAGATTGGGAAGACGTTAGTAGATTGTGTTTATCTAGAAATTTTTCTCAAGTGGCTATTAAATAAATACAGAAGTAAATAAACAGTTTTGTCTAAAAGGAGACCAGATATATAATGTATAATGTAAAACTTCAATTTTAGAGGATTATCTAAAGGGAGGTGATTGCCTGTGTGTTCTTGAATAAAGTACTTGCAAGACCAAGATGGTGTTTCTTTTTTTTTTTAAAGGTTGGCACCTGAGCTAACCTCTGTTGCCAATCTTTTTTTTTTTTCTTCTTCTCACCAGAACTCCCTAGTACATAGTTGTATATTCTAGTTGTAGGTCCTTCTAGTTCTGCTGTGTGGGATGCTGCCTCAGCGTGGCCTTGATGAGCATTGCCATGTCCGTGCCCAGGATCCGAACCTGTGAAACCCTGGGCCGCCAAAGCGGAGTATGTGAAGTTAACCACTCGGCCACTTGGCCGGCCCCCAAGATGATATTTCTATTTGACTGCTTTACCTTCTCTTATCCCCCGTACCATCCTCCAAGAATACACACAGTTACCTAGCTGGAAATCTGGTAGCCTAAGGAACATTTTCAACATGAGCCCATTAAACGCAAAAAACAGAATCCTGTACTGTTAAAACTGGAAGAGACCTATAAAAACCATGCTTTCCAATGCCCACGTTCTCCAGATGGGGGACTGCAAATTCAGAGAGGTGGTGGCCGTGTGAGGGTTAGAACGCAAATCTCCTGACTCCCAGTCCAGGGTCCTTCCCACTAACAGACTCCTAGAGTCCTTCTAAAGCAGAGTTGCATGGAAGACATTCAGGTCTCTATTGCAGGGAGAAAGGAGGTGGCTGGTGGTGGCCATTGTTATGTCTTTGAACCTTATTTGCTCCACAACTTTTTGTGCTTTATGCAGATTATAGATAGAAATATTCAACTCGCAAAAAAGTGAATCATTTGTTGATCTGAGAAGTGAAGTTACATGTTAGCAGCACCACTTCTCAAATGAGCATTACATGTATGTAAAGTGTTTTATAAAGACCAGCCACCTCTGATAATACCTTTTTCCAAATTGGCGTATTTGGAAAATATGACCCCCAAATAGGATCTGTGCTGATGCTAATTCAGGGACCTTAGCTTGGTGTCTGCTGCTTCCTTTGAGTTTAAAGTTACTGTGAGAAGCAGGAATGCTGAGATCTTTACCATCTCTCATGTCGTATGATCCTTTTCTACCCACAAATCTGAAGTAGCTGAATAAATCCAAGCAAAGAGGATAAGCACTTTGAAACCATGTGTGTATTTGCTTCTAGTACACGCACACGTAGGAAATCAAGTGCACGCATTTAACATGGCCGCATGGAACCTCCCTCGGACAAGAGAGCCATTTAGGGCCATTCATTGCTTAAGAGCCGTATACTCTAAGAGAAGGAGTGGGGCAAGCGTTGCAAATTCAAATACCTGTAGGCTGATACTGTAGTCAATATACTTAACTTGAACACTGACCAGTTGGAAGTATTGCCAGCTATAAACAACTGGTAAGCCAATTTTTGACAATCAGCCCTGCCTATAGGGACCCTGATTGCAAAGTTAATGAGTGGAATGGAGTGAGATAAGATTATAAGGAGAATTGAGACCCCTGAGAACTGGAAAGCACCAGTCCCTTCTAATGGGGTCAGCTGCTACTCCACTCTAGCCAATTGTGATGTGGGAATGCAAGCCTTGTGTTGTTGATCTTCCCAGGTTTTTCAAGATGATATTTCCTGATTTTTAAAACACTATGGGGACCTGATGAGCAGCCAGTTTTCAGCCCCTGGTTTAAAGTAATGTAAATGCCACATAGACTCTGATGGATATTGAGCAGATTAAATAGACCAATGGTTCCCTTAGAAGATGCTTGTGAAATACTTTAAGAATTTGTATAAAAACCTGCCCTGTTAGATCAGATCTGGGCACTGCCTCTGATCACCTTCTGCTTTGTTTTTAATCTCTGGGACAAATATTAAACCATTCGAAAACCTGCAGTTTATTCTTATCAGTTAAGAGAAGTGGATCTCAAACTTCAGTATGTATCAGTGTCCCTGAAGGACTTGCTAAAAAACAGATTCCTGGGCCTTATTCAGAGAGTCTGTGATTTAGTAGGGGTGCAGCCTGAGGGTTTGCTTTCTAACAAGTTTCCAGGTAATAGAGGTGCTGCTGGTCCAGGGGTTATACTTGGGGAAACACTGGCTTAGTTTGTACTGTCTTAAAGAGGTTAATATTATACACAGCTGCAGAAACTCAACTCTGGCCTGCTGTTGTGATATATTTACAATGTTAAGTAATACCGTTGTTTATTCTTGCTGTATCGCATTCCCCCAATCCCAGTACACTCGATTTAAAAAGTACATTTTGATGTGGAGTCTTGCCAAAATACAACTCTAATAGATTTATGAGGCATGATTTTCTCTTGTAGAAATTTTTCTGCTTTTTCCCAGGTTTTTGTCATGTTTTTTAGGAGCAGAGAAAAGGCAGATAAAACTGGTTCTTATTTGGACTAATAAGCCTAATGGTTTTAAATCGATCTAAATAGTTCTTTTTTCAACATGACCTTTCACAAATTAACGTACTTCTTTAGAGTTGGACACATTTAATATCTCCCTATCAACCTATCTGTCAGTCTATCCATCCGTCCATCCATCCATCCATCCGGTTCTTTATCCAGCTCTCTATCTGATTTAATTTTAGGAATATATCTCTGCAAAGTAATTTAGGAGCTATGTTTAATTATTTAATTGTTTAACATTGTTTAAATAATGGTTTAATTAAAATTTTTAAACCCGAGAATGATTTTTTTCAACGTGAACATATGGCATGGAAAATTGTAAGGAGGCAGCTATGTTTGAGATTTTTTTTTCCTAAAATAAATGCTGATAGGAAGTATATGAAGCAAAAGTATATTAAGAAGGATACTGACTTTTACTTTTTTCCTATTTGTTCACAGTGTTCTTTGGATTCCAGTTTGAGAATAATGATTTGCCTCTTGAAGATACCCTCCACCAATGCCACAAGGGTATGTATGTTTCAGAAATATATAACCAATTGGTTATTCAGGGTTTTTTTACCCTAAAAGACAGGCATGTAGCAATACTGAAGAAATAGTTATTGCATACTGAGGGCTTCACTGTCAGCCTCTTTGAAAGTGTCTAGTATGAAGAGACATCACAATATCGTTTTTTATAATGGTCCGCTTAGGTCAAGGCCATGTCCACCAGTCCATCCTCCATGCAACAAACTAGGTGATCCTTCTAAACACAGATCTCATGGTGTTGATTCCTTGCTTAAAAATCTTTGATAACTTCTCATTTTTTTAGGATAATGTCCAAATTCCTTACCGTGGCATACAAGAAGGTACCTCATTCACTTGCCAACCTACCTTTCCAATTTAGTCTTTGGCTACTTGTCTTAGCCCCCATGACTCCTCAGTACTTTCAGAATCATCATCATCATCAGAACAACAACTACTGTTTATTGAGCACTTCTCATATGGCAGGCATTGTGCCAGCTGCTTTCCATTTATAATCTTCTTTCATTTCCTACTTCCTTGCCTTTGCTTAGGCCATTTCCCTTCCCTGAAATTTTTATACCCTTGTCGGTGAGGTGAACTCCTTCTCATTCTTCAAGATGAGAATTTGAATTCCATTCAAATAAAAAAAAATTTATATTGCCAGTAGCAGCTCCTCCTACATCAGATCCACAACACCGGGGAAAGCTCTCTGCATTCGCAGCTGCGTTCATTGACGGCTCCCCAGTGAGACGACGAGCTTCGTGAAGTCCAGCAGCCTGTCTCATTTGGCTTTCTATTCCTGGCTCCATTTCTGGCTGCATTATATGCAATGGTGCAATTGTTTGTATTGCAATGGCTTGTAACTACTAGTTAATATACCAAGAAGGCACATCCTCTGTAACCTTTTCCTTGACTGTGCTTTCATAGACTCATGTTTATGCTGGAAGGTTGCAAAGATATCGTTTGGTCTAATCTGCTTATTTACAGACAAGGAAACGTGCTTAGAGAGATGAAGTGTCTTGGTCAAGGTCACACAGCTGATTAGTGGAAGATCTGAGACTTGAACCTAGGTCCTTTGATTCCAAGCTCCTTGATTTTTCTGTTGTACCATATTCCCCTGTCACCATGCTGCTTTGCTACATATAAGAGCAAGTTTCTATATAAGTTTGAATTCAAGTTTCTCTTTTTGACCAATAAGGATGCATTAGATATCAACCACAGACATATTCCTGTCCTCATTCATCCAACATCAGTGTTTCAAGGTAGCAACATTTATACAGAGCAGAGAATACTGAGTCAAGAGTACTGTTTCAGAGTTTCTTTAAGATTTTCTATATGGAAAGGACCATATGGGTTTTGTGGGGAATACAAACAAGTAAAAGACATAATTCCTATCCTCAGGGACAACTAACATGTAATGAATTCATTTTCGTATCAATAAGGAAAAAGGATCTCAAAAGTATTCATATCCTTTGATTTAGTCATTCTTTTTCTGGGAATTTATTCTAAGGAAAAAACGAAAATGCAAATTTCATGCAAAAACTTATTTAGTGGGATGTTATTTATAATAAAATGTGACTTTTGTGGCTGTTAAAATGGATGATTGTGAATAAAGATTAAATAACATTGGAAATTTCTTATGTTATATTAGCAAAATGAAATTAGCAAAATATAGGATTGTATGTGTGTAAGGTTTCAGCTAAGTAAACTGCTGTGCAGTGAAGAAGGGAAATATATCTAAATGTTATCTCTCGGTGGTGGGGTTATGGATGACTTTTGTTTCCTCATCTGTGCTTTCCTGCAGATCCTGCATTTGCACATTGAGCATGTATTACTTTAATAATCCAGACAGTTAGGATTTTAGAGATTGAGAAGTAGTGGAAATCATGGCATGGAAGTCTTTTAGAGCCCAATTAAAATCCTGTCTTCCCTACAGAGCAGTTCTGCCTCTGGAAAATTGCCCTGGACTTTGGGTTTGAATTCCTTTCAATAGCTGTATGCCTCAGGCAAGTTACTTGCCTACTTAACTGCCTCAGCTGCAGAATAGGGGTACCAAAGCTTCAGAGAGTTAGGATGCAGATCATAGCAACGGTGATGGAGGGCTTACTGTTGCCAAGTGCTTTATATACATTATCTCCTTTAATTCTCACAACACTGATGAGGTAGAGGCTATTACCATCCTCATTTTACAAAGAAGAGAACTAAGTCCAGAGAGGTTAAATCACTTATTCAAGGTCACAGAGAGCGAGATTCTATAGCTTCTGTCATTAACTATTATAGCATACTGTCTCCCCAGGATTGTTATAAGAAATTTGAATGAGATAAACTATATAAAAGCATCTAACTCTCCCTGATATTTAGTAGGTGCTCAATAAATGTTTCTAAATGACTTAAGAAAGAGTATGGATCTAAAACTGACCCTTTATGGGTGGGATTCAGATGGGGAACCCAAAACTGACAATGCCTTCCTGATTAGCATTGGCAGAAAGCTGGGTCATGGTGAGTTTTGTCTAAGCTAGTAGTGCTTTCGTACTTGCATGCAAAGGTGGTTTGTGCTACTTAACTGAGGTGGCAGGCTTCTAGAGGAGCTGGATCTGATGAACCCATAGACGCCTAAAGATTCTGAGAAATAGAGTGGAAGATTCTAATGCAAACCTCGCAAAGTCTTGACTGCTGGAAGTGGACATGAGGATAGGATTGGAGTTAAGTAGGTTTATAAATGATGCCACCTGGAAAAATAGATTTTTTTTTAGCAATAAAATGATTAAATCATGCTCCTTGAGCCATTGCTTGAAGGTGCAGTTCTGTTCTTGTTAGATCACTTGGTTTTAATTGGTCCCGATCTCATTGCAGAGTTTGTTGGAACCATTTTCAAAACTGCTCAGCTTTGTAATTCAGAATGCTGTCTTCACTTTGGCCTACCTGGTGGAGGTGTGTGGCTTATGTTACCGGGCTTTCACTAAGGTAAGTTTGCATATGTGTGTGTTCCTGAGAAACTGCAAACTGGCAGAAATATGTTCTTTCTAATCAGTGTCAAATCTGTGTTAGGTTAATTGCTTCACTGTAGTTAAAAATGAGTAATTATACTGAGGTCTAATAAATATCATTGGAAGGAAACACTTTACACACACACACACATAAACACTATATCTTAAATGTGCAAGTTTTGAGAATTGAGGGTCACATGGTTTAGAAGAGAAGAGGTGTTTTGAATGAAATGGGATAATGTTCTAAATGACCACTTAAAGTCATTTTCAAGTTCACCGTCCCATGATTAGTGGGGAAGCCATCACTGCATACCATTTTTATACCCAAAGTAGGAAAATATCAGCTTGTCATCTGTAAAAGCCCATGGAGAGCTCTTGAGTTCTATCACTTGTCTCCTCAGTTCTGGGCTCTTGGCCTCTGAGATTGTAATCTCATCTTTTGTCATCTTGCCTCAATAATGGTTTCTCTATTGCGTTGTCTTTAGTGTCCCCTGTCCTACTACTGAGGAAGTGGAAAAGTACTGCTTGCTCAATGCATGTGGCAGCCTTGTTGGAGCTGGTAGACAGGTCCAGTGGAAAGGCAGAAGGCAGGGCGAACTGGGAGCATTTCTGTCCTTAAGAACAATGTGCAAATGTTACTCTTCCAATTTCCAAATTTTCCAAGATCATTTTCAATGGGGTCTCTGTTTCTGTTGTTCTCTCTTGAACGTTCAGATACTCCGTTATTCGTGTTGTCCACTTCTATAAGCCCTTTATTTTCATCATAAAAGTCTAATTTTATATCAAGGCTTTCATTCTATTTAAAACACTCTTGTCTCCTTTCTTGCCATCTTGTGTCCATTCTGCCATGTTAAGTGTTCCATGATAATCTTCTCTTTAGTCTTTCTGATTATAAGCTGTTTATTACTCTGCCTGGAACAATATGTTTTCTAACTTCCAAAATAATCAGCACTTTTTTCTTCTTTCAAATCCTTCCTGAAAAATAACTTATTCCCTTTTTTCACTTAAAAAAATAGATGTGTAAGACACAGCACCAAATACTATGAAGAGATGTTCTATTTTTAGAAGTCATTTACTTTTAAATTTTCTTTATGTTTGATTTATTTAAATTATGCATTTTTATAGAGGAAAAACCATGATGAGTTTGTACTTTCTATGTTATACATTATAGGTATTAATTACAGGGGAACTTCCACTATTTTGAATTCAAGATAGTCTTGGTTTTGAATACTTATTATACATTATATCCCCTCATAATCTATCATAAATTTAGTGGCCTTCTACTTCCTCTGTCATCTACCCTTCCTCATTTCTTCAACTCGAAATGGCTATTACTTGTAGAAAGCTTCAATCTAGGGTTTTCCCACCTTCTTCATAGATAATGAGAAACTATAAGAAATAAGAAATAGCAGTATCTAATTGAGCCTTCTCCCTTATTTAATCAAAAGAAAAGGCATGGTAAGGTAAGGGCCCTGGAGACTTCTCTTTCTGGCAATCTGGCAGTCTAGATAACCTGAAAACTGTCCCGCTTATAACCCGAAAAGTGCTGGATGAAAAGTAATAAACATGATTTTAAATGTATAGCTAATTTTGTAAGAATGAAGGGGGCAAAAATGCAGAGGGAATTGAGAACCAGAGTGGTAAGCATATAAGCTGACTTTGTCACAGTATTGGGGTGGGGGAGTTGCTTGTCTCAGTAACTTGGTGGCTTGAGTTTTAAAGCCCACACAGAGAAAAGAGCTGGGGTCTTGGGACTATTTCAGGCTGGGAGTTGGAGCTAAGTCATCTCCAGCAGAAAGTCAGAACCTTTGAAAGGCTCTGACTTGGTAAAAGGGTGATTTGGAAAGAATATATTCTTATGTGGAGGCAACTGGGATCTGTTTGAGCTTGGGAGCTGAGAGAAAGATTTCTGTGTCCCTTGAGAAGTAGTAACATGAGCCTATCTTTGGACATGTTTAGAGTTTTAATTTATAACAGCTGCATGCTCTGTGAACCCCCTAACTGGAAAGTCAAGTAACATTGGTGCTGAGCAAATAATAGCATTGGAGTGTCTGGTAGAAGCAAGCTCAGAATCAATCCTCAAACCTCTCTGGAGGGATATGCCTTCAACCTAGGCCCAACATGATTTCCATAATTAAAATCCTGGTGAACATGAGCTCACAATCTAAAATTACAAAACGTGAAGAAATAATCCACCATGAGCTAGATTAGCAGAATCAACAAACATCAAGATTATTCCCCCTAAGAACAACCAATATTAAAACTGTGATCAAGACTATAAAAACTCATTTTAAGTGGTAAGCATATAAAAGATGAATTAAAAACATGAGAAGAGATCTAGTCACTTTAAAAAAAAACACATAAATTTGAACAAAGTAGAAATTGTAGAAATGAAATAATCACTGACATTAAAAACTCAATTAAGCAGCAAATTAGACATAGCCAAAGAGGGAATTAGCAAAATGGAAAATAGACCTGAAGAAATTATATAGCATGCAGCAAAGAGAGATAAAGAGATGAAGAATAGAAAGAGAAGATCTAGCATATCTAATAAGTGTCCCAGGGAAAATAGGGTTTTTATCAATTCTAGAATTGATAAAAATCGTTAATGCTCTGATTCAGGAAGCACAATGAGCCCTAAAAGTACTGCAAATAAACTGAAGTTTTGTCTGTTCATATCAATCTACATGAGTAGGTACAACTTGACACAACAGCCAAGAAAAATAAAGGATTTTAAGAGCAACCAAGAGAAAAGACACCCTACAGATAGACTGACAACAAACTTCTCAACAGCACCATGAAAGCCAGAAGATAATGGAAGAAATGTCTTTAAAATTAGGAGAAAAAATAACTGTCCACCTGGGATTCTCCACCAGCTAAGCTATCATTTAAGAGTGAAGGCTAAATAAATAAACTATTTGGCAAATAAAAAATTTCCTAATAGATTCTTAACTGAAAAAAATACTAAAAGATATATTGCAAAAAGAACAAGACTGAACCAGAAGGTAGGAGTGAAATGTTTGAAGGAATTATGCCCAAAGAAATTGGTAAAGTGTAGAACTCTAAGTGATCATTGACAGTGTAAAGCAGTAATAATAATGACTAATCAGATGGATATACAGACAAGATGACACTAAAATACTTGGTAACAATAACCTATAAGATGGAAGGGGTGTATGTAGTTGGTGATTGGAGTTAAAGCATTTATATATTGTTCACAAGAAGGGCAGAGATAAAGAGTTAACTTTAAACTCTGAAGAATACATGAAAATATTTTCAGTGTAAACAGTCCAAAGGCCAGAAAGGCAACATATAAGGTCTAAGCAGATACAAATAAAAACAGGAATAAAAAGTCAATCAAGACAAAGAGAATCATAGAACAAGCTGGAATAAGCACAAGTAAGATGATAGAAGTGAATTCCAAATATTCCAGTAATCACAATAAATATAAGTATATTAGACTCACTAGAGACTTTCAGATTTGATTTAAAAAATCCAGCTACGTGTTATTTATGAGGCACACCTAAAACACATCTAAAGATACTGAGAAAATCTGAAAGAAAAAGGGTGAAAAATATATCAGGCAAATGCTAGTTAAAAGAAAGCTGAATCCCATAAATGGAGTTTAGGTTGAAAAGTATTGTTATAAAGAAGGTCACCATATATTGATAAAAGGAACAATTGACTAGGAAAATGTGACAATTCTAAAACTATATGTAGCTGATAATATAGCCTCAATCTATATAAACAAAATTGAATAGGATTACAAAGAGAAACTGACAAATTCACAGTCATAGTGGGATATTTTAATGCATCTCTTTCAGTAACTGATAGATTGAGCAGATAAAAAATGAATAAGACTATCCTAGATTTGAACAATATAATGAGCAAATTGAAGCCAGTGGACATATAAAGAATCTTGAATCCACCAATTTGAGAATATATTTGAGAAAAACATATATGGAACATTTATAAACATAGAACAGATACTAGGCCACAAATAAAGTCTTAACACATGCTGGGAAATCAGTTTCAAAGAGACCAAGTTCTCTAATCACAATGCAGTTAAATTATAAATCAGTAACAAAACCATAACAGCATGCAGGTGTTCAAGGGTGGCCTAAAAAAGGGCTCTACGTCTAAGAGGATACCACTCAGATCTTAGACACATTAAATTTTATGTGAGCATTGAGGCAAGAGGGGAGATTTGGAGCCCCATGGGTAAGTCCTAGAGCAGCTGGGATGGGCGCCCCCTACATAAAGCTGCACCAGCTCACGGGGCTCTGCATATGCGGAGAACAGTGTACATACACACAGTGCTGGTACACACATGTGTACATGGCTATGCCTTGTTCCAGCTACTCCCCAGGAACGTTTGAGATTCTTCTCTTGACTACCCCCTGTTCTCAGATGTCTTAATTCTGACCTCTGCTAGATTCTGACCCTGACACAGTCACTTTATCCCCAGGAGCAAGGTGTGTGTAGAGTGTGTACCTGTGTGGCATGGAGGGTGTGTATGAGTGGCTGAGGGTGCATATGCACACATGCAGCCAGGGCTGTTGACTGCAGGGCTCTGAAAACTCATAGAGTTTTTCAGGTTTACAATCATATGTTAAGATATATGTGTGTTTGTATTGTGTGTGTGTTCTTTTTCTAAGTCATGCAAAGGTACTGTGTGGGTTAATGGTGTACTTGCCATATTTGAAAATTGAAATATGCTTTTAAATAATTCATAGATCAAACGAGCTATTAGAGAATTTAGAAAAATGTTTAGAACAAAACAATTACAAAAATACTGCATTCCAAAATTTGAGATATGTAGCCACAGAGATATTGAGAAGAAAATTTATAGTCTTAAATTCTTCTGTTGGAAAAGAAGAAAAGCTAAATGAACTAAACAAGATGACTTAGGTTAAAATAAGAATAGAGTAGGGCCAGCTCTGTGGCCTAGTGGTTAAGGTCAGTGCACTCCACTTTGGCAGCCCAAGTTTGGTTCTCGGGCACAGACCTACACCACTCATCAGCGGCCATGCTGTGGTGGCAGCCCCCAAACAAAATAGAGGAAGATGGGCACAGATGTTAGCTCGAGGCCAATCTTCCTCAGCACACAAAAAAAGAATAACAGAGTAACCATACGAAAATTTAAAGGAAGGAAATAATAAAGATGAGAGCAGAAATTAATGAAATAGAAAACATAGATACAACAGATGATCAATACAAGCAAAAAGGGAGCTCTTTGATTAGACTAATAAAATTGCCAAAACTTCGGCAAGACTGATCAGGAGAAGCAGGGAAAAGGCAGAGATAAACAATACCAGCAATGAAAAAGGAAACATAATTATAGTATATTAGGATTTAAAAATGAACAACTTTATGCCAGTAAATTTGAAATCTTGGACAATAGGGACAATTTTCTAGAAAAATGTACAATCAGAAAAAAGATGACTAGACTTAAGTGATTAAAAAATGGAGTCAGTTAAAAAACATTCCAGTTTTGTTTTTTGTGTATGTGTGAGGAAGATTGGCCCTGAGCTAACATCTGCCACCAAGCCTCCTCTTTTTGCTTGAGGAAGATTCTTCCTGAGCTAATATCTGCGGCAATCTTCCTTAATTTTGTATGTGGGATGCCACCACAGCATGGCCTGATGAGCAGTGTGTAGGTCTGCACCCGGGCTCCAAACCTGCAAATCCCAGGCTGCTGAAGCAGAGCGCACAAACTTAACCATTATGCCACCGGGCAGGCCTCCTATTCCAGTTTGAAAGATAACTTCCATTAGACGTTTAAGGAACAGGTTGAACTCTACTTTATGCAAACTAATACAGGGAATAGAAAAAAAGGGAACACTTCCCAACATACTTTGTGAGGCCCACAGAATCTTGATATCAACAGACAAGGGTGATGGGGAAAAGGAAAATTATAGGCCAGTTATGCTTCAAAGATGCAAAAATTCTGAATGAATAATGGTAAATTAATGCATTAAAAATAAAGCCTCATGACCGAGTGAAGATTTTCTTGAAATATAAGAGTGGTTTAAATATTAGGACATCTATTTATGTCACCATGTTACCAGATTAAAGGAGAAAAAAAACTTTTATCGTTATCTCAGCAGATGGAAAAGAAGCATAGTGTATAATTCAACATCCATTTATGATAAATCTTGCCAAACTATGAATAGAAAGGAACTTCCTTAACTTGATAAAGGGTGTCCAGAAACCTCTAGGAAACATTACCTTAATGGTGAAATGCCAACAGTAATCCCTGTAAAATTATAAATACGACAAAAATGGCCATTATCCCTGCTTCTGTTCATTATGGTCCTGGAAGTCCTACTCAGTTCCGTAAGTTAGGAAGAAGAAATCAAAAGTACGAGGATTGGAAAGAAAAAGTAAAACTCTCACTTTTCATAGATGATGTGACTGCAGGTGAACTGAAGAGAATCTATCAATAGACACCTTTTTGTAACTTTTATAAAAGCAAGGATGCTGGATACAAATGAATAGCCAGAAATCATCTACCTTTAATATTTAGCTACAAATGATCATAAAATATATTTTAAAATGTCATTTATTGCGGCAAAAAGAAATAAATCTAAGAAAAATGTGTGAGAACTTTATGGAGATAACCAGAAAATTTTATTAAACAACATTAAATAAGTGGAGACAGATCTCATATCCATGGATGAGGACCCAGCATAATAAAGACAGCTAATTCTCACAAAACAACCTATAAATTTAGTATAATTCCAATAAAAACCCTAGAATTTCTCTCCTGATTGTGATGGACTAGAAAATTTGAACCTATCCTACCACTTAAGTTAAAAAAAGAAAATGAACAAAGTGTTCTCTGAAAACTTCTGAAAAGCATCAAAATGCTAACCAGATAGAGAAGAATTACCAGCTAAGGTCTGAGAGAGCACAGAACTGCGTGGGAGAGCCTAGCACTGAAGGCCGTTTTTGCCCTGGGGGCGCTTGCCTATCTGGAAGATGTGACTGAAGGGCTGAGCTGCAATTCTGGAAGATCCAGGAGGCTAGGGAGACAAAAGTCAGGATCTGGGGCCTACCAAGAGCAGAGACTGTGTCTGATACTGCACCCCTCCTCCCCCACTTTTGGTTGGGACCACAGAGTAAAGATAAGCCAGAAGTAAATTTGCCCTTACGTGTCACAGCTCAGCATCAAGCCTTTGGTGGCTCAAGATAGGACGTTACAAGGCTCGTATGTTTAAGGTAACCGTGGATCACTAGTGCCTCCAGGTACCTGGCAAAAAAACAAACAGAAAGCTCTTTGGAGGGAGAAAACATTTCATGCCTCAAATTTTTTCTACAAATAATTTTTTAATTAAAATATCCAATGTGCTAAGATAACCAGACATACAAGGAGGCAAGATACCATGAGTGAGAATGAGTAGAAAGAAAAGACAGAGGGTACAGACCCACAGGGTCTCCAGTTACTTGATTATGATCAGGAAAGGATACACAGGGGGCTTCTAAGGTACTTGTGATGTGCTGTTGTTGGACCTGGGTGCTGATTACATGAGTGTTCAGTCTACACAAATCCATTTATCTGCACACTTATGTTTTATCTACTTTTCTGCTTCTGTGTTATAGTTGACAATAAAAAAGCCCTACAAAATTGAAAACAATCTAGCATTCCATTGACAGGGGGACAGATCAGTGAATTTTGGTATGTTCGTACAATAAAATATTATTAAGCTGTTTAGTTGAAAGAACTAGAGCTTCATGTATCCATAGGGACTAATTCCAAAAATACAATGTAGTGAAAAGTTCTAAGTTGCAGAAAAATATGCATGGTATGATACCATGATAGAAAGTTAAAAAACATGCAAAAATAGTATTATACATTATAAGGGAGGCATTTATGTAGTAAAAGTATAAAAACATGCAGAAAGTAATAAGCACCAGATTCAAAATAGTGGCTACTTCAGGGAGGGGAGAAAGGAAAGAGAGCACTATGTAGGGTAGCTTCAGCTGTTTCTGGATATTTGGTTTATTATAAAAAAGTATTAAATAAAGCAAAATGTTACAGTTTGACAAAGATAGGGGGTTGTACATAATATATTCCATCTCTCTATTTTTCTGTATGCTTAAAATAGCCCGTTTGAAAAGTAAGTTCCTTAGAGGATATGAGACCCTTTAAACAGTTGTACATATTTCTCTCCAACTCATTTTCTATTGAAAAAAACACTTTTAGATTTGTTTAATTTCTGTGGTTCTTGACACCTATCATTCCCTGCGAATAAGAAGCAAATTCTGTGGTTTTGGTATTTAAGAGACAGACTATCTTTCTCTTATCCATTAGATTATGGGTTCTCAGTGCTTCAGTAAACTCGTTACACACACAAAATGCCTTTTTTATTTTTTCACTTTTAATTTTATTGCTTAAGGACAGTTCATTATGCATTTTTAAATACTGATTTTATTTCTGATCTTGGAATCTTTTGGAAGATCTTTGACATAGATCTATTCTAATTGAATTTTTAGCGATTGTTTACCTTCTTGTATCTTGTTTTATTTAGGAGCGGGATAAATTCTACTTGTCTCGCAGTGTTGTTCTAGAACTTCTGCAGGCCCTGAAGCTCAAATCTCCTTTGCCAGATACAAACCTCCTTCTGCTTGTCCAGGTAGGCTTGTGCCTCATTTGCAATACTTTTCATGAGATCCACTTAGGTCTGGAAAAATTAAGGAAGGTGTGGGCATGTGCAGACATCACATCTCTCTGCCCAGAGTTGAGAAATAATATATCTTGTATGAGCCATCATCTAACTAACACTAGGCACTTGGCACTTCCACTGGCTGAAAAAGACAAAAAAGAAGTATTTATTTTGTTCCTACTGTGGAACTAGTTCTGTGAAGGACAAAAAAAAGAGGATGAAACAATAATTTCTGTCCTTGAGAAATTTACAGTCCAGGAGGTCAGAGGGCGGCTCATTAACAGCAACCAGAGCTGAGACAGGACTAAGGAAGCCAAAACTGGGGGACCAGGCTGAGGTCTGATGGCAGAGTCCCATGAGAATGAGTGAGTCGCCAAGTCTCTGTGAATGAAGGGGAAGTGAAGAGGCGGGTGGGCCCGGCCAGATACAGTCAAATGGCAGGATGTACTGAGTCCAGCCAGGGTAGGAGGTGGGTGTGAAAGAGCCAGTACTCATGGAGCACTGGGGTCGGGGGGCGAGGTGGGGGCTTGCACTCATGCAAGGCAGACTCTGGAGAACTTGCAAAGATTGTCTTTTTGGTTGCAGGACTGCTTATAAGGGGCTGAAGCCCTCCATCCTGGTGTCTTTAGCTCATCATCTTAGACAGATGTACAGGTTTTGATCACACGAGACAGGCTATGACTAGTGCCCTGAGAGAGAGAGAGATGTCAACAAAGTCCTAGGGGGAAGTTGAGAGCAGGAGGCATCCCACCTCAGGTGCTGTCAAGTCAGGGAAGACTTCATGAAGGAAGTGGTATTCAAGCTGGGCCACAAAGGACTGGCGGGTGCAGGCAAAAGTCTTTGCATAGGGTTGTGGCCCGGCACCAGAGGCTGACTGGCTTCAAGCAATGAGGGGCAGCTTTGGCAGGAAGGTGGAGTAAATTTAGGGATAATGACATAAGGATGGGGTTGAGAAAAAGCAGCCTGGATCAGGTGTTAGCAGGGGATCAGGTAACCTGGGACTCTGTCTAGCACTTCAAGGGCTGAGGCTGGATTCAAAGACTTGGCCATGAGCTACAGCTGGATCAGGCATCATTCAGACTGCGTCTGTGCGGAGTGCCCAGAAACTGGGTCACAGCTCTTTCACCTCTCCCTGATGAGCATTAAGACCAGTCCCAGAGTCTAGACCTACAAGATTGGGGTTAGATGACTGAAGGAAAATGGGAGCTTGCTATCAAGGAACTAGACAGGTTTCCCTGAATCTTAGGTGCCTTGGGTGCCATTTGGAGAGATGAGACAGAAGGGAACATTAATTGAGCACCTATTATGTGCTGGGCAATATGCTGGGTGCTTTACATATGCCCCTCACTTAATCCTTACAGCCGGGTGAGTATCTGGTTGTATCGCAGATGAGGAGGCTGAGGCTCAGCAGGGTTCAGTGACTTGCCCAAGATCACACAGCTGGCCTAAGTAGTGTCAGCATCTGACCACAGGGTCTATTTGGTATGGAGCACAGCCAGTCAGGCTCTTTCCATCACTTGCCTGGATTACCAGAATATCTCTTAGCTTTTTGCTCTGTCTTCCTCTTTCTCCCCATTGATCCAGCCTTCTGGCCTGTGGCTGCCTAGAGGAATTTTGCTAAAAACTCTGCTTTTTATCAGATCATACCCTTCATCGAAAACCTACAGTGACCTTGTGGTACCTGATCTGCTGAAGTCTTCCTCTATCATTTGTCCATGTTTGACTTTTCAGCAGTATTTCCCACTATAGGTATTTCCTGACCTTCTGTCTTGGGCTAGGTTCTGGGGAGAGAGAAGTAAAAAGCTATGGGCCCGGTCCCGACAATGTGTTAACCACTGTGCTGAAAGTCTACAAGGGCTGTAAAGCACTAGGGAGGAGAGTGTGGCAGCTCAGCCCGGGAGACGGAGAAAGGCTCGCTAGGCCCTTATGAGCCCTGAGCTGGCCCAGGTGCTGGGGAAACAGAGGAGGAAGCCATGGCCCCTGCCTTCCGGGAGTTTACTGTCTGGTAGGTGAAGCTGACATGTGAACAGAAATTTCCAGCACGGTGTAATGGGTACAGTAGCAGAGGTGTATACTGAGTAAGGGAGTGGTATAGAAAAGGGACCATGTGGACCTTGAAGGATGATGCGCAGGAGTTTACCCGGGAGAAGAGGAGGAACACCACCAGTCATTTACCATTTAATATCCACTCCCTGGTCCCGTTTCTCCTCCACATGTACTACTGATCTTTAGGACCAAAATTGAGGTTTTTGTCAAAGGCTTGATATTTAATAAGAAGTTGGAACTTTCCATGAAGAATTGTCTTAGATTGTCCTCGAAGAGCTTTCCAGGGCACATTGAAGCTCTCTGAGAACTGTGATTGCTGGAAAATGATAGCAATGGATATGGGGAATGAGGTACTCAGAATGAAATGGCTCCATTGTACTAAGAAGCTAGACAGCCCAAGAGGAAGACAGAAGCAAAATCATAGCCAGGAAATATCTGTGCTCCTAAGGAGAGGCAGACTGAATCTCTTCCAGTGGATTGCCATTGGCCAGCCTCTCCTACTCACACATCAGCAGCAACACCGCTTTTGAGTGCAAGCGACTTTGACACAAACTGACCATAAAGATTAATGGGATCCACGCTGGTTTGGAGGAGAGGACAGGTGAACTGAGCTTAGTGAGATGGTCCACAAGGGATTTAAGGCTAGCAGGTTGACAGTGTCTGGAAGTCACTTGTTTCTGATAGCGTCTTGGTTGGGGACCTGCCACCTCAAAACAGCCTGCGTTTCCAGGCCCTGAAGGTGCTTTCCTCGGGCATCAGAGAGTGTTCCTCTAATTTCCCTCAGTCTTGAGCAAAGCAGATCTGCATGACTGATCTTCTTGGGGTCTAGCACCCCACGCTGTGACTGCAGCAGGGGGCTGGTTTTCTATGAAGTATATTAGTCAACCATAATGAGCACTTGTCACAAGACAGCAAAAGAACACCGGCAGTTTAAATGGCCCAGTGCTTAAGGAAACCATGAAAACAGTGATTACTGCATCACAGCTAGGTAAATAAATAAAACAAATTAGCTTTAGGAAGAAAGAAAGCAAAAAGATAGATTCTTATGAATGTGTTTTTTGGATTCTCATATACCATTTCAGATGAATACCATTTTCATCTTTCTAAAACAAATACGCATTTGTCATTGAGCCATTAAGTTAAATTAAAAAATCAAGTTGTAGGGGCTGGCCTGGTGGTATCGTAGTTTACTTCACGTGCTACGCTTTGGTGGCTTGGGGTTTGCGGGTTTGGATCCTGGGCATGAACCTACACACCACTCATCAAGCTGTGCTGTGGCAGTGTCCCACATATAAAATAGAGGAAGATTGGCACAGGTGTTAGCTCAGGGTGAATCTTCCTCACACACAAAAAAATCAAGTTGTAAAATTATTTAGGTTGGAGAGGTATTTTGGAGACATTTTGAGGTCATGCCCATGAGGAACATCTTTGTGAATAATGTTTCCACCTTCTTCAACAGAAAATGTTAAATGTCATGCCATTTTGAAGTAGTAATTTATCTTTATTCTATAAATTCTTAGAATAAACAATTTCCTTACTGAGAAAAAGAAAAGTGAGGTATACTTTAAAAAACAGAAGTAGTGCGCTTATCTGCCCTGGAGTTCCCGGCTAAGTCAAGGAGAGAAGTCCTCCATGAGGCCACTCGCAGGATGAGGGAGAAGCATCTTTTGTCTCTCTTTATGAATAGTGCATCTTTCTATAAGGTTTCCCAGTTCCTTTTCCTCTTGCCCTTGACTGCCTGGGTCCTGTTCTCTGGAGGATAGCAGAGGTGATAGCCTGCTCTTGGGTAGCTTCTCTCAGGCCAGAGAGTCTAGACCTGGAGTCAGAGAAAAGCTTTCCCCTTTACTGGTGGGGCACACCACTTCCTGGCGCCTGGAGGACCAGGCTCACAGTGTGGACAGGTAGTGTGTCTGGGGCAGACAGTGACTTCCTTCACCTATATCGGTGATCATCATCTGAAGGCAGTGACGTTGGCTTTGTTTAACAGAAAATGCAACTTGGAAACAGAAAAGAAAGCAACAATTGGGAGGAAAAACTCCCCTGGTGATGCATCATGAATGACACTGGCCCTCTTAGTGAGAAGAGAGTCAGTGGCTCAAGCCTTGGATTTACCACTCATTCTTTCACCCGCAGGGAACCACCAGGGTGTTTCCTCTGCTGCCTCTCTAGTTAGTAACTTAGTAAATAGATGAGTTAGCAGAGAGGGAGCCATCTGTATTGTTCTGCTGGATAGACCGTACCTTTATTGTTTACCAAATACTCTGTCAATAAGATAGTCCCCTTAAAGAACAATGGAACACTTGCCCAAGGGATGTGGGGTCACCCAAGCTCTAAACTTTTCAAGGCAGTGACAGGTACCAATCTGTTTTTTAATTCTTAGAAATCCTTCCTGGAGGCCCGGCATCACAGGAAATCTTCCAGTCTGCTGTATTGTGGTTGTCCACACATGACTCCTATTATGTGTTTTTCCTTACATCTGAAGTCAGGTGGCCTTAAATGTTTAGGTGGATTTCTTTTTTTAAGAGAAAGCGGCATGGAGACAGGAAAGAATTTGCCAAATAGAAAAAATATGCCTTGCATTCTTCAGAATCTAAACTGTTGACCATCAGGTCGTAGTTCTTTGCATTGGAACAGATGCCCCGTCTCATTGTTTTAATTCACGTCTGTTGACGTTGTTGATTTCACTTACAACGGTTTCTCTTCTGCTGGTCTGCTGTGGATATTTTATGTGTAATAAGTTATTATAAATGTTCTGGAGATGAATTACAGCACAGTTTTCATAATAGAGTGGTAACTCATTAAAGGCCACCATTAAGCCTATATAAGCTCAAATCAAAATGAATTTCCCCAGCTCCTATTATGTGTCAAGAGTAGACATTCTGCTGATTTGCCTGTAACACTCCCACTGTGTGGGACATACCTGCATATTCAAGCTGCGAAAAATCATGTGGGTGAAAGGTTTTCTTTTAAAGACAGGTTAGTTGTGGGCTGGAGGACAAAGAAATGGCAGAGGTTTGGCTGTTGATTTTAATTCACAGTTACTATTGATGTGGGGTTGTTAATATTAGTCGAGTTAGTAATAACCTGATCACTCTCTGGGATGAGAGGTGGAGATATGATTTTAAGCATCACTTTGATAATGAATTTAGTAATGACACATAATGGATATTGCATTTCTATTGTGTTTTGTATTTATGTGGGAGTGCATATTTCAGTGGCATATTTCTATCCGAAAGTAGAGAATTCTTCCTTTTACAGCAGTCACCCTTTCCCCCTATGATTTTAGTTATATCTTTGTATTTTGAACAATTCTATAAAATTAGAGTGGAGTTTTTCAGTTCATTGTTGGCAGCTATATAAAATGAAGGCAGAAAGGTTTATTAAGGTTTTAGTTGTACATATTATGTAAAAGTATACTGGATTAAAAGTCAGTGATAAAAAATAAACAGATGATTTTAGAGGCTTATGTACTTCTGTACCCTCTAATATACGAGACTGTCCCAGGCACCTCCATAGCTTTGAGAGTGACTTTTGATTAATTCTGGCTGCTACGGTCATCTCTTCGTTCTCACAAATCAGACATTTGCCTTTGGCCTCATGTCTTGACACTACGTGGCTGACAACCTGCTTACATTGTGCTCCTCATTCCACTTTGCTGAGTATGGGAGGTGAGAACGGCCTCTGCTGAGGGGAGATACACACTTTTGAAGTTTTGTGTCTTCACAAATCTTGTCTTGCCCTCAAGGGCACAGTCAGGCCATGCAAGCATATTTCAGGGGCCCGAGGGTTTTACCCCATCCTTGCACAGGCAGCTCTGACTTCCGCAGAGCACCCCTGTTCTCTGTGCTCCCTTCCTCCCACTTGGATGCAGTTCTGTCTTCCCTTCTGGCCTCTCTTAGCTGTGCTCAGTTCTCTTGTAGAGAAATTAATTAAAATGTTGGTGTCCTGACAGAGGTTTTGGAACTTAGTTATAAGTAGTTTGTCTTAGACTGCAGACTCAGCATTTGAAAATACATTTTATGGGAAAACATGCAATATCTGCCAGAAGGTTGAGAGTGTTCCTTCTTTTCCAAAAAATAATCAAATTTGATATTTTCAAAATATATCAAATATTTTACTTTTTTGCTTAGAGCTTTTGGTCAGAGTTATAAGCGTTACTTTTTTTTTTAATCCTTTTTTATTTACTTTTCCTTATTTTAGAAATAAGTCTAAGGAGAGCAGACACAAGCATTCCTGAATAACACAATGAAAAATTTTAGGTATTGCCTGGATGTTACTAGCTGGTGCTTTCAGAGTTGTTAGCGAAATAGATTCTTGAGCCTTCTGTTACTGTATTTGAGGCAAATAGAAATGAGAGGATGTGAGTGTGGAGATATGTGTCCACTCCTGCCACGTGGTTGTCAGAGACAGCTCTGCTTGCTCTCCTCTCCCCCGCGGCTCAGTTAGCTGTACCGAAATACCTTTCACGAGGATACCGCGCTTGAAGACCTGCTCATGGCCCTGAACAGGAAGTCTAAGGGCTTCTGGCCGTCAGAAGGTCTTCGGCTTAGACCTCTGCCTTGTTAACCCAAACCTGCTGCCTATTAATAATGCTTAGATTCTGACCCCTGGGTAGCCTGACATTATGCTGGTTCTGTTCCTCATCAGGCCTCCTTGAGATTTTCTCAACTACCCCAACCCATATCGCTTCTCCCCAGTTCGACGGGGACAATGCCTGCCTGGCTGACCTACCTAACTTTTCTGTGCTCTTCCTGTGGGAGTGAAATGAACCGGAAGGAAGAGCAGTCAGTGTGGAAGCTTCTTTCAGAGCCTCTGAACTTGCACAGCAGCAGCTTTGGATCCCAAAGTTGTTGGGGCCACTGGCCAGAAGCCCGGAAAGGGAAATCAACCGAGAACTAATTGCTCATAGCAAACTCTACAGACATCGTGCTTATCTTTTTTCCTAAAACCATCAATAAATACTTGGGTGTTGCATTAAGCTGGAAACACCTGTAAAAATCTGTAATGAAGCAAATTAAATTGTAATCTGGCAAATCCAACCTCATCATGGTCTCAAGTGACAATTGATTAATCATTTCATTTCACAAACTCTTGCTGAGCCCCTCCGAGGTGTCAGACACGAAGCTGGTGCTGTGGGTGAGATGCATCGAGTCTGCTCTTGGAAACCTCATAGCAGGTCGAGACAGAGACTCGTAGGTCATTACAGTCTAGCGTGACGGCTGTTACAGTGGAAGTGTGGTAAAAGTCCTAGGGGACGACAGACCAGGAGTGGGGGTCAGTATCGACACAGAGGATGTGTGTGAATGAAGCGGGAGGAGGAAGACCAGATGCCGAGGGGCCTTGGAGGGGAAGAAGCAGCTAGAATACTCACCCTGAGGTTGCTTCTTTTTCTCTTTTCCTTCTAAATCTATGACGTAATGATAGAAATCTGGAAAATCTATGAAAATTCAGTAACTGTCAAGAAGGGCTAAAGAATAAATAGGATAACTTCAGAATAAATCTGACAATTCTGACATCTTTCCTTTCTTGCTTGATTGAATGTACTATTTCAGTGCCACTCAGCTGTCTGGGAAAGTGAGAATCTGGGTGGTCATCTCAGCAGTGTGATTCTCAATTCCTGATAGGCAGGAGCTGCCATGATTGGCAAGCCCCGTACATCCAGGGCAGATTGTCACGAAAGTAAACACTAATGAATTGAAGCCAAGTTAGTAAAATTAGGAATTACTTATTACTGTCCAAGTGCTCTTAAAAATAATTCTCCTTTCAATTTCTTATTAGTTTATTTGTGCAGATGCTGGAACCAAACTCGCTGAGTCAACGATCCTGAGCAAGCAGATGATCGCTTCTCTACCTGGAGTAAGTCCTGAATCAACTGCCTGCATTTTATATTTCTTCTCATTTCCGCATTTAGCAAAGAGGTATTTTTGGCGTGTGTCCTGGTTCACTTTTAATAGAACAGACGCCGTAAAATCGAAAACAGATTTAACATCATTTAAAAGAGCACTAGTGAAAATTCAAATTCATCTCTGCCCCTGGAAACTTTTAATTCCAGGAAACATGAGTAAAATTGAAGCAGCCAGTTAAGGAGAGGAAAGAAATGACCAGACATACAGCACAGATTGGATTAAAGTGCAATTTTTCCAGAATCAATTTTCTTATACTGGCTCCCTTTAACCAATTTAACTACAGCCAGAAAGAAATAAGCCTTGTAATACCTTGTTTTCCTTTATAATATTTCCTCTGAAAATTTTTTATATTTCCATTATTATCAACTAGTGGACTATTGGTGAAATATGTTAAGATTCTTGTAGACAGGGTTGATGATGAGAAACCACAATAACTTATTGATAGCAAGGTTATTGCAACAAACTCAGAAACTTCAGCGATATTGTTAATTGAAACACGTTATTTCAATTTTCAGTAGAAAAATATTTTTAAAAAGACAAAGAAACACTTATAATCCCCTGTCCCAAAATAAGAAATCTATTGTATTAGAAAACTTTTTCATGTTTGGATCTTTTCGGTATCCTAATTAGCTTAGTCCCATATTATTGGAAATTTATATACTATCCAGTTTCTTTGCTAGTATAGAATAGCATATAGTATTGTATATATATATTCTTAGAAAGATCATCTTCATGTTTATTTTGATATCCTTGGGATAAATTCCTTAGTCAAAGGATAGGAATGTCTTAATAATATATATTCCTAATGTTGCTTTCTAAGAAGATTTCATTAATGTGTTTATAAGTATACCACTTTTCCCCACAACACCAAACATTATTTTAATTTTTTTTTTTACATGGAGAAATATTATGAGAGAGAAAAGATAAAATCATTCAACCCAGAGATAATTTTACTGCTACCATATTAATGTATTTTGTTTCTCCTTTTTCTGTGTGTATTTGTTTAAACATAGTTGAAACCATAATAATAGATGCAGCTTTGGCTTCATAAGTCATAGCATTTGCCCCAAAGTGACATAACCTTGTGTGAATACACCATGGAATAGTGGTTAGAATGTGGGTTTTAGACTCATACCTGAGTTTGAGGCCTGACATTTTCTAGCTGTGTGATGAGGAAAGTTATTTAACCCATGATCTTTGGTTTGTGTCATCTGTAGGTGGGATGTGACAGGGGCTAATGTCTAGGTTGAGGGTTGAAAGAAATAAGGCACATACAGCATGTTAGCGTGGTGCCAGATAGATAGTGAGTGCTGAGTAAAAATCATACTAACTAGTAAACTATTAACTAGTAGCTAGTTACTAGTTAAACTATTAAAAATATTAACTAGTAAAAATCACACTAACGGAGAGGAGGAGGGACAGGACACATGTTTCAGGGCACAAACTTACAATGAGGAGTAAATAAGCCCTAGACATGAAATGCATAGTACAATGACTATAGACAACAATATTGCATCATAATCATCAAACTTGATGAGAGACTGGAACTTAATTATTTCAATTACTAAAAAGAAAGGATAATTATGTAACATGATAGAGGTGCTAATTATGGCTACAGTGGCAATCATGTTACAATATGTAAATGTATCAAGTTAACATGCTGTACGCCTTAAATTTACACAATGTTGTATGTCAAATATATGTCAATAAAATAATAAAATAAAATGCACCTAACAGGTAAAAGAAATAATATTAACAGATGTTACTCGGATATTTTGGTTGTTTACAATATTCTGCAATTGTAACTAATATGTGATAAACATCTTCATGCTTAAATCTTTGTTCTTATTTTCGACTATTTCTTTATAATAGATTTCTGGGAGTAAAATTACTAGACTATAGTTTTTTAAGGGTTCTTGATAATAGTTAAGGTCATGCAAGACGCTATGACATGAAATCACAATTCTCAGCAACTTAGCACAAAAAAGTTATTATTGTGAAGTTGAAATGGGTATCCTGATTAGTAGAGGGAGGGGGCTTCCCCATGAATGCTTAGGGACGAGGTTTCTTCTGTCGTATCCAGTCCTCTGCAATCAGCTGGTGGGTGGGGAAAGAGAAGGAAATATGGTACAGGGAAGGTTTCCATGGGTCAAGTCTAAAAGTGGTGCATATTTCTTCTACCCGAGTTCCATTGGCTAGAACTCAGTCACATGGCCACACCTAACTGCCAAAGAGGATGGGAAGTATGGTCCAGTTGTGTGGCAAAGAAGAAGAGAAATGAATCTGTGAGTAGCTAGCTAGTCTCTGCCGTACACTTAAGGTTTCCTTATTATTTAATTCTTTAAAACTCAATATTTGCTACCTATGTGATAGCTAAAAAATAATATTCCTAATATATAAAGTTTTATTGAAATCAACAAGTAAAAGGCAAACATTCCAATAACAAGGAAAACCCCACAATCATTTGTAGGATCTACATGTAGAACCCTTTCCCATGACCGATAAGCCATTCAGAATAAACCTTTTACCCTCACTGGCAATCAGTAAACTGTAAATTAATGCAAAATATAAAAATAATAAAACAGGGGCTGGTCCAGCGGCGCAGCGGTTAAGTGCGCACATTCTGCTTCAGCGGCCCGGGGTTCACCGGTTCAGATCATGGGTGTGGACATGGCACCGCTTGGCGAGCCATGCTGTGGCAGGCGTCCCATGTATAAAGTAGAGGAAGATGGGTATGGATGTTAGCTCAGGGCCAGTCTTCCTCAGCAAAAAGTGGAGTATTGGCAGCAGATGTTAGCTCAGGGCTGATCTTCCTCAAATAAATAAATAAATAAAATAAAAAATATAATAATTAAAATCAGCTATCAAGTCAGCAGGTTTTTCTTAATGATTAAACTTATTGATGATGAAGTGAAGCAGGCATTCTTATAAGCTACTAGTGGTAGTGAAAAATGGTACAGCCTTGCTGAGGAGCAGTTTGACAATCAACTTCTAGGAGTATGTTTGAGAAAATAATTAAACATGCACGTAAAGAATTACATGCAAATGTACTTATTAAAGCAGCATTTAAAAAAGTAAAAATATGGGAACAAAATTAATGTCCAACGTTAGGGTATTGTTTAAATAAAATAACAAATATCTATAAGACAAACTACCAAATCTACCATGTTTGGTAGATGTGGCTGCCAAATCAAGTTTTCAAAGTATATTTAATTAATTGACAAATGCTCATGATGGATTTAATTAAAAAACAGGTTAGAAAAAATTATCTCAATCTTATAAAAAGTTATATGTATGCGTACATGTTATATACATTCAAAAAAATTTGGAAGGAAATGTTACCAGTGGCTGTCTCACAGGTGCAAGACAGGAATTAGGATTATGGTGATTTTTCTCTTCTTTTTATTAATTTGTAGTTTCCAAGTTTTCTACATTGAATATTTGTTACTTTTAAGATCTAAGAAATGTAACTTTAAAATCAGATATAAGTTTTGAGGAAGAATTGGATATGATTTGCTTCGTTTCGTGTTTTTGGGGTTGGAGTATGTTTTCAACTCCTTTATCACTAGTTTTCCTACTGAAATAAATGTAGGCCTTCTGAAACAAGTGGAACTTGACTCTTAATGTTTTTTGTTTTTTTTAAAGAATACACCTAAGGTTATACTTATGTTTTGCAAAATGAAAAAAAAGGGATTGGAAATTACGTGCTTTTTTTATAGTGTAGATGGCTCACTAAGATTATCCTGCCTGTAAAGTGTATCTTAAGGCTTTTATTAGATGTAGTTGCTGTCTCTAGAGCAGAAGTAACTGGGTAATAGCAAATTCTTTGCTCTCACTTTTTGAAATTCAAACTTAAAAGACAAATATTGAATAATGCTCCTAGTAATTATTTTCTGTGACATTTGCCTGGTTGAAATGGTATAAAATATTGCCTATGAAAGAAACAAATCCCTTTCAAGAAATTTAAGAACTGAGTATATGCTCCTATTTGCATGACATGTGAAAGGTCAGAGAAAATGGAATAAATCGGGGGGAAATCCTTTCTTGCACTGAAGGATTAATATTCCAAAAGCAGGAACACAATAACCTTTTATAATTCCTTCACTTGATTTAAATTAAAAGAAGAAAACCTTAGAACGTATGAAATGCTTGGAAAACACTCTGACAGAACTGCCAATGACCTTATTTTACTGTTTGTTATCCTGTCAGAGGAACTGACAGGCGTAACATTCTAGAAGAGATAGAAGGTGATATAGTTCAGTGCTGTGCAGATTTACATGAATATGGGAAAATGAGAGCCACTGGGTGAGCTTGTTAAGTATATAATGTTCCAGATTTTCCTAAAGAAAGCTAAGAAAGGCCTGAGCATAGTATTCAGATGGCTTCAAAGACGGCTTGCTTTTTGATCCACATTATACGCAGCCTGATGTGTGGGTTCTCTCATACAGCTTTGATGTTGCAGCCTGTTTGTTCACTTTCCTTTTCTTTGCTTATAATACTAAATTCACTGCATTGCCCTCAGAGAACAGGTTTTTGCCATTTAATAACCTGAAACACAAGTTTGCTTTCTTTTCCTTTAAAACTTCCCAAACACACTGCCGGTGTGTGGGGAAGATTGCCATTTCGTTTCTTTATTTATCCCTAGCAAGAGTGCAACAATAATGCATTTATCTATTTAATAGTGCACCTACTATGTGTAAGAAATTAAGTTGTAAGTGACTTGACCGAATATAGGAATTTTGACTCTTTCAGCAACCATGATATTTGTTCATATACTTTTTATTTTTGGATAGAGGAAGATTCAAGATGCTGGTGGTAGAATTTGCTGGCACACATTTTATGTGTATCTAAGACTTCCTAGAGTGATAAGGTGTTACTGGAGTTTTAGGGTGATTCATGTCTTAAAGACTCTGATACTAATGGCTTTACATAGGTTAAATCTTTATATACAAACTGGTTTAAAAACAAGCAAACAAAAATCAGTTAAATCACCCAATGGAGAAAAGCAGGTAAACCCTGTCTCCTATGGGCTGTCCCTGTTTCTTTGCTCTCACCACAAACCTTTTGTCAAATTTTGTCCAAACTGTGGGCAGACAATCACAGACCATGCTGAGAGTATGGAGTGAGTCAGAAATCCAGAAAATGAACCAACTCATTAGCGAGCAGCGTGAAATCAGAGCGAGACAATCAGTGCAGTCAGGGCAGAAATGGAGGCCGTGACTCACGGAGCGCACCCAGCGGTGTCCCTGTGTTTCAGTGTGGGACGGCAGCGATGGAGTGTGTGCGGCAGTACATCAACGAGGTGCTGGATTTCATGGCGGACATGCACACGCTGACCAAACTGAAGGTGAGAGGCCTTCCATCCACTCGGCTCTGCTCGGCTCTTAGGTTAACAAACACAGGAATGTTGGCAGAGAATTAAGCGACCATGTGAGAGTTTACTGTTGCCTGAGGAGGCGCCTGTGGCCCTGGGGAATGAGCCCATGTCTTGGGACTCTGAAGAGCTGGGTGTCCTCTCTGCAAGAGGGACAGGGTATTGACATGGCATCAGCTATGTGCATAGCTTTGCTTTTGCCACTCAGTTCTCACAGTGCCCCTGCTAGGGCGTTATCCCCATTTTGCAAATGTAGAAACCGAGGCTGGGCTGGTGCAGCGATTTGCTCAGTCACACTCCTACTAAATGACGGAGTCAGGGTAGCCCTAAGACTAGTGAGCCCCGAGCCATTCCCGTTCCACTATGCCACTTGGCGTCATTCATCTGCCTCGAGCCTCAGTTTACTCATTTGCAAAACAAGTCTTATAAACCTGCCTTTGCTGACGGGGACAAAGTTTGAGTGAGGTAACGTTTTTGAAGAGACTTTTGTAAACTTTAGTTTGTATGAAATGTGTAAACACACAATGCCAACATAAGCCATTTATGATTTTCACCTGCATCAAAGCTATCAAAATCCCAGTGAAGTTTTGAGCTTATGGGTTGTTTTCCAGGGTGGGGTGAATTGCTGATGCGGGTTGCCTTCCCTGCTGTTAGCCGACCAGGGAGCTAAACGACTGATAGTCTGAGAGATCTGAGGAAGGCCCTGGACAGAGGGCGGAAGAGAATCCAAACGTGGCCCAACAGCCAGCCACATTGCAATCCGACACTAAAAATGACTGCTTTTTGATAAACAGGACCTAGTCATCCCACAAGCTCATCAGCTAAAATACGGTCCCTCATCACCCAACTCAGTGTCCAGACTCTGCTCAGATGACCCCAGTGTTTCTTGGGATGGGGATAGATTGGTGAATGCCAGGTGTAAAGTAGAACCCAAATTTAAACTGATGATTTCTCACAACGTCTAAATCCCGTTGTTTTTCAGTAAGCTCTCCTGGTGTTTGATTATGCATTGGTTACTGATCGCTGAATCTGGCTGCCCACACTTAAACACTTTTGACGTATAAAGAAGAGGAAACATTATTACCTACACATTTTTAGCCTGTTTTATAGCCACTCTCAAAATACAGAGAAAAATAGTAAGAAGGACTCAGGAGGATCAAAAGGTTGGGGACTACAGATGTAATCCAACCCTCTGATTTTACCTATTAGGAAACAGATCAGAAAGGTCAAGTGTCAAGTGACTTCTGTAAGACCAAAGGACTGATTAGGACAGAACTGCGTCTAGAACCTAGGTCTCAACGTCCAGTTCAGCACTCTTTCTGCTAAGCCACTCTGAGCAAAGAAATTCTTCTAAATTAATTCAACACATATGTGTGGAGCACCTATAATGTGCTTGGCACTGTTCTAGGCTTTTAGGGATGCAGTGATGAGCAAAAACAGACTCAGTAACTGCCCTCATTTAGTTTATAGTCTGGCATTGGAGGCCAATTTTAATGAAAATTTCATACAGACTAAAGTAAAATTGTGACTTTCCTAATTGCTATGAAGAAGGGCTTCTAATAAGATGATATGACCTAGCCAGGGAGGTCAGAGAAGGCTTCCTGGAGGAAGTGATACTTAGCTAAAATCTGAATAATGAATAGCAGTTAATTGGGTGAAGAGAGGCAGGAACAATTTCAGGCAGAGAGAACAGCATGAGCCAAGACCAGTAATGGGAGAGAACAGCGTAGCTGGGACCATAAGGTTGAAGGATAAGGTGCAGAGGTCTGCAGTAGCTAGATCATTCCAGGCTTTTTAGGCCATACTAAGGAGTTTTCTTTTCCTTTATCCTAAGAACAATGGGAAGCTGTTGAAGGAGTTTAAATGGGTTCTATACAAACCCATGTACAAATGGGTTTGTAATATACAAACATATGTATGTATGTATGTTAAATGGGAGTGGTAATAGGTGTGGAAAGGCACCTGATCTCTTTAAAGAGTGGCCTGGAATGTCTCCAAGGGACTCTGTCAAAGTCACAAAATGCCATTTGGTTTTGTAGAGCCACATGAAGACATGTTCTCAGCCTCTGCATGAAGATACCTTTGGTGGGCACCTCAAAGTCGGACTGGCTCAGATTGCAGCCATGGAAATCTCCCGGGGCAACCACAGAGATAACAAAGCTGTGATCCGCTATCTGCCTTGGCTCTATCATCCCCCTTCTGCGATGCAACAAGGGTAAGACCCTTATTATTCCAGCAATGGGGGTAAATATGACAAGAAACGCCCTGAGTTCCTGGGGCTCTGCAAGAGCTAGTGAATGCATTGAAGATGCATGGGAGTGGACCGTGATTGGCTGGGAAGATGGGAATCGGGACCCATCTCCGTACTTACTTGCTGACCTAACAGCGTTTTTGAATGTGAGCACTTCATAGCACGCTGCCAATAAAAGACACTTGCCCTCATACAAAAACCCCAGTCTCCCTGATAGATGATGAAACCTTGGAGCTTTGAACTGACACTTTAACTCTTAACTTCAATTAGTTAAATAAATTGATAAGTATTTACGGAACACTTACGTAGCTTCTGCCTTCAAGGAGCTTAGATTGTAGCTGGAACAAAATTTATAGCAGAGGTGAAATAGATGAAATAGAGAGCAAGGAGGGGTGAGCCCCTGATCCTGCCTGTAAGGGAGGCTAAGAAGAGAGAAGTGCGCATAGGCTAGTTTATCTGGGAATTCAGAGAAGGCTTAAGCGTCCCATTCTGCATGGTCAGCTTGCTGGTTAGAGGAAGGATTTGGAGTGGGGGATGAGGAGGGCAGGAGGAGAAAATTATTGGCAAGCAGGAAAATGGATGGCTGTGTGTTGTATCTGCTCTGTTCCCTCCCCTCTAGTGGGGACGTCAAACTTTCTAATGAGAGGAAAGGAGTTTAGAAAGAGAAGCCAGTTAGAGAGGCAACCATGTTTGTGGAAGAATGACATTGAATCCTGTATCACCAAAGGCTGCTCTTTGCTCAAGAAGCTAAGATCCAGGATTAGAGTGGGAAACAAGAAAAACAGATACATCATTCTGTTGGCAGCCAGTCACCTTCATGTTTTATTTTATGTAATTGCCTACAAGACCACACCTTTAATCCCTTCCATCAGTAAGCATTTGTTGAGCACACAACGAAACAGAGAACATAAAATCGTCTTTTAACACTTCCTTCTCTAACAGACCTAAAGAATTCATCGAGTGTGTCTCCCACATCCGTCTGTTGTCCTGGCTGCTTCTGGGTTCTCTCACTCACAATGCAGTGTGTCCAAATGCCTCCTCTCCGTGCCTGCCCATACCTCTGGATGCAGGTTCCCACATTGCAGACCATCTTATTGTTATCCTGATTGGATTTCCAGAGCAATCAAAGGTAAGTGATCTCTGCAAGATTAAGGCCATGTGCATCGAAATTGCTAATGGATTCCCTTATCAGCCAATTATGTTTCTTCTGAGAAGAAAATGCATCTTATCACTTGCCCTCCTGTAGATGTTAGGAAAGCAACTTTGTGCTAATGCCTTATTTAAAGTTGTTTAAATTCCCAGACTATCTTTTCTTCCCCCTAAATTGTTTTTCCATTTACTTTTATGAAGATAAATTATGGAGGCAAGCAAGAGTTAGCTTCCTAGGCATTTCTATCTCAAAATAATGAAGAGAAATAAAAGGCTAGAAATATAATGAAAATTCTATGCTCAGTCTTTAGAACCGAGTATGAAGTGGAGGAAAATTTATGCTCCATCTAAGACTTCATGTACTATCTTTCCAACTCACATCTTTGGAGATATATGAAGATACCAAATGAGAATAAGAAGGCCAGTTGGGAATTCACTAAAGTACACATTGGAATCACCTACACAGAGGAGCTTTATAAATTGTAGAGACAGATAATGTACTTAAAGGGAATAAAGTAAACCCAAGGCAGGCATCAGTCATGAGCCTGTACAAGCAAACTCGACACACTGATACTAATCGGCTACAGGGAGCCAAGGGCCCTTCACAGAGCTTGGACTGGTTCTGGGAGGTCACTGGGGGTTTGGGAACAGCTGGGTTTAGTCCAGGGCAGGCTGACTCGGCGAAAAAATAGAGCACCCGTCCAAATGACCTGAATGATGTTTGCAACAGCAATTAAGCAGTCGGTTTCTAATATTTCGACCTAGACCTGTGTTTGATTCCTAACGATGGTACTTTGTGATTTTATGACCTTGAAAATATTACTTACCCTCTCTGGACTCCAGTTTTTCACCTGTAAAATGGATGAGGGGATGGTTTGAGAATTATGGAGGTGATCTGTGAAAAGTCTTCAGCGTGGTGTCTGGGATATCATAGGTGCTCACTCAATCCGGGCTTACTCCTGGTGGGAATACTGTCTTTGCCACTGCTCCTTCTACTGCTACTACTAGTGTAGTTGTTAAGTTCTGGGCAGCGGGTTCGTGAATATCACCTCAGTGACTCCTAACTACAACTCTTTGAGAAGGGTACTATTATCCCCATGTTACAGATGAGGAAACACCAAAATGGTAGAATGACTGTCCTTCCTAATTTAGTTTAGGGATTGGAATATCAGTTCCATTAAAGAGCAGAGGGTGGGTAGATTTATCCTGTAGACGAAGGTGCCTTCTCTTCGAAAACCTGCTTTGTTCTCTAAGCACACCCCCACTGACCCAGTGGAGAGCGGATTATTTTAAGGTGACGAATCACAAGTCTGTAGCTTGGAGATAACTCCTTCAGCCTTGATCACTTCAGTTAGATGTGCTTTGGCTGTACCCCTTGGAAGGTCAAAGCCATGTGGGGGGGTCTCCATGGACCACCACAGCCCACCAGATGTAATGGCCCCCTGTTTTCCTCCTTTTCAGACCTCTGTGCTGCACATGTGTTCCCTCTTCCACGCATTTATCTTTGCTCAGCTCTGGACCGTATATTGTGAACAAAGTGCCGTAGCTACAAACCTCCAAAGTCAGAATGAGTTCAGCTTCACAGCGATACTGACGGCACTTGAGTTTTGGAGTAGGGTGACACCCAGCATCCTTCAGCTGATGGCGCATAACAAAGTGGTGAGTTCGTGAATAAGTTTGCCCTCTCGGATAGAATCTCAAAATGTATAAACCACTCCCAGTTCTCACGTTACCTGTTTTTAAAGATCTCAGTTGGAATATTATATAAATGGGTTGGTGAATTTTTACATTATAAATGGGATGTTCTACTTGCATATTAATTTTGATGAAAAACAAAGCAAACAAGTAAATTCAGTAAAATCAATTTTTGTTTTCTCTGCCTAGTGCTAAAGGAAATTTATACAAAACTTCTACCTTTAAGGGTTGTTTGTGCTATAAAGTCACAGAGTTAAGAGGAAGATTCATGTTATTTTTGAGTTCCAAGGCAATTTGAAAAAACCCTAGCCAATTAGGTCACCTTTTTATGCTGTTTGGGAGCAGACCAACCACACATGTTCATTCTACATGGGGCTCAAAACCTATAAAGAGCCTCACCTTTGTGAGTTGCTCTCTGAAGACCTGAGCTCCCCAGTCGTCAAATCCAGTTCCATTTTCATGTGAATGGCTCACCAAGAGAGGGGCTGCTCTAAACCTCCTTGGAAAGCCTCTAGGGTGTGGTTAGCATGAGCCCACTTCGTGGAACAAGCTTGAATTGGTCCTCATGGAGTCGAGATCGGAAGGTGTACAGAAGGAGCTGCCAAGGGAATCCTTTGGGTCAGTTTGTTCCTTTGGAGGAGGATTCTCAGCTGGGAATGTGGCAGCCAGTGTCTTGGTTACAGGGACTCTGTCAGTCGAATTCTTGTCTGTGAGGCCAAAGGACCTGGAAAAACACCATAGTGATGATTCCAGTGAGCCCAGAAACCCAACAGTGCACGGTCCACAGAAGGCATTCTGGAAACAATTTTTGGTTGATTGAATATTAGTCTAAGAAACATTTTCTTTTAGCTCTAATTGGAAAGGGGATTTTATATTTCCTTTAGTGAAGCACTTTCTTTTCTTTAGAGAAGCAGATGTTAGGAGGCAATTCTGTATGGAGAGAGATGTTTTAGTTCAATTTAAAGGAAATTTATGTGAACGTGTCAGGGTGCACCAGCGGTTCTGACTGCTGCAGAGATCATTCTGTTTGTTGGATCCTAGAGTCTGGGGCTGAAGGAGAACTTGGAGATCAAGCTTTCCATCCTGTTATGCTACAGATGATGAAACCGGGGCCTTAAACTAGAGATTCAGAGTTGCCTTCTGTTGTCATTAGTTTCTTGATACCATTAGTCCCTTCCCTCTAACTCTCTCTTGATATTCAAATATTGCAAATGAATTTGTTACAAATGAATTTCGTATGAGTAATGTTACAAATGAATTTAATTCATTCTATTCTGAAAATTTTGTTAAGCCTTATAAGCCAGTCTGGTATAATCCCCCTGGAGGCTTAAAATCCAGCCTTAGGAATTTCTGATGAGGGATATCACCTCTGTTGTATTTTTGAACTGTCGGAAACACGGTTGCCTTTTCCGTGGAGAACAAAGCCTTAAAGACAGTGTGCAACAAATTAAACAGCTACCCCAGGTGAAGAAACTGGAGAAGGGATGAAGACAGAGGAAAAGACCCAACCCCCAGAGTCGTGTAGCTGGAACTGAAGGAAGCAGAAGCCGTTGATCCTCTGGTCTGAAGCAACTGCAGTGCAGATTAGCGAGATCAACACCCGAGTCCCATTGGCAGCCCGAGTTAGGTGAGGAAGGCATGACAACTGCAAAACCTCTGAAACTTTCAAAATTCAGTTTCTGGTTGAAATTTTAGAGGTGAATAAGCACCCCTCCTTGTGGTCCGCTTTGGTCATTCTGCAGAAAGACCTCATGGTCAAGGACATGGGGCCTCTGTGGCTGCAGACTAGTTTGCAAGGTTTCTGTATCATTGGGAGTGGAACTGATTTTCACGTTTGTTGTTTCAGATGGTAGAAATGGTGTGTCTCCATGTGATTAGTTTAATGGAGGCTTTGCAAGAATGCAATTCAACAATTTTTGTCAAGGTAGGAAAATCTTATGATTTTTATAGACCGTTTCTTGCTGCTAAAAACAAAAGTGGATTTATTTTGAATGTACCTTCGGAAGAGGAAAATAAAACGGATTTAGTTTTAACATTCAGAGTTGGGGCTGGAGGATTCAGTCTCGTGTTACAACCCTTCAGCAAATGGTTATCGTGTTATTTTTGCTCTTGCTCCAGCACTGTGACCAAGGCTAGCTGGGTTAAATACGTTGGACTATGATTGCATGTAACACAAGTAATTAAATGATCACTGGGAACGTTGATCTGAAAATGACCCTATAGTAATATAAATTGGTTGGTAGTGCCTCACCTTGCAAGATATCCAGAAAACCAAGGAAAATAGCCTGTAATTGTTTGACTTGGTAGCTGGTACTTTCTCTAAGATAAATTAATTTAGTTTCTAGTGTTACTATTCTAAATCATTGTACACTGTATGAAAGTAATTTAAGCATTGGTTATCTATCCAGGAATATCAGAAACATAGCAGTGTGATAAAAAATAAAAGAGTAAAGGAGAACTTAGTTTCTCACTCACTCATCTATTTATTTCCCCCTTTTTCCTTTCCTTCCTCTCATTCCGCCTCTTAGTCTCACTGATTCTTTGTCCGTCCTCTTCTTGTAGCATTTCCTTCTTTTCCTCCCGCTTCTGTATTCCATTATCTCAGCCACCATCAACCGCCCCCCACAACCACCACAGAGTGCATCAATTTGGAACCTTCTAACTTGCCCTTCCACTCCTTGGTTGACTCTGTTCTTCCGTAAAGGACACTTGTCAAATTAATTCACACAATGCCGAAGGAAAGCAGCCTATTTTCAGGGAAAACTTGACTGTTACCAGAATCCTGCTAGGTGGTTGGTTTGAATGGGGTAGATAGAGCTTACCTAGCTTGGTAGTCAACGAAGAAAGTGAGTGCAATGAGAGAAAGTATATGACTGACACTTGATGATCATACCTGATTTTATTTTTCACAGCTTAATTGAAGTACAGTTTATGTACAGTAAATTATACATATTTAAAATGTACTGTTTGATAAGTCTTTACATATATCACACCCATGAAACCATCACCACAATCAAGACAATGAACATTTCCCTCCCCTGCCTAAAGTTTTCTTGTACACATTTATAGTGTTTCTATTCCACCACTCCTTGTACCCTGCCTCCCCATCCCCAAGCAACTACTCATCTACCTTCTGTCACTATAGGTTAGTTTGCCTTTTCTAGAATTTTATATAAATAGATTCATATAGTACTGATGCTTTTTTCTGCCTTCTTGCACCTAGAATAATTATATTGAGATTAATCCATGTTGATGCATGTATCAGTAGGTCATTTCTTTTTATTCCTGAGTAGTATTCCTTTGTATGGATATACCACATTTGGTTTATCCATTCATTAGTTAATGGACATCTGGGCTGTTTCCCAAGTTTTGGGCTATTACAAATAAAGCCGCTATGAATATTCTTGTACAAATCTTTGTGTAGATATGTGCTTTCAGGTATGTTGGATAAATACCTAGGAGTGGAATGGCTAGGCCATATGATATGTGTATAACTTTTAAAGAAATTGGCAAACCATTTCCCAAAGTGATTGTGCCCTGCTACGTTCACACCAGCAGTGTATGAGCATTCCATTCCCACACAAACGAACATTCCAGTTCCTTTGTCAACACTTAGTGTAGTCAATCTTTAATTTTAGTCATCCTAAGAATTGTGTGCTTGTATCTCATCATGGTTTTAAATTGCATTTCCCTGTTGACGAATGATGTTAAACATGTTTTCATATGCTTATTTGCTATCCATGTATCTGCTTGGTGAAGTATCTGATAAAATTATTCATGCATTTTTTATTGGGTTGGGTTTTTTTCTTATTATTGAATTTTGAGATATAAGTTCTTTATCAGATATGTGATTTGCGAAGATTTTCCCTGTGGTTTGTCTTTTCCTTGTCTTTTCAGTGTCTTGTGAAGAGCAGGTCTTAATTTTGATGAAGTACCGTTTATCAAATTTTTCTTTTATGGATCATGCTTTTGATGTTGTACTTAAAAAAATCTTTGTTTAATCCAAGGTCACAAAGAGTTTTCTTCTAGGTGTTACCCATATTTTCTCTAGGTGTTAATTTATGTCTGTGACCCATTTTGAGTTAACTTTTATGTACATGTGAAGTGTAGACAGGTACTTTTTCTGCATATGGCTATCCAGTTATTCTAGGATCATTTGTTGAAAGTAGTATCCTTTCTCCATTGAATTTCCCTTGCACTTTTGTCAAAAATCGATTAACCATATATATGTGGTTCTATTTCTGGATACTCGACTCTGTTTCATTGATCTCTTTGTCTATTTTTGTACCACACTATCTAGATTCTGTAGCTTTCTAATATACCTTGAAATCAGGTAGTGTTAGTCCTCTAAGTTTCTACATCTTTTTCAAAGTTTTTTTTAGCTTTTCTGGTTCTTTTGTGTTTCTAGATAAATTTTAAAATCAATTTGTAAGTTACAAATAAAAGCCTGCTGGGAATTTGATTGGGATTACATTGAATCTATGGGTCACTTTGAGGAGGATTGAGATCTTAACAATATTGAGTCTTCCAATGCATGAACACGGTATATATCTCCATGTATTTATGACTTTGTTAACTTTTCTTAGTAATATTTTATAATTTTCTATATACAAGGATGGCATGTTTTTGTCAAATTTATCCCGAAATGTATAATTTTATGATATCGTAAATGCTATGGTTTTTTATGCTTACCTTTCTGATTTTCATTGCTAGCATTTAGAAATATAATTGATTTTATATCCTGCAGCCTGTTAAACTCATTTATTAGTTATAGAAGTTTTTTGGAGAGTTCATCAGATTTTCTGTGTAGACAATTATGTCATGTGCAAATAATGACAGTTTTATGTCTTCCTTTCCCTTTATACCTTTTATTTCTTTTTCTTATCTCATTTCTCTGGCTAGATCCTCTGGTACAAGTTGAATAGAAGTCATGAGAGTGGGCAACCTTGCCTTGTTCTTGATATTAGGAAGAAAGCATTCAAGCTTTCCTCATTAAATATAATGTTTAGCTGTCAGTTTTTCGTAGGTACCCTTTGTCGGATTGAGTAAAGTTCTCTTGCATTCCTAGTCTGTCAAGAATTTTTGTCAGGAATAGACGTAGGATTTGTCAAATGCTTTTTTTACATTTATTGAGATGTCATTTGGCTTTTCTTTTTGACTGCTAACAGGATGAATTTCATGGATTGACTGTTGAATGTTGAACCAACCTTGTGTTCTTGGGACAAACCACACTTAGTCTTGATGTATTTATATCTTGTTGAATTCTACTTGCTAAAATTTTTAAATAATTTTTTGTGTTAATGTTCATGAGGGATATTGAACTGTAATTTTCTTTTCTTGTAATAACTGTTTTTGGTTTTGGTATCAGGGTAATGATGGCTTCATAGGATGACTTGAGAAGTATACCTTCCTTTTCTGTTTTCTGGAAAAGTTTCTGTAGATTTGGTATTATTTTCCCCTTAAATATTTGGTAGAATTCACCACTGGAACTGCCCAGGGTTGGAATTTTCTTTGCAGGAGGGTTTTAAACTACAGATTCAATTTCTTTAATAGATATAGGGCTGTTTAAGTTATCTGTTTATTCTTGAGTGATGTTTGGTGTAGTGTGTGTCTCTCAAAGAATTTGTCCATTTCATCAAAGTAGTCCATTTTAATTGCATGAAGTTGTTCATAATATTCCCTTATTATACTTTTAATGTCTGTAGGATCAATAATTCTGCTACCTTTTTAATTTCTGATATTGGTGATTTGTGACTTTGTTTTTCTGATCAGTCCAGATAGGGGTTTATCCATTTTAGTGAGCTTTTGATTTAAAAAAAACCCCAATAATCAGCTTGTGGTTGGTTTTCATTTATTTTCTCTATTGTTTTCCTGTTTTCTGTTTCATTGATTCCTGTTTATTATTTTCTTTCTTCTGATTACTTTAGATTTCATTTGCTCTTCTTTTTCTAGTTTATTAAGGTGAAAGCATAGCTCACTGATTTGAGACTTTTTTCTTTCCTGATATCAATGATTAGTGCTATAAATTTCCATCTAAGCACTGGTTAGCTGCATCCCACAATTTGATATTTTGTATTCCCATTCTCATTCAGTGCAAAATACTTTCTTTTCACTTCCCTTTTGCTTTCTTTTTGGATCCACTGGTTATTTAGAAGTATATTATTTAGTTTCCAAATATTTTGGGTTATTTTCTGGAGATTTTTCTGTTATGAATTTTTAATTCCATTGTGGTCAGAGAACATACTTTGTATAATTTAAATCATTTTCAATTTATTGAGACTTGTTTTATGGCCCAGAATATTGTCTATCTTGGTAAATGCTTGGTGTACACTAGAAAAGAGTGTGTCTTCTGCTGTTTCTGGTTGTAGTTTCCTATGTCAGTTGGTTCAAGCTTGTTGATAGTGTTGTTCAGGTCTTCCGTGTTCTTCTTTCTGTCTGTTTATTCTATCAATTGAGAAAGGGGTATTGAAATAGTTCTATAATTGTGGATTTGTTTATTTATCTTTTCAAGTCTACCAGTTTTTGCTTCATGTATTATGAAGCTCTATTTTTAGGATTATTATGTCTTCTTAATGAAATGAAATTATGAAATGCTCTCTTCATCCTCAGTGATATTGTTCACTCTGAAAGCTACTTGGATCTTAATAAAGGCACTCCAGTTTTCTTTTGACTAATATTAAGATGGTATGTCTGTTTCCATCATTTTACTTTTAACCTATTTGTTTATATTTAAAGTATATTTCTTAGAGGCAGCATGTAGCTGGGTGTTACTTTTTTTTTTTTTAATATCCAATTTGACAGTCCCTTCCTTTTAATTGAAGTTTTTAAACCATTTTCATTTAATGTGTTTTGTGACATTGTTGGGACTTAATCTATCATCTTGCTATTTGTTTTCTATATTTCTCATTGTTCTTTGTCTCTTAT